TCTCACACATTCAGAAATTCTACCTAATTTAAAAGTTCAAATTAATAGTAGTAATTTAAGAATACGTTAATCTCTTAATTCAACGGGATTATGTTTTTAAGTTAAAAGTATGAAATTGAATTGGATTACTTTTAATTAGTTAGTACATGCGACATTTGGAAAATAATTCAGCCACATGTATTTTTTATTTTATATTAGAGTTTAATGATTATACAATATAAATCTTTTTGTTAATCAGTAAATCATAAATTCTTTTTAGAAAAATCATATATTATTATTAGAAAAAATCTTTTTTTAGAAAAATTATATATTATTATTATTATTTTTATGACTAGGATTTACCAGATAAAAAGTGACATTAAAAAAAATAAAAAACTTTAATAATTAAGGTGTATTCAAAATTATAAGTATTAAATATGATGTTATTAACATTTTTATCTACAAGTTTCTATGAGATGGGCCTTAGAGTGGAAAGCATAGTACTATTGACCAACAAACAGCTTTTAATACCCTTTCACACAAATGACGTCACTCAACCACTATTATCCATTCAAAGTAAAGCATGCCATACAACAAATTTTACAAAAACTTATTCACACACCATTATCCATTCTTTTTTAAATTTATTTTTAACAACAAATAATTTAATTTGATTAGACTATATGAAAAATATATATTTTTATATATTTTTATTTAACACAATTTCACATTATTATAATAATAGATTGATTAACTTTTATTATAATAATAAATATAACACAATTTCACATTTTTATGTTTTATACAAATATTTAAAATGTTTTCTTTAGAAATATCATTCGTCATATATTTAAGTCAAATAAGAGCAGTGAAAAAACATTTAATATTATATATAACTCATTTCATAATATTCAAAATCATTAAATAATTTTTTATAATTCAGATACTATATATATAAATATTTAGTGTATATATATATATATATATATATATATCACTGTATATATATTTTTATAAATAATATTAAAATGACTGTGGATCATTAACTTGTAAAATTCATTTTGAAGAATATATGAATATTAATATTTTTTTTACATGCAAATTTCCTCTTATCTTTAACAAGCCACATCAATTCATGGAAAGAAAAAACACCTATTTCATAAATTGTCAATCTTTGATCTCAAGCCACACAATTATAAATAATTAATCTTCGGTTAATGATGTTGGACCATGCATGATGATAATAATAATAAAACTATGCTTATATATAATTGAACAAGAAATTGAAAACTTCCACATTTTCACAAATTCCTTTGGAAGCAAGCAGATTTAAATCATTGGATCCAAATTAGAGTTTGGATAAAACATTGTCTAAAGTAATTTTTTTTTATTCATTGTTTCTCTCATAATCTATATTTGTTTGAATTATACGCGAAGAAGACAAGTTGTTTGATATTTACATGGAAACAAATTGTAGAATAACAAGTTGTTTCTGCCTCATTTTCTTATGTTATAGTATATAATTTAATACGACTATTAATTGAAAAGATACTAAATTAATTATTTTAAAATATTTATAACAGACAAAATTGAGTTGTTTTTTAAATAAGGATAAAAATATATTTTAGTCTTATGTGTTAAATTATTTTTAGTCATTTTGAAAAAAAAAAAATTGCATCTGCATATATTTCTGTTGCAGGCCTATTGTGATTACAAATGAATAATTATACGTGTTTTTTTTTTACATTAATGATAAAATGCAAATTTTGATCACTAAAAACAAGATCTTAAGTTTGAATTTTGAAAATGTAAAATATAGCTAGAAATGACATAATTACAAAAAAAAGAGAGTAACAATAACAAAAGAAAAAAAAAACTTCTAATCAAAGAAACAATTTAAATACTAGTAATTATAATTAAATTTATTCACCAGTATCATAGGTAAAGTTATGGTTCAGACTATTGCCCGTTCGAAGGGGTATTTGAATAGACAAAGTATTTACTTATAATTGAATGAAGGGGTGATGTAAGTCTGAGTCTTTCTAAAATAAGATATTGTCATTAAAAATATTGTTTTGCCGTAACAATAATTGTCTCTTTGATTTAACTTTTAAAATAAATCTTTAAAATTAAAAATATCACCATATATGAATAGCGAATTGAACAATTGTAAGAAAATCTTTACATTCTTCATATATTCTAATTATTATTTTTTAAATTAGACTTATACATTTATTTTTAAATTATAAATATATGTTAAAAAGCATTTGTTAAATATATTTCATTCCGTTACTACTTTCTGTACTACTTATAACTAATTTTAAATATTTAAAGATAGAATGGAGTTTTAAAAATGATATAGTTAATATTACGTAGATTTGTAAAATTAATAATTAATGTTGTTGTATCATGACTTTAACCTAAGGATCATGTTAGACTATGACGATGTTTAGTTTTATTGAGGTATCAAGTTTCAAAATAATGCATGAATTTAACCGATTTGGGTATCTATCATATGTGAATAAAAGTTTATATATAAGTTGAATTGAGTTATTAACATTTAACTTATTTTTGGAACGAAGGTTTGAGTAATTTAAATCTTAAGTATATTTTCTTAAGGTCAATGTACCAGTAGATCTAAAAAGAAAGAACTAACTTGTCTCATAATATTTAAAGACACTCCCTCATTTGTAACAATAATCAAATTTGGAATGCAAACCTTACACTAACGATTCCTAGAAATATGGGATTTACGACAAAAAAAAAGAGATAAAAAATTAAGCATAATTGTTCTTGAATCAATAAATACTTTATAATACCAATAATATATTCTAACTTTTAACTCTATGAGCTTTTCGCTAAAATAATTTAGAATGTAAGAGATATATAAGTCTATTGAAATAAGTACTTACGTTTTAAAAAAATTAAGTAGTAGATTCAATCATAAATAATATATTTTAAAAAATTTTGAATAATTTTTTTATCAATTTATTTATTTATTTTGACCTATTTATTATTCATGCATAAAATCCGACTATATAAAATAAATTTTTCTAGAAAAAATAAATATAATTATTTAATTCTATGAAATAATTAAATGGGGAAGAAAATAGTTATTTTTCTCTCTCTTTATTCGTTCTCTTATTTCACTCTCATTCTTTTATTAATTATTTTTATTTTTTATCTCTTGTCATTCACCATATCTTTTTTCTCCTCTTATTGTCTGTTATTCTTCTCTTCTTTTACATATTTTACTCTTCTACTTAAAAATACTAATTAAAGTTAGATAAAAACATGTTAAAATATTTTTTTTAAATCAACATTAAAAGTAATAAATATTCATTTTAAAGTATTTTCTATTAAATAATTATCTTACTTAATCTGACTAATCATAATAACCTAATTTAATTATAACTAGATTAAATCACTAAATAAAAATAATTAAATTATAATTATTTATTATTTTTTAATTAAATGAGTAATGAATTTATTGTGATAAAATAATTTTAAATTAATTATTTACTATTATCATAAATAAATTAGTTATTATCATTATAATTTTAAATAACTAATTCATATTTCTTTTAATTTTAATGTTAATTTTAAAAAAATAACTTAATATATTTTTAATAAATTTAAATATAATATTTATAATTAGAATAAATGAGAGATGAGAGAGTAAAAAGAATAAAAGAAAAAAAGAGAAATAAAAAAGAATAAAAGAAAAAAAAGAGAGAAAAAAAGAATAAAAAAAACCAAAACAAGATAAAAATAAAAAATAAAAAAAATGAAAAAAGGCTAATAAATAAATTTAATTTGATAATAAATTGGCTGGACTTCTATATATAAATAATTTATTTTTAAAAATATATTGTTAATTTGAAAAATAATTTATATTTATATATTTTTTTAAATAACATAAATTAATATTCAAAGTGACGTGTATATCATGTAATAATTCACACAGTAATTTAGATAAGATATTTTGTCTTTATCGGTCTTTATGATCATTATACTAAAAGTCATGTATATGTTTTAAAAATAGTCCTTTTGAAGAAGATACATGTGGAACCTGCATGCTGTTACATGGAAATCACCTTGTATTGAATGTGACTGAACTTTCTTTTTCTCTCTATTTTCGAAAAAGTTCTGAACGGTTGTTGTATTATTATTATTATTATATTTATAATATTTGTAAGGAGATTCAAAGAAGTATACTACGTGGCTTGTCGTCTACGAATTCAGTGTAAATTCCTTGGGCAGAAAGGAAAAGATAACGAGAATAAGAAGAGAAAAGACGCGTTTGGTGTAGCTATAAAACAGCCAAGGAATTAAGGCAACGCAAAATGTTGGCTTGTTTTTTGGTGTAACGATTTTATTTTTTGGTGTAACGATTTTAGCAGGAGGGGGAATTTATTATTATTATTATTATTATTGTAGATAAATAAATAATAATAGCAATTATAAAATCAGAAAAAGCCCTAATTCCTTTCACACTGTTCCATTAGGATTTTAGAATTTGGAAATTTGCACAGAGGGAGAGAGAGAGAGAGAGAGAGAATGGGAGGGTGCTTTTCTGACATGAAAGGAGGGAAGCAAGCGGTGGGAGGGTTACGTGAAGGCACCAACGCGCAAAACGACGCCGTTGATTTCTTTTACAGGTCTCAAGGTTTTCATCAAATGTTCACACAAGTTGAGGTATCCTTTTTTATCTCCACAAATTTCTTTCAGTTCCAAACATCGCTATCATCGCACATATTACTTTTTATTCACATTTTCCTTTCCGTCGTTCAATCTCGTTGCAATCGCCGTCGTTTATTTTTATTTTTTTAATTTCGCTGACTTGACTAGGTATAATTCTACGTGATTTGTTGATTTTTTTTTTGAAAAAAAAAAATCGAAGAAAAGTGTAGCAAAATTTTTCTTCTTCTCCTACTATTTGTTATCGTTGTGTTTTACGTTTTCTCCTGGGAAGAAAAGAAGTCAAATTTTTATTTTATGTCTGGATTCTGGTCAAACCAAACCTGGAAAAGAGGGAGAAGCACCGAAAAGACTAACATACACAATGGAGGGACGGGAGGAAAGAATTTCCACGCAAGAATTAGACAAGAGTTAAATAAAATGTTAAGATAATAATAAAATATTAAAATTAAATTAAATAAATAAACATTTTTATATATTTAAAGAGAAAAAATCTATTCTAAAAATAATAATAGAGATAAACTCAACATTTTCTTTATTTATTTTATTGTAACACAGGGATTAATATTTTAAATTATCATATTATTAGAAATATAATAAAGTAAAAGTATATTCTTATTTTTGAGTGAATGGATTTCTTACTATTTTTAAATAATGAAATAAAATGGTTAAGTTAATAATAATTTCTGAAAGAAAAAAATAATTGAGTGAGTAAAATTTGTTTTATATTTTAAAATTAAATATTTTGTAATCTAAGAAAGGATTTGATTTTAATAATGCATTTCTTTTATATTCCTCAAATTAAAAATTGTCACATTTAATTCTTAGTATTACATAACGCTTAACTTATTTATGTATTAGTGTAAAGATCAAAATAAGTATAGTAATATATACTACATGTTAATATAATACCAACATATGATATTTTTACAGTTTTTTAATACCATTAAAATAAATATTATTCAATTATCTTAAAATGAATAGTAAGAACTAAAAATTAATGATGAAAAATTTTAGATGAATTAAATTTAAAAGAAAAATCATTTTATAAAAATGTAAAATAATACTTTTTTAAATATTAGAAAAATGATTAAAATAGAATTAAAAAATCATTTTACAAATATTAAAAACGTTTTTTTATATAAAAATGTAAATCGAGTTTTTTTCCTACAATGTTTAGTCAAACATTGTTCTAAGATTTTTGTCACCAAGAGATTCATTGAGAGAAATTTTAAAGTTTAAATATATCATTACCAATGTTTAGGTATTTTACGAGTGTTTGTTTTGTAATTTATTTCTGTACATTTTTTTGTTCCTTTTTAATGTACTGTACTATTTTGGTTATTCTTGGAATCTGGATAAAAGGTGTACAATGTTTATGGTCTTGTAATCTTTTTGCTGCAGTTATCTCTTTCAGCATCCAACTTACTTGATCGAGACATTGCATCAAAGGTATATTTTCTCTGGATCGATAAGGGTGCAAATGACGTAGATATAGATTTCAAAAGATTGTCATTTTCTTTATTTTCTTCTATGTTTGATACTTATTTATGTATGACTGTTAGCATTCTTTTTCTTCGTGAAATACCTTTCCATTTGCCTTAATGCATATAGAACTAAAACAATCACAGTTCTACATTATTTTGGACAAATAAATTTTCTTAGATGTTTGTGGTGCTGTTTTTCAATAAGTACATGTATAGAACATATTATTTTTCATTCAGATTCTTAATCAAGTGATGTGATGCTAATGATGCAATGCTTTCAAGTTATTTTAAAGGCATTGGAAAATAGAATGTAAAATTTTATTATTTCTGTTACAGTTCCTCAACAAAACATTTTGTTTTTGTAAACTTGAAAATATAATAATCCTTACTTATATACATTGTTCAAAATTGGCCTTTGTGAGATTTATTTAGCTGATATTTTTTCTTATTTTATTTCAGAGTGATCCCATGGTTGTAGTATTTACAAAGAAAAGAGACGGTAAATTGGAAGAATTAGGTCGCACTGAAGTAATTATGAATTGTTTGAATCCAGAGTGGATAGAGAAAATCAGTGTTGCATTTCACTTCGAAATCGTGCAACCACTTGAGTAAGCTATCTTTCATCGGTCTTGTTGCATTCCAAGCTAAATGTATTGCAATGATAACTTATAATTCCTTCCTCTCATTTTACTTCTCTTGCAGATTTCATGTGTATGACATTGACACAAAATTTCATGGCGTTCCCACCAAGGTCTGTAAATCATAATAACTCTGGTCTCGAAATTTTGATGCTCAAAGCATGAGTTCTTCCTGCAGTTTTTGCTCATTAATGATATAACAGTGATACAACTCATTGCTGTTTTCTTAATTTTTAGAAAGAAAAATATTTAGCTATATTTATGGTATTGTAGTTTGCACATATATTTTGAAGGAGATCATTTATCCTTTTACAACCAGGGGAATAATTTAATTATACGAGATTATTTGTGGCTTATTTGAATTTAAATTGTACTCCAAAGCATTTGTTTAAGTATTTTAAATATTTTATGAAAAGAACTTAAAAAATATTTATATGCTATTTCAGCTTAATTACACCAATAAACACTACCAAATAACTTCTAAAAAATGAGTTCTCATTTTTTCGATGTGTTTCTACTACATGATCTTTAGTCAAAAAGAAATATTTTTTTCAATGGCTTAACTAAAGTGAATAATTAATGTGAGCGAAGGGGATTCAATTTATTAAAATGATGTGAAGTAAAATGAAACTTGACGTGAAAAGTTTAGATATATGTGAGTTTTTTGCCATTGTAATAGTACTCCAAATTTCTATTTTCACGTTCTCTTGCCGAGTCAGTAATGGTTATGATTCATGAAGTTTACATCTGAAAACTAAGACAAAAAATTCATGTGTTTTTCTTGCAGACACTAAAACTCGGAGATCAAGACTTCCTCGGAATGACCAGTTGCACTTTATCAGAGGTCAGTCTCATTGAATTTGCGATCATGGATGACAACCGCGTTATTTTGGCCGTAATATATATCCATTATTTAATTTTCGCTTTTAATAAACAATAAATTCACACTTTACGCAGAGATTATCCTCACGTATTCGATTTTGTGGTTATTGGGTAATAGAGGTGAAAAGAAAAAAAAATACTAATCACAATATTATCACAACCTTAATTTAAGAGACATAGAAGAAGAAGCGAAATGTGTGAAATGGGTGATGGGATAGAAAGAGAAAGAAAATACTAGTTATTAAATGAGAATGATCTTTTATGCAGGTGTAAAATTACCTTTTCTATTTTTCTTGTGCTGCTTGTTAATACTGTTACTTTGAGAAATGAGATTTTGGACATTGTACTACGCGCGGCAGGTTCTGACTAAACCAAGTAGGAGAATAACGTTGAGGCTCCAAAATCGAAGTGGGAATGATGGTTTAAGAAACCTAGGAGCACTTACCGTTCATGCCGACGAAACTGTTGCTTCAAGGAGTGTAGTTGAGATGGTGTTGCGTTGTTCTCATTTGGATAACAAGGACGTTTTTTCCAAAAGTGTACCTATTCTACACCCCATCCACATTTGAGTGCATAATTATTTTTGTTTTGTTTGTTTAGCATTTGAAAAATCTCTAATATATATGCTTTTCTTGTAGGACCCTTTTCTAAGAATATCAAGAATGGTTGAGAGTGGAGGTTATATTCCTATTTGCAAGACTGAAGTTATCAACGACAATTTAAATCCAATGTGGAAACCAGTTTGTCTTGGTGGCCACAAGTTTGGAAGTAAAGTAAGCCTGCCATCTTTGGACTTAACATTTGAAGTTATGGATTATTATAATATTCTAATTACTTCTTCATGAAACTTGATATTTATCTAGCTTTCAAATTTTTTAACTTCTGCGCAGGATAATCCATTATTGATCGAGTGTTTTGATTTCAATAGCAGCGGCGATCACGTACTTATTGGGTAATAGTAATGCAACTTTTAGAATTTGGTTTATGTGTTTTATTTAATTAATATTTTATCTTTGTACTAAATTTTTATTTTATTCTATATTCTTTTCATAAACATTTCTATTTATGTTTTTTTTAATATTTTATGTTTTAATTCGTATACGGTCATTTAATGAGGTTTTACATTATCATCAAACTAACAGTATAAAAAAAAAACTAAAACTTTTAACTTTTAACTATAAAGGTTAAAATTAAAAAAAAAATGCAACCAAAATATTAATTTAACTTATTTTTTAATGCAAAATATATTGTCATATTTATGTCAAATTTTTTTGAAATCAGCAAAATGCAGAAGTCAGTAGCAGACCTTGAAAAATTATACAAAGAGCGAACAGGCGCAAATTTTGTCATACCATCCAAACGCCGTAGAAAGGAAAAGGTGTTTATTGATCCATGCAATAGAATTACCTCTTTGATATACTCTTTTACTTAACCTCACCTTTTACAATTTTTCTTTCAGGTTTTGAAGGGTCAACTGTTTGTGGATCAATATTGTGAAAAGCAACAGTTCAGTTTTATTGACTACATCTCTAGTGGTTTTGAACTGAACTTCATGGTTGCTGTAGATTTCACTGGTTAGTAACAATTTTTCTTCCACTAGCTACGGTGATTATAAGTTTCGTCTTTATAGTTTATTAAGCGCTTCAAAATTTGTGCAGCTTCAAATGGAAATCCTCAACATTCAGATTCTTTACATTACATTGATGGACATGGTCGGTTGAATTCATACCAGAAGGTAAGCTTGATATCTACTTCTTTCCAATTCTGATCTTTTCAATCATTAAATTATGAAACACAGTAGATCGAATTACAGTTTATGATCATGTATTATGTACAAAATCAAGACTGTAATCTTTGTACTTCCTTATATATGAATAAATATGGTATCGACTAACTTAATGGGTGGCATTCTCCGAATTATTGTTTTGCCTAACCAACATAGTATTTGTTTGTAGGCTATAGTGGAGGTTGGAGAAGTTATTCAGTTTTATGATTCTGATAGGCGATTTCCTGCTTGGGGCTTCGGAGGGAGGATGCCTGGTGGTACCGTATCCCACTGTTTTAATCTAAACGGGAGCACAGGTGGCTCTGAGGTCAGAAATTCTTCCTCTCATTTTTTCTTCTCTAGTATTAGGAAAAGGTTGTTATTAGGGATAACAACTGTATTGTTGGTGTTCTATCAATTTAACATAACAGTTAGTTTTCCTTTGTGTTTAGGTTGTAGGAGTTGAAGGCATAATGGATGCTTATGGCAGTGCTTTACGCAGTGTCTCTCTGTCAGGACCCACTTTATTTGGCCCAGTTATCAACATGGCCGCCCAAATGGCTGCGCAATCCCTCGCTTCATATAACAACACTAAATATTATGTATTGCTTATCATCACGGTAAGAAGATAATGAATTGGGGATGCTGTTTTCTATTTGATTATAATGAATAATCAATCAAATGGTTCATTTTCTTACAGGATGGAGTCGTCACGGATCTTCAAGAAACAATAAATTCTCTTGTTAAAGCATCTGACCTTCCCCTATCCATTCTCATAGTTGGAGTTGGAAATGCTGATTTCACAAGCATGGAGGTTTACTATTTCACAAGAAATTATATTCTCTTGTTAAAGCATAGGACCCTTTTAATTATTCAGTAGCGTTGCTGGTTTTCAGGTGCTGGATGCTGATAATGGACGTCGGTTAGAGAGTTCTACTGGTCGTATAGCTACACGAGATATAGTACAATTTGTCCCTATGAGAGAAGTGCAGAGTAAGTAACTGTTGCTTCTCAAGTTAGCTTTGTCTTTTGAGTAAATAAATAATAAACACAATATATCAAACACATAGTATACACGTATCATGTCTCTCAATCTCTTTCTTCTTTTGGCTCCTCCAATATTTCTTTTTTCATTTATTCAAACTAACTCCCTTTCTTGTGTATTTTGACAGGTGGCCAAATATCTGTTGTGCAAGCTCTATTGGAAGAACTACCTGAACAATTTTTGTCTTTCATGCGAAGCAGAGACATCAAACCTCAGCCACCGCCTTCTCACTTCTTCCAAGCATCCACATCCACATCCACCATGAAATAGATTTTACCATTACATAACCCCAATATTTGTGCTAATTTTCTTCCACAGGTGGTCACGAAACCAGTTCAATTTCAATGACTACAATTCTATTAGCTAAACTAGTTTTTTTTTTTTTTTTTTTTCAAATTTGATTTTTGTATTTTATTTGAAATGAATTGTAAATATCAGTGTAAAGGGTTTGCTTGGCCATAATTATTTCAAAGAAAATATATCTTGGGGTGATTTAGTCCTTATTCCTCTTCTGTATTCTTTTCAATATTTCATAGACTTCCTTGTTGATTACATTTCATAACGTCTTCGAAATACTTTATTTTTAATAGTAAAGAATTTGAACGGAAATTGTAACTAACATTAACATTTTAATATATAATACTATATATTGAATTATCAATTGGTGGTATATAACATAATTAATGGTTAACTTATTCTTTTATGAAAGAATGCATGTAACATAACAACTACTTTAAAAAAGAAAATATAAAATTACCCAGTTAAACTGAAAAAAAAAAATTAATGAGAAAGGAATATTCATGAAAATAGAAATATGAAAAGAAGAAATTCCATAAACCCAGCTACTCATTAAAACCGCCATGATACCTTTGTCTCTACCATATTTTACGTAATTCATATCCTCTTTTTATTTAAATTATTTTTATCAGATAACTTAATTAGAATGTATCCGTAACAGTTGTTTTTACACTCTCATTTGACTAAGAATATTTTAAAATCATTTTAGACAGGCATTATTTTTTTATGAGTTATAATGCCTATAATTGTGAGAGATTTGGAAAAATATTTGAAATCATATATACTATTCTTAATGTGAATATTATACATCAAAGTTGCACTATGCTTTTTCTGTAAACCAGAAATATATTTTTAATTTTTTAAAATAAGTATATATTTTTAATATTTTGATATGATATTTTACGATAATTTTATAGTTAAAGATTTAAAATACATAATAACATTATTATTTTTTTTTCATTTTTTAAAAATTAAACAGCGAAGGCATACAACTGTGTATTTAACTACAAACTGTACTTGATTTTTTTAATTAGTTATCTTATTAATATACAAAATAATTTATTAGTTTTAATCTATTACATACAGTGACATATCGATTTTGCCAAATGTACATCTCCCAATTTTCTAAATTAATAATTAGATATATATATATATATATATATATATATATATATATAAGAGTTTTTATTTTTTATATTTTTAAAATGTATATATTTATCTCGCTATTAAATAGTAGAATATATTGATATAAAAATGAATAAGTTCATATATATGATAACAGTTTTTTTTTATATTTTAAATATATTGAATAGTTATTATGAATAAAGTCATGATTCAGATGTGCATGCCCATTTAAAGCGCTGTTGTACAACCTCTCGTTTCAATTTCGGGCATTATTTCTTGGGTTCAATTATTTTGCCTGAAATAACACGTCACAGAGAGTTTGAGACTTTCTAAAATAAGATATATAAGAAGAAATATATATGTAAAATTAAAAGTTTAGTTTTAATAAATTGTTGAGTAAGAAACTGTTACGATAACAGTAAATAAAAGATTAAAATAATTTCACCTGAAAACATAAAAACTACTACTATCTATAAAAAAAGTGGGAATAATATTAAATAGATATCCGAGATTTAAAATTATTGAAAACTAACATCACAATGACTTGGTACCATACAACACCTTCCTTCGTCTGCAAGTCCTTTTAAATATGCATGTTGACATAAAATATTCTCCCTGTTTGATCCTTTTTTTTAATATTGTTTTGCAAGACTGAGAAACTGTAATAATTTTTAACTATAATAAAATATTTATATAAATTATTATTTTACTTATTCATCTCTCCGTCTAACACAATAAATATATTATAAATTATTTAGTTTAAAAAAATACATAAAATGTAATTAATACAACTATAAGTTTTACAGACGTTAAATAATTATAATTTTGTTTTTATAAAGTTATATTTAAAAAGAAAAGAAAATAAGTATTGTATATATTATTGTTGTCATTACTACGCGTCATCTCATGATGCTAATCTCTCTCGGTGAAAGTTTAAATCGGAAATGGATAGGAATAAGAATGGAACGAATCGCGCGTTTCCGTTTCTAGCTGTAAAAGCTAACTAAGGCCCTGCTCTGTGTAGCTCCTCATACTTATACCCATATTTGGACAAAAAATTACAAAAACCCTAATCTAAGAGTTCTCTCACTCTTTCTTCACTCACTGTTTTATTAGAAATATAGAAATTAGAAGCAGTTTTGCAGAGAGAAAGAGAATCGGAGGGTTTTTTCGGATATGAAACGAAGGAAGCAAGCCGAGAGAGGATTACGTTAGCAGCCACTGGCAATGAACCGCAAAACGACTCCATTGATTTCTTTGACAAGACGCAGGGGTTTCACCAATTGTTCACACGACTTGAGGTATTTTCTCAATTTCATTTCTGTCGCTCTTTCTATTCATTATTGCTGCAATTTTTCTTTATATTTTTTCTCGACTGCTATTATTTGATCCAATCAATTTGTTTTCTGGAATTAATTAGAGAAATTTTAGCTGAGTTTTTCTTCATTTGTTGTAATTATTAATAATTATTATTATGCTTTAGCTTGTCCTGCTGAACTAGTTAGCTCAATTTTTACTGTATGTCTTTGAGTCAAGCCAGATGTCGTGAACTAGGAGAAGACAGGCAAGTTTCAGCAAGAGGAGAAGAAGGAAAGAAAAAATTTCAATGCACGAAAGAAAAAACAAATTAAATGTATTTTTTATTAATAAATATTAACGTTTTCATTTATAGTTATATTAAATTATTCCTTTTTTTTGGCTAAAATAATTTTAAAAAAGTTATTAAATAATTTTCTTAAACTTATTTTTAAAAATATTTTTTCAAAATGATCTCAAAATTTATTTTTAAAAACTAAAAAATAATTCTAAATGAAACCAATCCATATCCATATTATATTATACTAAATTTCCAAAAACAAAAACTAACCTAAATTTTTATTTATCTATTTCATAAATTTACTTTACTTATTAATGGCATTCTTTATTATAGTCCAATACAATATTATATACTAATGTAATATTTTATGATGATGTCAACCTTTTAATTTAGTAATTTTAATGACTAAAAGCAAATTTTAATTACTGATTTAATTTTCATACTTTAAGCCAAAAGAACATACAGTCACTGTGTAGATAAGCAGTACAAATTTATCTCACTTTAATTAGTAATTTTAATATAAAATATTGGTCTATATTATTTAATTTGAGTAAGATTGTCTAAAAGATGTAAATAAATTATTAAATTATTTAAAAATTTATTTTATAAAAAAATATAATAACTATAAGATAAGTGACTCTTAACGTAGTCTCTCAATTATATTATTTTAATTTGCGTATATATATTTTTTTTATAATTTTGCCTTAGTAGCTTTTTTTTTTTTTTTAAGTTTGATTGATACTTCAAATTATTTTTTTATAAGTTATTCTAGATAATATTTTTTTGTGGTTTTACTGTATAAATTTTTTTAAATTGTATTAATCATTAAATTAAAAAGCTTAAAAAAAATGAAAACATATGTACATCAGATTATTGTAATGGTTTTAATGAAGAAAAAAAAATAGAGGAAGAGAGAAATAAAATAAAGATTTTATTTTAACAGAAGATCTTAACTTTCACTTTTAAATATTTTGATTTTATTTTTACGTATTACAAGAAGAAAAATAATAAATGATTAATACTTTTAATCAATAAATTACGGACCAAAATCCGTTACCTTTTCCTATTGATAAATGATCAAATTATTACTGTTTAAAATATAAAATCCATAGCTAGTTTATCTATCTTTATTTTTTTCATTTGATCTAACAAATATAAGAAGGATAGAAAATTTATTTTATTTTTTATATTTTTTATATATATTCAAATTTGAGGTGAAAAATTATAATTATTCTTTTATGTTTTGAATTTAACTGAGAAATATATAGGTTGGAATAAAGTTTGTAGCATATGTAATTTACCTATATTGTAAATTTTGAGAATTCCTATTAAAATACAAAGACAATAAATTATGGAATTTAGTATTTCAAATATTTCAGTCGCAATATTTCATAAAAAATATTCAAATTTCGCAAATGCTAGTTGTCAATTTGTCAAGCTTTAATTTTTTGTGTTTGTAACCTTAAGCTCTAGAAAATTCACCAGCAAATGTCTGCTGCCTTCACTAAATCCGTCCACCAAAATGTATGTTTTCTAACATCATAAAGCGTGATTCAGTATATTACGATTGTTTGTTTTCTAATTTTATTTGCTGTTTTATTTCTTTTGGTTCTTTACAATGTTCTTTTTGTTATTATTGTTGTAACCTGGACAAATGTTTATGGTCTTGTAATCTTTATGCATCATTTATCTCTCTCAGCTTCAAACTTACTTGATCGGGACATTGCCTAAAGTATATTTTCTTTTAGACGAGGGTGCAAATGATATACAATTAGTTGTCATTTTCTTTAATCTCTCCATGTTTCATGCTTATTTATGTGTGACTGTTGGCGTTTTTTATTCTTTGCGGAATAACAGTTCTGAATAATCAAGTTATGCTAATCAAGCAATGATTTGAAGTTATTTTATTTACGATAGAAATATTTACAAAATATTCATTTTAGCTGATTTGTTTTTCTTATTTTATTTCAGAGTGACCCATGGATGCAGTATTTGCAAAGAAAAGAGACTATCAATTGGAAGAATTAGGTGGCACTGAAGTAATTATGAATTCTTTCAATCCCAGAATGGGTAGACAAAGTAAGGCTGTTTTTTTCAACTGCACCGTTTGCTACAATTCAAGGATTCTTTTCAGTTAGAAACTTATAATTGATTTATGTTTCAAATAATATAATATATTTTATATTTAAAAATGTTGGAAAAAAAGTGTTGGAATATATTTTTAGAAAATACAATATAAAAATAAGTTTCGGATTGATTAATTTAAAATATATTTTTGGATTGGATTTTGTAAAGATATATTCCGAATTAATCTATCCTGAATTTATTTTTAAATTATATTTTCTCTGAAACTTATTTACAAATTCAGTAATTCAGAACTCATATTTTCAAATTCAGTAATTTAGAACTCCTATCTAGATTGTATTTTTTTTTATGAAAATTTTTTAGATTAACTTCTTCGAAAACTATTTTGAAACGTTCCATACTTAACATTTTAAAAAATTTCTGAAAATTTTTCTAAATGTTGTTTTTTAAATAGTTTGTACATAAAAATTAAAAAGTTGTTAATTAACTATTTGTTAAAATAGTTGTTAAAAACTTCTATTTAAAAAAAAAACTAAAAAGTAAAAAAATGATAAAATATATTTTCTATTTTAATTTTATATTTTTATTAAAAAGAATAAACGATTTTATCAATAATTATATTAAATAATTCATTTTTATCGTTGTAAAGTCATCAAAAATATGTTTTATTTTCATTACGATTTTTTTAGTAATTTATATCATTCTTTTTCATTTAAAATAGTTTTTAAAAATAGAATTATTAAACAATTTTTTTCTAACTTATTAAAAACAGCACTTTCAAAAATGACCTCTAAAACTGAGTTTAAAAACTAAAAAACAAAATTAAATCGAACAAATTCTTATAATTCCTAATCTCTCGTATTACTTCCCTTTCAGATTTCATGTTTATGACATTGATACAAAATATCATAGCGGTTCCACCAAGGTTTTGTAAACCATAATAATTCTGCCATCTAAAATTTAAATCCCTTAGAATTAGTTAATAATAGGAACGTTAAAGTAATTGGCAACAGACAAGGACTAGAGTTGACAATATACAACTTAAAGCCTTCGAAGTTATTATTTTTTAAAGTTGTAAGTTGTAATTTGTAAATTGTAAATCTGTTAATTACTTTATTCAGTGATTTTACAAAATGAAAAGGTTAATATGCTTGTGACCGCCAATTATATGCAAACAGAGCCAACTATTTGGAGATAACTTACCTTTCTTGTAACCAGGACTTTAGACATTTATATTAGTGTTTGAGAGAATTTATGAAAATAACCTGTGATATGTCTGTAAGTTTACTCTTTTTAATTAGGCTCTCTCCAAAACTGCTCACGACAGTTAGTACCTAGTTAGAAAATAATTTTATCTTGTTTATGTTTCAATTATAAAAATAATTTAGACATAAAGGTTATGTGGTAAACACTTATTCAATAAATATTAATTAGTTGTTTAGCTAAAATGAAAACAGGACCTGTTCATTTTTAGGAAAAAGTTGTTATTAGGGATAGTAATTGTACTGTTGGTGTTCTATCAATTTAACATAACAGTTAGTTTTCCTTTGTGTTTAGGTTGCAAGAGTTGAAGACATAATGGATGTTTATGGCAGAGCTTTAAGCAGAGTTATTTGGTCCAGTTATCAAAATGGCTGCGCAGTCCCTTCCATCACAGCAAAATACTAAATATTACGTATTGCAGCTTATCATAATAGTAAGAAGATAATGAATTGGCAATTCTGTTTTCTGATGCATTACTGTTTTTTCGTGCTATGATTATGATTTATGAATAACCAATTAAATGTTCATCTTATAGGATAAAGTTGTTACTGATCTTCAAGAAACTATGAATGCTCTGGTTAAAAACACACGAGAGTGTTTTTACAAGCATGGAGGAGGTTCACCATTCATCCTTGTCCAAGTTTTTCCCTTACACACCATTAATTATTTAGTAGCATGAGACAATGTTTTATTGCTTGAGAGAATAAATATATACTTGTTGGCTTGAGGTGCTGGCTGGATGCAAATAATGGGCGTCGGTTAGGGAGTTCTATAGGTGGTGTGGCTACACGAGATATAGCGTAATTTGTCCATATGAGAGAAGTACAGAGTAAGTTCCAGTTGCTTCTGTACTTATTTGTCTTCTAAGTAATGATACATAAAATTGAAGACTCCTCATATCTATATCTATGGCTTCTTAACCCGTTATACCATCTATCATTCATACACTTCTCTTTCTTTCTCCATCCAGCCTTCAATTAGCACTTAGTTGTTCGTATAGAATATGTTCCTTGTCTTTCAATTAAACGAACACTCTCGTGTATCTTTGACAGGTTCGCAGATATCAGTTGTGCAAGGTCTTATGGAAGAACTACTTGAAGAAGTTGTCTTTTATGTGAACAGGGAAAAGGCATCCACTTCCACTATGCAATAGATTTTTTAAGAGATGCTTGTTAGGGAGAAGGTTGATTGAAGATGTTAGTTGGTTCGTAGCAGACAACCAATCAATGACCAAAAAAAATCAATGAATTTTAAATAGAAGCATGAATAATCTCGGACATATATCAGTGTAAATAATGGTTTAGCGGATCAATAAAAGAACTAAGAATGACAGCAGTTTCGATTTCTTGAAAAAATATAATTTTAAAATGATGTTTATTTATTTAAATTGTCAAATAATCATTTGAGTATGATCGACCAACAATGACAGTAGTTTCGATTTCTTAGTTCTTTTGTTTCGGTGATGGAATCTCTCACTCATATTGGCATTATATGGCATCAGTTTCATATTGTAATGGGAAACTCACCCAGGCCGTTAACCTCTCTCTACCACTTAGCCTATAGCGGACGGTTCTGTGATTTCAATAGTGTTTTCAGGCTTACAGGCCCCTTTTTATTGATGTATACAGCTGTTAATGCGAACAATATAATAAATTATAAAATTAATAAAAACTATGAAATTAAAATTAGGATACAACATTTTTTAAAATTTTAAACTGGTTTTCAACTGATTTGCGAAAAATCCAAACCAGTTTTAGTTGGATTTTTAGAAAAACCATCCGTGTTCTACCCTGGGTACCCAGGGCTACCCATGCTCCCATCGTTTGATGAGTTTTACAGGCCAATATAAATGAATTAAGTACAACTGGAGAAAAAAACTAAAATAAAATAAGTGCACTAGGTACTGATATCATTGTGCTTTTGCTAATAACAAAGTACAACACAATCAACCAAAAAAATGCAGACACAAGAGGATCAAGTATAACCAATCAATTCCCACTCTACACCTAGTCTAGAACTCTAATAGAAAATCGAATTTAATATTTCTAGTTTTCACTTATTGGGTAATCTAAAGAAATGCATAGACATACTACCCACTCAATTTATGTGCAACTAGCCCACAAAGATCTTCAAAAACCAGAAGGACACCTATGTTAGGATCATACTCATCTGGACTTCAATTTGTTTTGTGTGAAGGACCGCCTTGAAGAGAAAGGAGAAATAACCTCCTGAATATTGTGGAAGAAACCTTTATCGTAAACATTATTCTTAACAACTACCACATCCTCGAGAGGCGATTTTCGAACGAAGGCTCTCCATTTGCTCAACAAGGGCTGCTTTTCACTGCTAATTCCATCGATACTTTGTTTTAGGGCTTCAGCACTCACCTTCGCTTCTTTTAACTTCTTTTGCCACTCCAGGTAGTCTTGCCACTTAAAAGTCTGTGATCCACATAGAAATCTTTAGTTTCATTGAGCATCAGGGTGCGATTAGCATCTCTCATAAGCATGCAGTTTTCTGGCTAAATAAGACACCCAAGATTGGATAATGATAAACAATCACAGAGAAATTGTAATTGAACAATTATGCATTCACAAACTAGCAGAAATTGTAAGGTTTGGGTAGGTTTGTCAATTTTGCTATTTCGTTTTTTATGTCCAAGGGAGACTTATATTACAAAGGGGAGGGAAAGAGGGACAAAGCACATTGCAGGAGTTCGACCCGCGCACAGCTCACTGAGTCACTGACCTAAGAGCACATTAAGGAGATCAAATCCCACGTTGGAAGGATTCTGCTATTGTTGGGAAGGAAACAGTGATACCAGGAATCTAACATTGGAAACAAACACACAAAGAACAAACAATGAATTTATCAAAAATAATATTTTCACCCGCATGCCTTTCACCAGATACAAAAAGTGGTTTGTTCTAGTGCTAGCTAATGATAGATTTATTTCATAAGAATATTTATGAAAACTGAAAACCTCAAACAAAGCTGTCAGTTTGTCTACATGCAAAAACATTGTTGTAGAACATTTCATGTATCACAGTTTTATTTAGTATTCAGTGATCAAGCCTACTTCCAGTATTATGTAAGCATTTTCTTCTAACTTAATGAAAATGATCGCAAGCTATATACTCTATTCATCTCTAATTCAAATATTTAAATGTTCCTTCTGATCCCCCCCTTTATGGGGATTTTTATTTTCAAATGAGGAAAAAAAAAAAAGATGAGATTGATGGACACTACATGGTCCTTCTAGTTTACTAGAAAAACAATTTAATACATTTGAAGATTACAGCTAGAACTAGAAGGTACCTCATTAGTGGTAGTGTTGGTAAGGCAAAGCTTTGCATGGTAACCAAAGAAACCAGCTAACAGCATCCCAATGATTGCAAGGAACACCATCAGAAGTATCTGAGTGTTGTAAGATCCCAACAACCACTGTATAAGAAAATACCATTACCCACTTGAATGGAAAATAGGGAGTCAAAATAGAAAACATTATTCAGCCCGTAGAGACAATACAAAACCCTCACCTGCACAACATTAGGAGCTAAATCCAGAAAAGAATTTTCTAATCCATAATAAACTGCTTAGTAGAGAAGTCTCAAAGTTAGTAAAAGAAACAACTTAATCTCAAGATTGATATTAGTTGGAAAAATATATATTACCAGTTAGAATATCAACAACTCTTAATTCTCTTAGTCTTCCAGCAAGAACCAAGCCAATGGCAACTGTTCCATACAAGCATATAAGGAAATGCCTACAAGATGTAAAAGAATCACAAATACAAATAGAACCAGACGTGAAGAATATATAACTTGATGTAAATCTATGGTAAAGTAGAAATCAGTGACTAAAATGATTAATACTAAGATTTTCTAGTATCTATACTACACCTAATAAGGTAAAAAGATTCAAGAGCATTCAAAGATTTCCTAGTAACATATTAAAAAGCACGTCTTCACAATATATTGAACAAGTTTATGACTTGGGTGATAATGGAACAGTAAATCGGTAAAGAAAAATTTAAGTAGCATGTGCAGACTGAAGATTTCTTTTCAGAATACAAATAAAACTTATTAGAAAAAACAAGGTACAAAACATAGTTATTAGAATTGAAAATTCAAAATTAGAATCCTACAATTCAACACAACTTGAATATGATTAAAAAAACCTTGGTACAGATGCCATAAGGGTGACAGTAAGTTATCTTCTAAAATAAAAAGAAAGAACGCAGAGAGGGAAAAGATGAAAAGAATAAAAAAAGAAAAACACTGGAATGCAGCAGGGCTGTCTAATCTCTGTATGCTAAGGAAATAGATTGGTACTGTGGAAATGGAAAATGTATTCACTAAAACTTATATTTGGCAGTAGCACTCTGCCCTACAGTATAGAACAGCAAGAAAAAATACACATGGTAACTCAAGGGTTCTTTCAAAGAACAAGGGAAAAGAAGAGAAAAAGAACCAAGAGGTATGTTTAAGAATGTATAGTTACTATCCAAAGTGCAAAAATATACTGGTAGTAGCCTTTTTTCCTGCGTCTTAAATGTGTTTATTATGCAAACTAGTCATGTTTCCCCTTTTTTAGGATTTGTTCCTTATAAATGTGGGATAATTGTACTTAATAGGTTTATATACACAATTATAATACTTTTTAAGATTAAAATCCATGATTCCACATTTCATGAGCACGATGAAGAAGAGATTGGAGCCAACCAAGTACTTTGAAGTCTCACCTAGAAAGAATTACAGAAATTTTAGGAGTAAATCACTACCTCAGATTCGTTGAGTGAATCCAAATCAATTATTGAAAATAATGTAGAGAAAATTGTGAAAACTTTGCTCAACGAATCTGACTCGTTAGGCAAAAGTTGAAAATCAGTTTACCCTGCCCAGTGCCCACAAATCTTTGAAATATAAAATGGAAGTTTAATAATGAAGGGCCTTTAAGTTCAGAGAAAGAGCAAAATACATGAGGGAACTCCACTGCAGCTGGAAAACAAGCTTGGGCAAGGAACCTTTGAAGCAAAAACTAAGTATCTTTGTAGTCTTGGCTGGTAATCTCATCATGAGGAGATTAGAAAAAATATTGCTCGAGTCCTTTTCAAGCACAGGTATTGCTGTGGGAAAAAAGGCTTTGAAAGCGGATGCCATTGCAAGAAAGATAGCACATCCTACTGAGCTATCCTTAATACAGGTTTATTCATTTGATGATTGAAGAACTGGCGATTGATAAAGGAACATAGGATCCAATTATTAAGGAATTATGGTTTGTCATTTTATCAATTACAATAACATTGGATAGCGAGAGATGAAGATGTACATGAATACAATTGGTCATGAGAGGGAGATTGGTGAAATTCAATCCCAACAAATTCTTTTAATATTGTGAAACTTTATTAATTAATAGTTAGTCCTTCAATCAATTGCTTTTTCTCTTTATAGCAAGCTAAAGAAAACTTATGAGTAATGTGATTATGTTTATAATTGGAGATAATCATAAATTACTTTAATAAAAATAATAGAAGAATAATTATTATATCGTGAAAGTCCATGAGGAAACATCTTTAACTTATCACTATCTACATGGTGATTTTGGTATACCAGTCAAATGACCAACAGATAACTCTTGAAATATTTCCATGTGAACCTCCAATTTTGTCTAAGGAGAGGAAAAACTTCTTAAGATTTCGGTTTGTCTTCTTATGTATTATACTTAGATTAGATTACACAAAATGATAATCGTGTAAGAATACATATAGAACTCACCATAATAGAAAAGCCATGAAATACCGAGTGTTTTTCTCTCCTATGCAATTGTTCTGCAAGTAAAACAACTTCAATACAACTCCAAAAAATCACATGATATATATTAAATGAGAAAAACAAAAGCAACTTTATAAAGAGATTTTCAATGATTACTAACCATCCATCCACAGTGATGATCAAATCGAGCAACACAGCGAGCACAAATGCTGCAGTGTTTAGACCTAGCAGGTCTGCAGAAAAAAATTAAGCCAATTCTATATATCAATCTAACTAACATTTCAACAAAATTTAATAACAGTACCAAACTCACTTTGGAATTTTGCAAGTGGAACATTCTTTCTCTGAATAAATAATATTATCATAGGGATAAGCAGAAATATACTGAGAAACATTCTCAGTGTTTACCGTCCCCGGATCAGAAAAGCTGGTCAAAAGAAAGAGCAGAATTCCAACACCAACTGCCAAGAAACTTGTATACCTAAACAAATATAAGGTCTAACAAAATTCAGGATAGAATAATGCTGAAGAAACCAATAAGCAAGAAAATAATACAATATTGGCCCAGCAGTACACTACCTGTGAATTCCACTTAAATAGTATCCAGGGATATAAGCAAAGCAAGACTTGGCAATGAAATAATACGTAACGCCAATTATCACAATGTATATGATCTGCAACAAACAGAAGTTTAATATTCAAACCAATGGAGAACATTACATACTTTCTGATAAAGTAAAAAAAAAATAATCCTGGTCAATCCCTAGGATAATATGCAATAAGTTAAATTATTCTTTTATTTTCTATAATTGTCCCCATTTTATATTTCCATTCCAATACGAGAAAATTAGAAGTTCGAGTCCTAACATAATTTTTGTAGCAGTTCCAGTGCCAAAAAGTTTTCAATGATGTTATGACTATGGACCTAAATTTATCTTATATGCACATACGAAAGGGAACTTACAGTTTTCTCGTACAGGGACTACAACTTAAATGATGGACAACTATACGGACTTGCAAGACAATAGCAGTTAAGGATATCATCATGACCCTTTCGCACAAAATACATTCCAACTTAAGGCATTTGCACACGTTCGTAAATATTACACACACAAAAGTCACTAATAAAGGCCAAATGCAGTATTCAGATGTCAGAAATGACCAAATCCAGACCTAACATAAAACGACGATTTACTAATGAATTAGGTGACACAATTTATCTAATGAAAAAAACTAGAGTAATTGCTTATAGATTCCACAATCATGTTAGTAGTAGCTCACAATTCACCAAAGAAAACGCAGAAGACTGATAAACTCGTGCATCGACATAGGAAGAATAATTTCTCTACATCGATAAAATCATGTTGAAGGAGTGAATCGAAATAGAAAAGAACAGCAGTACCTGTAGAAGAGGATTTGGACGATCGCAGCAATAATATTCCACCGAAAGAATCGCATCCGTACACTTATGGCCGAAAACTGCGCCAACGAAACGCCTGCAATAGACAGAGTGAAGATGAAGCAATTGAAATCGAAGGAACCGAAAGTAGAAATTTGAGAGAGAGAGAGAGAGAGAGAGAGAGAGAGAGAGAGATACAGGAAGTAATCGTAAGCGCCGTAAGTGAGAAAGTAGTGAATGCGTTGGATGAAAGTGCCTTCGAAGATTGGCCACCGACCGCAGAGGAAAGACACAACGACCACCGCAGTGACCAAACCATGGCACACCAACAACCACTCTACGCCCATTACTCTCTTCTCTTGTGCCTATGCCCAATCCATCATTTTACATCCCGTTCCACATCCAACGGACGCAAATCCAATCCTTCCTTAACTCCTTCTAGAATTTTATTATTATTATTTTACTTAATTTAAAATACATGACGAATAATATTACGATGTAAATATATTTTTACGATTTAATTATAAAGATTACATATGTTTCCTTTTATTCTATTTTTTATCCCAAATTTAAGGTTCATTTCATCTCTATTTATTTGATCTATCTTTAGATGGAATAGATCTTTGTAAGAATTTTACTACTGTGTAAAACATTAACCCTTAACAATAATAATAATTCGATAAATTTTATTTTTATTACAAAATAGAATTTTAATTTAAAAGAATCAAAACATATGGGAGATGTATTGACTTTTTTGTTTTATTATTATAACTAAATTTGACCTTAAGGAATCTTGATAATTATGTTTAACTTCTCAGTCAAATTGAATACAAATCGTATTCTTTTTTTATATTAAGATAGGATGGATGATTACTTTTCAAATTGATATTTATAGGGTTGCTTTTTTATGTAAGGAAAAATTAATAATAAATTCTAATGGGTTAATATCAAAATATTTAAAAAAAAAAATCTATAATATTATCCCAACAGTGGTGACTAAGAAACCTAGACTATGTAACTAGGAAAGCTTGAATTATTATCTTATTATAGTAATTATAAAATCTAGTGATTACAATATATCATATAAAAAAATACTATTGAGATCCCAGAAATAAAAATATAATAAAAAATTATTTTTTTCTTTTTTCTTTATCTAAATTGGTGTACAGAGATTTCAAGTATCCTACTTCCCAATAATTGGAAAATGGAAAGAAGTACTTCCTATCAATTTGTTCAAATATTTGAAATTAGTATTCTAAACTTAAGTAATTAAATAATTTCATCATTGACATAAGGAAAATTCATTTGAATATATATATATATATACATATATATATATATATATATATACATATATATATATATACATATATATATATATATATATATATATATATTCACGTAAAATAGTTATTTACGGTGTGAAGACTAATTATCAGAATAAGTTACATGGGCATAGAATGAGTAATACCATTATATAAGAGAATCTTTTATTAACTTTGAAAACATTGTTGAGTTCAAAGCCCTCTTCAATGATCATAACTCCCTTCTCAGTTATCATTTATCATTTATCTTTCCACTTGAGAATCCCAAAAGGTTTATTATTCCTACAACGAAGATAAACAATGTTACTGCTACACAGCAATATTGCTTCACTTCGACAGAGATAGTGTGATACCCATATCTCAATAGTTTTATATCGATATTATGTTTAATTAATCCTTTCAAAAAATGTGTTATGTGTTATTGACGTGCTTATAAAGAAAAAGTGCAGTGTATGGATCAATTCAGTTAGCCTGCGCTTCACATCAATTGAGTCGGGCCTGCAAATTTTCTACACAAAAGAGAGTGTACTGAATCACTGCTTTCCACTGTAAAACAAGATATGCACATTTTGCTCCAAACATGGTGATGATACCAAATATAAATTTATGGAAATATCAATCAACATATCCAGGAGCAGAGTTTAGAGTAATAGAAGGGAATAATCAAAGGGGTCAAGCTTCGGTCAGAGGTCTGAAAAAGCGATAGAACTCTCTATAATGTCAATGCAGGATCCTACAGATTTTCCCATTGACAAGGCCTCTGCAAGCTTAGCTCGAGCTGCTTCATGCCTCCGCAAGAGAAAGACTGTGTTTAGCAAAGACCATCTAACTTGAGAATCTGCCTTCTTCTGTGTGAAGCCGAGACCCTTGAGCAGTAAATCCAACTATTTACAATTAACAAAATTACAATCAGTAATGCCAATTTCTATATGCCATGAGTAAGAAAGTAAGTCAAAAATTGCATAAACCTTTCTTATGTCATCAAGGCCACCTTCAGCAAATCCATATATAAGATACTCAGTAGAGACCCCAGCCAATGCTATACATGAAAATCTGCTCAATGTCTAAATAACATAAAACAAAGGTTGTCACATTATTAAAATTTGTAACGCGAAGATATAAATTAAAGAAACCTTGTAAGTATTGAAAATAGATATCAGTAAGATATCAACATACTGTAGCTGATACTTTTCCTGTACTAACCTGCATAAAGTGAAAAGTGCCAACAATCAACAAATGTAGCTGTTAACTTCATACAGATGTTGTACTCTGGGCAGTTTAATGAGCTAGAAACATGAATTGTCTCAATTATGTGATCGATATGGAGTCACGCAACTGAAACAGTCACGCAAAGACATTGTAAAGTGTGACAGGTCAACGCCAAATACTAAGGCATAGTCATGCAAAGAGTTGTTACTTTCTCTATACATAAAGCTTTATTATTTGGTTCAGTTTTTAGAATGAGATTGAAGGGGAACAAGATTGTTTCTCATTATTAGGTAATATGTGAAACATCTTTGTTTTGAAATACAATTATAAGGATATAAAAGTAAATTAATTTTTAAAGCTCTCCCCTTCCCTTCCTCTTAACTAAAAACATGCCTAATCAAAATCCATTCCCTCCCTTCCTTTGAACCAAACAATTCCTAAAAGTAATTGTGCTGCATTAAATATATAGTAAGGGGAAAGATAAAGCAGCCTACTTCTTCTTGAAACTCAAAATCCACAAAGGCTGTGCCTGCTTGAATATTCAGAGATCCCTCCTTCTGCAGAGCATCCAAACTAGAAATAGAATATCCTTTAGGAAGTATACCTACCAGATAAGCAATTAAAAAGTGGCCAGCTTCATGCTGCACAATTAAATTTTGTTATGGTTACTTAATGGTCGTTAAGATGATGCAAGTTAATTGAAATAAAATTACTTTTAAGTGTGCGATAATAGAATGGCGTGAATCTGACTTGAATAACCCTATTGTGGTATTTCTGACTGAAGCTGTGACCAATTGTATCAACAACCAAGCTGCCAATACCTCCACCAAAAGAGACCTGCAATGAATCAGTTGAATGAGCATGCTGATGGAATCCAAGTAGTATGTAAATGAACAAACACAAATGTAATGAAGATTGACAGACAAACTTGTTCCAGAATTATACAATGCAATGACCCTTAAATCGTTGATACTTACAGAGTAGTAATAAGGTCTGTTACTGGCAAGGTGACAATTAGGATAATGGAAACAAATCTTTCATTCATATGCATATTGGAAACAAATCGAACATTGAAATAACATTTCTTAGAAGGTCAAACGGACAAAGCATGAGAAAAGAGATGAAGCTCTCAAAATATGCAAGAGGAAACAAGTGGTTGTGATCGGCAAAAGATGCAAACAAGCATAAAACAAACGACTCTTCTACAAAAACTTCACTTCACTCATTGTGAAATGAATTAACGTGCAGGTGTGAGTAAGTACCGCGTCTAGTGTCCATAGAAATAGCAACCCCAGTGATATATAGAAGATTTGTTGTGGGGAAATTGCAAAGGCATTCCATGCAGCAAGGCCTCCTACAATAGCAGCAATCTGAAGGTTCCTCTCTATCGAACCAAGAGTAGTGTCCACAGGCGACAGAAGAGACAAAGTCTCAATTCCATTGAGCCTCAATTCATCCAAGGTGTAAAGCCTTTGAGGCACCTGCAGAATGAGAATAGAGAAAGATTATCCAAAAGGCATAGAATGTCGAGAAGAAGCAAGAGGGTACAAGACTAACCTGTCTGGCTGCACCGAAACACCGAAGCCCTCCAGGCTTACCCTGCAAATCCTTCACAAGTGCCAGCGCAGCTCTATCATCTCCCTTTGCTAACTCCTCGTCTAATTTCTCCAGCACTTGCTTCCTAGACACTACAACGTCGGAGGAACATCGGATTCTGACCCTAAATTCAGATGTTGTCGGTTTCAGTTGTCCATGGCACGATGTCAGGGCCACACCCACATGCTGCATCAAACCTAAACCCACCATTTCATCGAAAATATTAGGGTTGATGAATGGAAATTATCACTATCTACTGCGTGTTTGATTGTTTTCCACGGACGCAGCGTCTTAAGACCAGTTGCAATTTTTCCTTACATGCGTTCTTCACCACATAAATACAAGATAACGATTTTTTAAATAAAAAAACAAATTTTCTAGCATCTAACCCCGTTTAATCAGGAGTTGCTGGATATTATACAATTGGGATAAATTGTAAGATTTTCTTTAACAATATAGAACCAAATACCATGATTAAAAATATTTAAAGAAAAATGTCTACTTTTTGGAGAACAAACACTGGAAATACGAGGACGCCGTTTCTAACCGATGTTGAGGCCTTTAAAAAAAACAATTTAAACCCACTGCCTTTTGGTGATGCAACATACTTCTTAGTACGCTTCCCTTTTGTTGAAAGTCCCACATCGCCTACCTCATATCATTTGGTATGGTTTAAATACATGTTAGGCTACTCCACATATTGCCAATTGATTTTATGTTAGAACCTTAACATGGTATCAGAACCAAAGCCTAACATCTTTCCGGTTATTGTCATAGGTCAAAAGTACCTGCTTTGCTCGATCCTGAGCGAGCTTCGTTGGAGAGGTGTGTTGAAAGTCCCACATCGCCTACCTCATATCATTTGATATGGTTTAAATACGTACTGCTTAGTAGCATTACTATACATGCAGTTATCTACATATCGCAATTGGTTTTATGATGTAACCTTAACACCTTTGTTTCACTTTGCAACTTCACTCCTTAAAACTAAAGTCCAGATGTATTGGTCGCTTCAGTAAAAAGGAAAAATAAAATAAAGTGTAAAAATGTGGGAGATTCTTGTTCCATTGGAGAGTCATTATGCTTCCATCAAATTGTTTGGTGCAATAGCCGTTAGTCATCCAAATTTTTATTTCGTTAAATTTCTTATAATTGTGAGCATCAATTGAAAGAGCACCACAATATTTCCTTATATAATTCAACAAAAATTTCTTATAAATTTTAACTAAATACTTTCCCAACTAGTATTCATACATAACCTCTTATGTTGCTCCCACCAAAGGAGCAAGAAAAAAAATTAAAGTCTAGGTGAAACAGTCACGAATATTACAACTTATCGAAACATAATGAGAAAGACAAAATCACTACTTGCAATCCGATGAGAACGACGGTATGACATCGCTTACACTGAAAAAAATATGAAAGCACCATTGGGTAATTAGACATGAGCTTATTTTCCAAATACAACAAGGAATGGTGACAGTATTGATCTCTAAACATAATTACAAATGCTCACTACGGGCATTCCAACATGTGTCTACAAGGAATATCAGATTAATAGTTATCACAAGACACATTAGACAGAACGGAAGGAGAATGATGTCAATACCATGCTAATCCCCCCCCCCCCCAAACAAGAGAGAGAGAGAGAGAGAGAGAAAAAAAAAACATATGCACCCTTAATGAACAGCCAACACCTGAGAAAATTACGAAAACTAAATAGGCTTGAACTAGATTGGAGGACAAAGCAACAAGATAAAATGTCTGACAAGCATTGACTAAAGCTATTGTATGACATTATCAATTTCAAACATAGGGATTCAACTGGTAGCCTTATCATTTTCAATAACAGCACTTCCAAAATTATTAAAACGCCCATTTTCATTCAAATCCATCCAAAAAGATTTACACCATTAAGCTCAGCAGACTGAGAACTTGTCTCTCAAAGCAAATATATAGAAATAAACGAAACCATGTATATTACACCAAAATGAAATAAAACCTATCTCCAAAACGAGCAACTATCAACCTAAAACTCTTGAGAAGCAGAACCAATTTCGCCCTTCCCCTTGCCAACCTTTTTGGGAAGAAGAGTTTGATGAATATTGGGCAAAACCCCTCCGTTGGCAATGGTGACAGAACCCAACAATTTACTAAGCTCCTCATCATTCCTCACCGCAAGCTGAATGTGCCTCGGAACAATTCGATTCTTCTTGTTATCCCTAGCAGCATTTCCAGCCAGTTCCAAAACCTAAAAGAAAATTCATAGTCAGCAAAGCAAATTCCTCAAGTTCAAAACTTTAGGTCAATCGAAACCCTAACAAACAGAATAACCAAAAACAATCAAAACAACAGTTAAAGCAACAAAAACGAGAAACAAGAACAGATCAAAACTAAACCTAATCAAGTATCAAAACAAACCTCGGCGGCAAGATACTCAAGAACCGCAGAGAGGTAAACTGGAGCACCAGCACCAACACGCTCTGCATATTTGCCAGCCTTCAGGAATCGAGCGATTCTCCCAACAGGGAATTGGAGACCAGCTTTCTGCGATCTTGAAACGGATTTGGAGGCCTTGGGCTTGCCCCTTCCACCCTTGGTTGAACCACCGGTTGAACTCATTTTCTGATAGGCGAATAAATTGGAAAACCTAACCCTAGAATTTGCGTTTCGAAGGAAGGACGGAAAGAATGTGTGAGAACTGAGACAGGAGGCAATGAAATAAGTTTCTGAGTAGAATGGAATTATATAGGGCTCTAGAATCCACCCTAATTGGTGGAGAGGGTGATACACGGATTGCCAATGTGGCATTCCAATGGGATTCGCGGGAAACTGCTTTTTTTGTTTTCAGAGTATTTTTGAACACCCGCCTGCACTTTTTAAGACTGGTTTTCTACTAACTCTTTTATATATTTTAACATAATTAATTAATTTAAATTAGTGTGTCAGTCGCTCCATAGTTAAAAAATTGTATATAAAAAAAATATCATAAGAAAAAATATAATTTAAAAAATTATTATCAAAATATTAAAAACAAAATTATAACTTAAATTAAAAAAAAAAGTATATATATATATAATATAAAAAATAAATATATTTATTTATTAACAGTACTTTATATAATTTAGTGGAATATAATTTTTAATATGAATATATTATATTAACTTTCACATAAATAAATGTAAAGAGAAAAACAAAAAATGTAAATGAGACAGATAAATAGTAATTAATCACAGGTAACCCTTTTATATATATATATCAAATTATTTTATTTAAATGACAAATTTATATATAAATTTACCGGACATGTAAATTAAGGAAAGTTATATTTGAAAACAGAAAATATCTAATATAAATGTATTGATACTTCATAAATTATATTATTATATATATATATATATATATATTACTAATTTTTCTTATTTTAAAAATTATAGTACTGAAGGTCCATGCTTGTGCAAGTAATTATAACCTCATGAAAATTCTTTCATCTACTTAAATTGAAAAACATAAAATTCAAATAAATTAATACATAATGTTTGAGTAAACTATCTAAGTCTTTATAATAATTCCATCATCCCATTGATCTTCTCTTAATTCCTATGAGATCACTTTCCACTAAGTTTATAAAAATTACTTTTACTTGTAGTCAACATGTTTTGTCTAAGTCATGTCTCAATTTGTCCTATCAATGCACTATTATGTCATTTTTAAAGGAAGTATATCTCAATCATAAATGAATTAGGAAATATAAACTAAGAAAAATTATATTATTTTCAAATTATGATAACATAAGAGCTAACAATTTATATAAATAACATTATTTTCTTAATGTGATATAAGTTTATATAGTTTATATTTATATATATATATATATATATATATTACTTATTTTTTAATTTTTAAATAATATTAAATGTCAATTCAAATTTAAATTTATAAAATACTATGTTTTTAGACTATTTTGTTAAAGTCATTACCCAACTTAAACAAAAAAATTTGAATTTAAGTTGGGTTCAAGGTGACAAATTTAAAAAAAAATTGTTATTAAATTTTTTAATTCTAAAATATATTTTTATAGAAATTTTTTAAAATAGATTAAATTATTTATTATATAAATAATTTAATATAATAATTAAATAATAAATATATTATTATTATTCATATTAAAATTATTTAATAATTTAAATTATATTTCGAATTAAATATACAAAATTACTTATTGTGTCCGTGGTTGTTTTAGGTTGGATTGAATTTCCCCTTTCAACACCCCACTGATACACATAGTACTGATGTTATGTTATTTCTATCAGGTTGCCCAAATGACACATGATGTCAATTTCTTACTTAGTTGGCAAAGATAGTTGAATATTACATAAATAAATACACAGTGAAGGTGATAAAGAAAGAGAACATTACAACAGAAGTAGATGAAAAATGTTTCCTTTTTAGGGTTATTGCAAATTGAATGGAACTTCCCTTATCGCCCACTACCTAATAATGGAGCCTCCCACGACAAAACCTGCTGCTTCATCTACAATCACACAAGTAGATCAATATAAGAACTTTAGAGGAGACATCAATAATTTCTTATTAGAGTTTTCTCTTTTGTTACATTTCTGACTAGGATTTAATATTTATACTCAGTTAGTAAATATTTAATAAATTAAAAACCATTTTAAAGTAATTATTAAAAGGTCAACTACCTAGAACAATCTATATACAAATGTAGAAGTACTACTGCTTCCATCCCCTTACCTTGAAGAGAGTTTCAAGCTTGCTTTTCACTGAGGAACACTCCTGCTTTATTTCCTGTAAGGTTTTAAGACACCTGAAAACCAATATGTATTTTCTGTTTAGCACATCCCCAAATTTTATAATTAATAAATAAATTACATTGACATTTTTAGAGATTTTGTAAATTATATTGAACTCTCTCATTTCAAGAAAGACTACACTGAATATTAAAAGAACAGAAAAAAATTCTGCCATCTTACTGAACTTGAAGATGCATTAATTAATCTACTCTAATAAATTGTCAAAAAACTAGTACTAGACATGGTATTTTGCAAAGATTCAAATGAAAACTTTGATAGATCAATAGTTTGGAAACTTACCCTTCAACATTTTTCTCCTCACAGTAGTTCCTGAAGGCAATGCAGACTTTCTGAACTCTCTGTGCACCAATGCTGTGTTCTCAACAATCCAATAAACCTTATCAAAACACTCATACTTTTTTGTACAACTTTTCTGTCACCCCTTAGGGAGAGTATTTTTTATACAGTGTATACCAGAAAGATGAAAAGTACGTTAGACTTCACCATATACTATATCAATCATTTGACATTCAAAATTATGCTAGATGATGATGAAAATGTATTTTTATAAGGAAATTATTGTGTGATTCAGAACTATCTTGTACATAGTTTTAGGTCAATCACTTGTGTTTCTCACAGTATCAATCCTTGCAACTGTTACACAACAGTGTGGTGCAAGGACATCCACTTGCTATAAGGGGTGCAGCAGATTGATACTTCTTCCACAAACTTGAGAAAAAAGCAACCCCTCCTCCAAATTGTACTTGCTATAACTATGCCAATATGCTCTAGTGAGCATTTTTTACCACTAGTTCGTTTCTGACAGAACTTTCTCATATGCTTTAAGTACTGTTCTACAAAGTGTTCCCCTTACGAATCCATAATATAATAAAGGTTTGTATTAAAAATTACCAAGTGGATTTTCAATTCTGATAGAAGAATAAGGCAAAACTACTCAAGGGCATATAACTTTTGTCAAATTTTTCGCTGTTGAGTTTTTGGGAATGGAGTGGTAAAGAAATATCATTACCTGGAGCTGCTACCTTTCAATTGGCGAACATTAGCCTCCACCCTTTTGAAATCAATGTTATCCTGTCCTCTGTTTAGGGAGGAATCAGCATTCATTCAGAAAGAGATTCCCAAAGGCACTTTATATTGGTCCAAATACATAAAACAAACAAGGAATAAACTGGTGTTCCCTTACAGTGCCTTTGCCAGCTCATTGAGAAGCCTCTCTGCACCCTCAAAGAAAAGAGTCACCACTTCAACCACAAACTCTGGGTTGCTTTCATCTTGAAGTTGCTGAACCTCGTTAAATTGATCATCTAGGAAACCCTTTTCCAAGATACAAATCCTCTGACACAGTGAGAAATATAAAGAGACCACAAAATAGATGCAGCAGTACTAACACAAAATAGTAAGATACATAGCTTATGAGTGGTGAGGCTTTATTTTCTGCTTCCCTTAATGCATATTGGTAATTGCATGACATACTTACCTCATCAAACAGAGAAGAAGTGTATTCAGTCAACTGTCTCTGCAGCTGAGACACACCATACATTGTTGTTCTTTCAAACTTTAACCAAACCACTCAAGATCTTAAGCAATTATTTTATCTTCCCTCCACTACCTAGTTTCTATGATTGAATAATCTCTGTTCTCAACTGGGATTACTAATGCTTGCATAGAGATTTGTTTCATGTCACATTATGTGGAACAGCTTGTGGTGTGGTTCTTTTATATGTAGAAAACGTTGTCTCATCCAATCGGTATTTCTGTACTTAGCTTATCCATCAACCAATGATCTATGATTAGATTATAATAACCAAAATTTCTGTCTTGAAAATGGGATTTCCTCACAAAGTATATTAATTAGCATACTCTCTTTATTATAAACTTATAACTATCATGTATTTTTATATCGAATATATTGTATTAAAAATGAAATAATACGATTAAATTATTAAAACGCTTTGAGATAAAAACTGGTCAAATAACTATGACCTGGTCAAAGACCGATAAACTCCCCTATTTGGATAAATTTCTTATAAGTACTTGTAGGATATTTTTTTGAAGTTAAAATTAACTTACCTATAAATTAAAAATAAAAATTTAAAAGAATTTATATGAGACAACTTTGATATATATTAAGTTATATATAATTTTTTATTTATAGATATTTAAAAATGAAGTTTATCTAAGCATATTTTTAAATTAATTTTTGTAAGACACTTTGAAGATTAAGAACCTTATGTATTTTATTTTTAGTTTTTTTATAGTTACAAATCTATAATATCTTATTTCTTTAACATTAAAATATGTATTGTTACTTATTGTTATTATTTTATTAACATGGTTTAATCACGAATAAATTATTGAACATGAATCAATGTTTTGATTGGTTTAGTAATGGGCCATTAAAGATATGAGACCAATAGTTTGTCAACAACTCCAACCATTATCCATTCCCTGCAGAAAAATAAATTGACCATAAATACAATGTGAGTTACTTTGCCAATTAAAAATATAGATATCTTCAATGTAATTTATATAAGTTGTTTTATACGTTAAAAAAATAGAATTTATTATTTTATTATTTTTACATTAATATTCAATAATTTATTGAAATAATAATTTGTGTTAATTTATAATTATATTTTAAAATTTTAAATTTGAATGGTTCATAGAAATAATTTAAAATATTTAAAAAAACTTTAAAATGTAAATAAAATAATTTTTTCAAACAATTCAAATCAAACTCACGAACTTTTTTTCCTATGAGAATACTTTAATAATTTTTTATTATTATTTTGCAATATTTTTCTTCTTAATTTCGCTTCCAATGTTATAATCAATAAGTGTTTGCATGTAGAGATATCAAACTACTGATTAATATTTTAAGATATTAATGCTGAAATTAAAATTAAAAATATTATATTTAATATTATCAGTATGTTTTTATTGACGCGTCTTATGTGATATTATATTAACGTTTCATTTAAAAAAAAAAGAAAAAAAAAAAAATATATATATATATATATATATATATATATATATATATATATATATATATATATATATATATATATATATATATATATATATATATATATATATATATGCGGGTGTAGAAACTAATGGAAACATAGAATTAAAACGATTGTGTGATGATATTTTTTTTATAAATATTTAAAAAATATTTTTATTTTTTTAAAGTTATTTAAATTAAATTTTATTTTTAAAAGTATATTTCTTTTTTCACTTTCTCATATTTTTTAAAATATATAAATTATAATAATTATTCTTTTAAATTATAATATTTTTTCTATTTGATAAAAAATATTACAAAAGAATTTCCTTTATAAATATATAAGAGTTAAATATATAAATGAAAATTAATTCAAATATAAAACAATAATGTATATTTAAAAAATATATAAATATATAGATAGATATAGAAATATTGATATATATTATCAGAAACTTTCTATATGATAAATTTAATCAGTGATAATCATAGTAAATGATGACAAAAAAAAATATTTAAAAGATAATTATTAAGATAGATATATAACATTAAATATAATAAATATTTTATTTTTTATTTTCTTAACCACTAATATGAACTCTTAATATATATATATATATATATATATATATATATATATATATATATATATTATTTCAGACATGTTATAAATTATATCATCAATCTATTATAGAACTTATAATATAAAGAAATATTTTAAGTTAGTTTTTACATTAATCTATATTAAGTAATTTATTTAATTATTCTCTTGGTATATCTTTATGCAAACTTTATAATCTTTTTAAATTAGCTATTTAAATCAACTATTAAATTTCAGTAATCGAGAAAATTAAAAATATAAAATATTTAAGTCAAAGAGGTCCACTTAAAGCTTCATACAGCAAATTGCCCCTTAATTTTTTTATTTTTTTTAAATATTCAACAATTCTTTTAGAAATTTACTAGTGTGATAAAAAAAAAACTTCTAAGAAACAAAAATTATTTTAAAAGTGACAATAGATAATAAACAAATAATACAATGTAAAAACTAAAAAGTGGAAATAAATACATTGGAATGATAATAATTACTATTTTTTTGTTCTATTGTTGTTAAAGTGAACATGAGTCCTTTTTCATGGGGTATCTAATGGGAGAAAATGAAAAAGTATGCTATTAATTTAAGAATCATTGTTAGAAATGATTTTTTTCAATTAAAATAATTTTAAATAATTCATATTAATTTTTAAAAAATTATTATGATAAGTAATTGTTATAAACATTCATAATTTTTTATTTATATTTGAATTTTGAATAGCTAAAAAATAAATTATTTTTATTATTAAATATTAACTTAAAGTAATGTTTTAATATGAAATAATTAATTATAAAAATCATATATTTATTTTTATATCTATAAATATTCAAATTTTTTTACATTATTCCTTAATATTTTAAAATATATGAAAAATATAATTAGTCATTTTCTTAATTTTAATATAATTTTAAATAAAAGCACTTTTACTTTCAAATTTTAAATATCAATTTTAATAATAAAAATGGATAATTATTTGACTTTTTAGTATTAAAAGAGAATAAATTTGTAAATGTTTATTAATAAGCAATATTTCATTAAAATATTTGACTAAATAATTGAAGTTGGAGAAAATTAAAATATGTGAAACAGAAAAATAGGGAGAGACTTCAGAGTTAGTTTCTTAAAATGAAAAATATTTAAGAGGTATTTTTCATTTTTTTATTTTATTTCATGTAACGTTGTTGTTTGTTTAAGATAAATGAGTGTAATGTACTCTCATCAGACATTTATCATCATTTTGTTTGAGATTTATTAAAAAATGTTTATCAAATAAGGAGTAAAAATTATTAAAATTATGATTTTCTGATAATCTTTAATTAATAATAAAATATATGAAATAATATGTAAAATTTAATAGAAGAGAAATGTTAATAACACATATTAACATATTTTCTAATATGTTTTATCATCTTATCATCAACTAAAATTGATTGGATATCATAGCTTCGAAAATCTTATTTTCTACTTAATAAATCTCTTTCCTGACTTCATAAATTTTGATAAATTATAGTCAATGACAAACTATGTGTTAAAGAGTATATAATACTATAATTAACTTTATTTATTAACTATCACGAGACTAATTTAATTTAATTACAATTTTGAGTTTTAATTATAATGATATGTTTTAAATATCCTAAAAAAATATATTCAAAGATAAAAATTTGTCATTTCAAATTAGTGTATCCTATTTTAGAAAACGAAGTGTATAAAAGAGACATGATCTCTATCATTGAAAAATTGAAAGAAGTTGTGGTTAAGAATTTTCTGATAAATTTAAGCCATAAAATAATTTTATGAGATCAATGTAAGTTGACAGAGGACACAATAGTTAATAGTGTCATGCTGGGGCGTGCCTCAGTAAGCACGAGCTGTGTGTGAGAGTACTATCAATAACTCACATTGACATATTATATATAATATATATCTATATATATACATATATAATAAGAATTAAAATTACTTTTTATTTTAATTATTTAATTTTCATAGTCTAATAATCTAAAATAATATTTAATTTTAACTAAACTACAAATTAATAAATTATAAAAATGAATATATTAATAATAAATCTTTAAAATGAACTTTAAATTACATTAAATTTTATGTAACAATTTAGTATATATATATATATATATATATATATATATATATATATATATATATATATATATATATATATATGCAAAGGAGTGAGTGATAACGAGGTAACAACGAAAATCTGCACGCTGACTATTGAACAGAAGCAGTAGAACATGGTTTCTTTGTGTTGGGTCCCATGTTTAACCTAAGTATACATGCGACCGTACAAAGCTGTACCTTGTCTGTTTTCTCGTATTATATATCAACTAGTGTTTTTCTGTGATCCAATTGAAATGGACCACAAATATTATATGTTTGTAGAAGTCTATATAAAAATTATTGTAGTTTAATTACTTATGTCAAATCAGGATTAGTACTATTGGATTTGGAGGTAGCAGAAGTGGAATAAAAGCTGTACAACATGTAAATCAATAATTGAAGATTTTTAACACTTCCAAAGGGACCACATCGTAACTTGGATTTCAAACAACCTTATGTTCTTCATCCCAATCCATGATGCAGGGACTACCACCACTGTGGAATCATTATTTCACACATTTCCACTTCTTACTACAGCACATTGCCATGGGAACACCCAAACAAAACAATAAGCATAGGTCTATCAATTAATATCCAAACCCACAATCCATTAAGCATTTTTTAATTAAGAAAATATAAAAGAATACTTGACTTTAAACATGTGATATGACATTATCTATCTCTTTTTGGTACCTTAATAGAGACATTAATTAGAAAAATTGTGGATGACAATATCAACTTTCCATTCACATGACATTGCCTCCACAAGTCACTTCAAATGACCAAAAGCAAAGCAATAAAGAAAAGATCTCATTGCTATGGATAAGAATATTGGGCCCTTGCCATCTTCTTTCTTTAAGATTTAGGTTTTTGATCATTGAAATTGACTAGAACTACAAAGTGCAAAGAGACTAATAGTTGGCTACAAATTTAAATTTTAGACATCAAATTCATCACATGTTTTTGCATTATTATAAAATTTTCAAACATGGGCCAAGGCAAAAATGTCAATTTGCCCATGACTTCTTTTTAGGAATAGAATATTTTTAGCGTCATTTAAAGTTGCTAAAACAATTATATTTCAACATCTTCGAAAGGAATAACTAATTAAGATATTGTTGCATATCGAATTCTAATTATTAGAAATAAACAAATTACATTAGTTTTGAGAGACTATAGAGACTACATGAATTAACAAAAATCTATACACAATTACATTCTAACTTTTAATTTGTGAATGAAAAAATTATTGCTGGAAGGTTTATACAACTATTTTGTGAAATAAACTTAAAAGAAACATGCTATATAAGGGTCAAATTCACGTTAATTTTTGATGAATATGAATTTAGTTTAATATAAATTAATCAGATTTATTCTTTATATAAAATTTTCTTTATTTTTTTTAAGATTAATATTTAAAGTAATTATTTTTTTAATAAAAAATAAATCATTACATTATTAGACACAAATATAATAATTTTCTCTCTTACTATTAAAATTAAAATTTAAAAAATATATTTTGATATAAATAACATAGTTTCAGCATCATAATCTTTTTCCTGTGTCAATTGAGCCTCGTCATAATTTTTTTGCACCTTTTTTTCTTTGCACTCTCTAGCAAAAATGGTAAACTTATAACAATTATAACATTAGATTATCTTTCTGTCAAACTTCTTTCTTGTTGGATGTAACATTCTTATTTGAGTCTTTATCCTGATTCTTCGTATCCTTTTAATCTTGTTTACCTTTCTTGAGGTCTTTTTTTATATTTGAACCTATAAAACCTAATTTTGTTGAATAATAATTCAACAATTATAATTAGTAATGATTGATTTTATTAGAATGTTAGATCTAACTAACTTTTTGTTTTTCAATTTTAAATACCATGTTAATATACAATTGATGTATGAGAGTACATAATAAACAATAATACTTCAATTTATTCACCTCTCTTTATTTTTTCTCTCTCCATATTTTGTCTAAGACATTTTTTTCACTAGCAAATTTGAATTTCAACAATGAGATTCTTTTATAAAATCTATTTCCTATACTTTAAGAATCTCTTACAATTCATTAATTTTCATATGATCAATACTTTTTTCTTATTCAATTTAACAATTATATGATCGAACCTTAGAATCAATGTCCTTAGTCGATCTTCATTTGATTTCTAGGTGTAGGAAATCAAGTGAAATACTTAACTTCACTTTTTTGGACATTCATCAATAATAACTCATATTTCTTTTCAACATTTACAACTTCACTTTATTTAGTGTTCAACCCCTTCATAGAAATTTGTAAAAAATTGTAATGTTTGTATCAACGATTCGATGAATGATATAAATAATTGGTATTTAAAAGTAAAATAATGAAATAAGAAAATTGAATATACTTATATTTCTAAAACACATACATCTTTCTTGTTGATTTATTGAAAAACTAATTTCTGTTTATCTGTTGCAGCATCACTAAGATAACGAAGTTCATTTTTAATTTCAATGTTGATAATGACGGTCATCTTTAATTATAGTCATGATAATGATGGTCATCTTTAATTCTATTCTTGATGATGTCAGTCACAGCTTGGAAAGGGAAAAACCAACCTTCAAATTTACAGCATTGATCGTACAGGAAAAGAAGCTGGTAAGTTTTCTGTTACTATCATTTTCAAATTTCTTTAAAAATACTCTTTTTTCTAAAATCAAGAACAAGAATTCTAATTCTAATTATTGGTGTTTAACAATAAATTGATAAAAGAAGAAAACTAAAACTGGATATATTTTAAATATTTTAAAACACATACATATTTGCATTTATAGATATTTTAGAGAAACTTCTTTTTTTAACTATCTAACAAACAATTATATAATACTTGAAATTTTAACTAATTACAACATATACTACTACTTGATTCCTTATTGGTATTCGTTATTGGTATGTGCATAGAGATTGAGTCTGGTTGGACCTCGGATCCAACTGAATAAGTAAAGTGGGTCAAAATAAACCTATTTGGGAGAGATTGACTTGATTGATACTTAATGGACCCGATGCGTAGATAGTACAGGAAATAATATATTATTGAGATCGATAGATGCGAAGAAAGAAAAAACCTAAAAGAAAATTTGATTATAAAGGGAAGGGAGAAAACCTAAAACGCCAGATCCCTTGATCCAGAACATTGGCGTCCACCGTGGGACAAGTAACATTTTTCCTACTCCACATTCAAAACAATCATGGTGACTCGTACCAACAACTGAAACAATAAAGACCCTAACGGGGTTGACCCAAACAACGCAGCGATACAACTAATCCTTAATCAAATTGAGGAGTTGCGGCGACAAACTGAAGAAGCCCAGTGCATGGCGACAGACTGAGTTGTACTTTTCTCCTTGGAAGTTTGTTAATCTTACAGTCATATGTTTTTCTTTCAAGGTTTTTAATGAGACAATAATACCAATAAAAGGAATTTATGCTCGGAATGCGAGTTATGCACAAAATGCGTACTAGGGGTCGAAATGCGACCTATGCTCGGAATGCGAGTTATGTACGAAATGTGCACTATGGTCGGAATGCGACTTATGCTCGGAATGCGAGCTATGTGCGGAATACGCACTATGATCGGAATGCGACTTATGCTCGGAATGCGAACTAAGATCGAAACGCGATCTAAATTGGAGTACGAGTAAAAGTAGGTTAATCTTCATCTAAATTCAAGTACTCGCAGAAGCAATTTTCACACTACATCAAGACGACGATCACTGTAAGTCTGATTTTTAATAGTTGTTTATTCCTTTTTAAGTGGTTGAATTTTGCAATTATATCATGAAATATTAAAGGATGAAGTGTATTCGACGTTTATTTTGCATTATTAGAAATATTTTTCTAATTTAAGACTTGGGGGTTGTGCTATGTGCATAGAGATTGAGTTTGGTTGGGCTGGGTCCAACTGAACGAGTAAAGTGAGTCAAGATAAACCCATTTGGGGTTGTGCTATGTGCATAGAGATTGAGTCTGGTTGGGCTGGGTCCAACTGAATGAGTAAAGTGGGTCAAGATAAACCCATTTGGGGAAAATGTACTTGATTGATACTTAATGGCTCCGATGAGTAGATAGTACGAGGAATAAGATATTATTGGAACCGATAAATGCAGAGAAAGAAAAAACCTAAAGGAAAATTTGATTATAAAAAGGAGGGAGAAGACCTAAAACGCAAGATCCCTTGTCCAAAATACTTATAAATAACCCGACATCTAAATTTCATGATATTAAAATCAAAAGGTGTATTTTCTAATAAAAATATAAAATAACGTGAACAATGCATAAATTTAGAATTATATATATATATATATATATATATATATATATATATATATATATATATATATATATATATATGCGATTTCCAAAATTTACAACTTTTGATTAAAAGGATTGTCAGTTGGAAATTCGGAATCACCAAAATCTTAGAGTATTATATCCAAGTCTTGTTTTTTTTCTTGTGTTGTTTCGTGTTTTTAATGATTTTCCTCTATGCTTGTTATTTTCTATGAGAAGAACGATCAATTAACGTTTCATTCTAACTTTACATTTATCTGTGCAGTACATATATTTGATAAAATGTGAAAACATATCTCTTTTATATATTATTCACTCTGATAAGTGATATTGGTTGATGTCCTAGCACTATCATGTGAATGATACTCATTAATCACATCGAGTATTTTAAGAGCACTAGCCTTGGTTGAGTAAATTTTGTATTCATGACTAATATCTGACATTTTAATTTTATTTTCGAGTCGAGTACGTCGTATTCAACGTGGAAAATGATTTAAGTGAAGATTACAATTATTTGGAATGAATAGAATATTGTGTTTACAAATGGGTTTGTTAATTGTTAATGTTAATATCTACCAACAATTCAACTGTGGACCTCTTCTAATTCAGTAAGAACAATGATTATTGAGACTAAAGCAAATTATATTATGTAAGTTCGATATATGTTTAAGTTATGCATGATACATATCTTGATTTTATCTGCAATATGTTACATGTTATGTCTTCCTAGTCTTAACCTTTTCATATATCTGATTATATTAAATAAGAAAATAATCTAAATTTAATGATAATTTTCAATAAAATAAAGTGCCATACTTTATAAATTAAGATTTTATAACAAAGAACTAAATGTAAGTTTTTCTATCCTGTCTTTTCTCTTTCTTCCGTTAATCAAAAAAGTCCAAGAGTGTATATCGATTGAGTTTAAAATGGTATAAGATGTATGTTTTTATTGGACTTTTAGATTACAGGAAGAAAGAGAAGAAGCAGTATCCTCTAATATACTAAATACGGAGGGAGAGGACTTTAACCCTCATTTTCCCTCCCATTTCCTACCTTCAAATCAAATAGTATTTAGCCAGCAACACAACCAAATGTTTTGATATGATTTCCTTAGTTCTCTAGAATTGCTTATGCCAACTGAGATCACTTAAATAGCTTCTTCAGTCGTATTGTTGAGCATCTTTTTACTCCTCTCAGTATGTTCCAATACAAAGTCATCACCTCGTAGCAGTACTGCAATCTGCAGCCAACAGAGAAAATGTGATCAATCTTCTCTTCAACCAAAGTTATATTGTAGCTACACTATCTAACAATATCTTAGTTTATCATCGTTAAGATTACAGTTCTGCAATGGTTGCATACTTACCTGACTCATGCTGGGGCGTAAAATAGGAAACTGCTCAACACATATAGATGCAGTCAAAACAACACGTTCCATTTCTTCTCGATCATAATCATCACCCAGAGAAGGATCAACAAGGTCCTTAGTATTATTAGCTATATATAAAGGCTTTGCCTACAACACAAGAAATCACAATGTGCTGAGGCCTCTAAGGTAGTAATACTTAGATGATATATGACATACCAACACTTAGGAGAATGACTTACCCATAGCACAATACTTTCTCGCAAATGATCCAAAGCATGACGCCCAGATATAATCTCCAAAAGTAAGACCCCAAAGGAATAAATATCAGTCTTCTCGTTTACTATGCCATGCATCAAGTACTCCGGAGCACAATACCTGTTAATTAAATGATGAGGGATAAATGTTAAATCATGAGAATGACAATTAAAACTCAAAATATAAGTTTAGAAGTTTATTGTATATGTGTATTTGCTTACCCAATTGTGCCTTCAAATTTTGTTACTTTATGCTGAGTACACGGTTCTGGTAGCCACTTTGAGAGCCCAAAATCACAAATCTGGAGAAATTCTCAATTAGTCAGAGAGTGATAGATCAGATGAAGTACAATCCTTGAACTTGTACACAATTAGAGTACTAGTATGGGATCCAGAAGCAAAGACCTCTGCTTCTGATGCAGCTTATTATTTTACCAGCAGAGTATGAAATAAAATGGTATGAAAGAGAACAATTAGAACATACACTGTCATGGCTCAATTTATATAATCATCTCATTGAAAGGTTGAAGATTATCAGAGAATATGATTTATTTTCAAAATTCTAAATTGGATTAGATACTAAGGATCACTCAATTAACAAGCTTGATGATGTTGCTCTGTGAGAGGATTGTCCACAAACCAGAGCATTGTCATCCAATGTGCCACTAGTCTCACAAATTTTAAGCTAGCCACGGGAAATATTATCGTAGATTATCTTTTAGAAGGGCATGTTCCTAGTCACGTGTATCAGAAAATGAGAAGAATGCAGAAGAAGAAAGTGGTAACTTCATTATGTGAACACAACCACAAAATAGATGCATGGATCTTAAAGGCCGTCTTATTGGAAAATTCTTATACCAAGGTTTTCAAAACCAGCATGTATTATACTAATTCTTACAAAAAATTCATATTATTTATAATTGTACTAGTTTTTTCCCCAGTTTATTGTATAAACATTTAAAAGTTAAAAATAAAATAAAAGACAGAATTTGGTATAAGAATTATTGAAAATATACAAATATTTTCTCAAACTAAAGATGTCCCAAGTTTCACTAGCCAAGGTTAACAATGTCTTATTTTATTACTTCTCTCTAATCATTGATAACTACCTGTGGCTCATAATTCTCTGTGAGTAGAATATTTTCTGATTTAAGATCTCGATGAATGATTCGCCTCTGACAAATCTCATGAAGATAGAGGAGGCCATCTGCTATCCCCAAAATAATTTTATACCTTTTACTCCAATTTAATGTATTTTTATTTGGACCTGAATATTTCATGAAAAGTAAAATGTAATCAGTAGATACATTTAAACAGAACTTTTCAAAGCAAGATCTTGAATTCACTCTCGTGAATGAAAAATGAAAGTGGTTGTACAAAGAGATTCCACTAAAAATGGCTAACTAAAACAGAGATATACCTTGTTGGCAAATACTTTGCACATATTATATGTTAAAAAAAGAAGAAAGCTTTCACAAAGAAGAATAGTAGAATACTTTGAATCAAGTACACACCATGAAGAAGAGATCCTAAATTTCCTAATGGAGATAATTGGAAGACAAGATGCATTCCCCCCTCTACTCCAAATCCAATAAGCATGGCAGTATTGGGATGGTCAACATGAGCAAGAATGCCTAGTTCAGATAGAAGATTTGATATCCTGTCTTCTACAGTCCCTCTATCCAGTTGCTTGACTGCTATCAGTTGCCCATCTTGGAGCCTACCCTTGTAAACATGAGCATAGCCACCTCTTCCAATTATATTCTCTGTAATTAAAGGAAGAGCAAATTCTACATGGTCAAATTGATGCTACTTTTCAGAAAGCAATAGTATACTCCCTAATATCATCCACACATAGCAAACACTTTCAAATGAGTTTACAATCAAACTATATAACCAAAACCAAGCCTTTATCCACTAGGTGGGGTCCGGCCAATGGATTACATGACTGCAAGGAACGTGTTTGGAGATCAATTTGGCCACCTTCAACTTACTTTTATCTCAATAAACTGTTGTCCTTCCAAGTACTTTCCTTACCCAAGTGAGCTGGTAAATTTACTTTAGGCTCAAAGCAATTTCAAGGTCGCTTTTAAAATAAGAGTACTTTTGATTAGTATTGTACAAAAGATATTTCATTTTATCTACATATTTTGAACAAAAAATATCCTATAAAAAACCATGTTAAGTATTGCACAACTACGCACACAATCTTCTAATACAATTAATGTATGTAAACAAATTATATTGACTTCAAAATATTCCTAATGGATTTGCCTATAGTTTTTTTTCTGCCTCCAGTGTTACCCTGTGTGAGGCTTCTACAAGTCTTTGCACATGCCTAAACAACCTAAAGTGAGTTCTCTATCATCTTTCCGCAAGAGGGTGTTATCCTACCTTTTGTGTCTAGTGCATTCATTATTTTCTAATCTTATCTTCTCTGGTGTATCCGTCCATGCAACATTATACTAGATCCCCTTTAATTTGGAAGCATGTAATACTTTTTCTACATTATTATCACAATTTTGATGTGAATTTCCTTATACATATCTGAAAATCAAACACAAGCTGTAATTTGTTCTAATCATAATTTCTATCTAGTTTGGTATGCCCTGTATTTCTCGTACTAATAGAACTATATTATTATAATCTACTAGAAAAATAATTGGTCTGATAAGAGGGCTAGACTACAAACCATTGCTAAAATTGTTGGTTGCATTTCTCAGTTCAGAGAGCCTGAAATTCACCAAAGTTCTGGAACTGTATGGATTACAAAGAACAATGTTTTTTCCAATCCCTCGACATTTAAGTTTTGTTATGTTTGACATACAACTTGGAGGAAAAGATGGTAGATGCTTAATTGATCTCACTTTGCATGGTTTAAAAAACTTTCTCCAGTGAAACCGCGTCCTTGAGCTTGGATTACTACCAGCCAATTGAGGTGGTTGATGAGAATTGTCAGTGTCTCTAATGCATCCTTCCAAGAGTTCTTTCAGAGTTACCACACTTTTCTCTCTCTCCAAAACGATTTCTCCCGAGTCTGTACGAGTAAAATAAAAATAAAAATGAAAATTTTGAGCATAGGGAAGGGTAATTGGTAAATTTGGTCAAGAAGAAACTAAACAACATGAAAATGAAACAGTATATTAAAACCACAAGAAATTGTAATGAAGGAACCTTCGGCAGAAGCAGGGCTAGAAAACACAATTCCTGTTTTGTTGTGTTCATCATCAGAAACATGGTCAATTGGGACCATCTTTAATCCGTTCGCAGGACTTTGTCTTTACTATTCAAGTATTCTGCATGTTATGTTTAATCACAAACACTAGCAAAAGCAAACATTTTTCCCTTTCAGTGTGGTCTTGTTCATGACTCTGGTGTCTACCATACAAAGAAACAAGAGTCACAAACAATAACTTTGGGAAGCACAAAAGTAATATAATACTACTACTACTAATAATAAATATTAATATTAATAGTTACTATTGTTAATAATAACTGTTCTGTTTTGACTGAATTCTGGCTTGAACATGTAGAAAACAGAAATTGAGGCATTGTTAATTATTTGACAAAGAGCCATTAAAATATCTGACACAGGCTTTAATAATCAATAAATGATAATAATAATTTATTTGGCCAACTCCAAACTGAACAAGGCAGAAAATTATTCCAACATTACCTATCAGTGGCGGGATACAATAGAACGTGTTAGAATTTACCAAGGAATGACATTAATACATAGGAATGTGGTGTGATACTGACACAATGCACATAAGAATTGTCCTTACCCGAAAGTTAAACAATAGGGTCTCTGGTGACCGCCATTGACAATTAAGGTAACAGAACCAAAGCTTATGGTATTTGATGCCTTTAGAGAGTAAGTCTTGTAGAAATCCTTTTACTTTATAATTAGCCATGGATTGTTCTTCAGTTACAATTTTTAAGTGACAGATAAACTCAAATTAATGGAGGATCAAGTTGTTGTTCATTTCATAGTTTGCATGTTTCTGTATGTACATGTAACAGTCTCTAATGAGTCAACTAGGTGTGGACAGGTGGTGAAGCATCTGCATAACTAGATGCTTAACCCCCACACACAGTGTAAAATGGGAACGTTTCACTTATAAAGTGAGTGAAAAATACTGTTGAGAAAGAGTGTGGGGTTGCTTTTAAACAAATTTATTTAATAATTAATTAATGTTATTGTCCTGATCTTTTACTAAAGTTGTAAAAAAAAGTTGGTTACTTTGACTCATCAGACTTTATTTTTATCACAAATTATTTATCATACCCAAAAAGTTCTATTTCTTCTCTCAACTAAACTATTATATTGAGATGCTTTTTTTTATTATTATTATAGATTATTTATCATATCTAATAAAATTTTATTTCTCTTTTCAATTAGACCATTACATTGACGTGTATAAGATATTAATATTTCAGGTTACATATATTTTATATTACAAAAGTCATTGAATTCTCTAAATTATATTCACATAAGTATTTTATCTTTTAGTCAAAGTGTACAATTTTATAAATAAAAAAATATTTTACCTTTTTCTCATCCATACAAAAATTAAAAAATACTTATTATTAGCAAGAGATAACATAAAACAACTAAGACATGGAGTATAAAACAACCACATATACATGAGTGGACAACACGGAGAAGTTATTCTACTGTTTAAAGTGTAATAATCTTGAACATATGTGCACATAATATATAAAGAACATACATGCACCTCAATGAAGAAAATACAAGAAACTGATGAATAATTTTTTTTTCATTTTTTATATAAAGATATACATAGATTTGTTAACATCTTAACAAAACAACTAATATATTTTTTATTATTATCAAACGTGATACTATATAAATATAATATTGACTATGATGGTATGTTTGTATTAGATATATATTACATTAAAAAAATTATTAATAGATAGTAATTATTAGATAATAATTTATGATTGGATGATGATATACAATATTTATATTAAAAATGTCTTTTAGTTAAATTCTTCTTTAATATGCTGTAGTTTTGTACGAGTATTATTTTAAACTAAAAATATTTAATGATTTTTTTATAAAAATAAATAAATTTGTGTATAGATTAATTTATAAAAATTATTTCATAATTTATTTATTGATAAGTTAAATTATTAATTGTTTTTATTTAATGTGTAAGAAGAAACTTATTCAATTAAACCTTATTATAATTGTAACAGCTAAATCTACACAGATTTTATTATTATTATTATTATTATTATTATTATTTTCAATACACATGTTGTCCTGCCCAAGATGATAAATATTGATTATCATTGAAATTTAAACTGTGAAATAAAATAATAAGATAATATTGAATATTTTGAGTAAGTTTAGGTTAGGTTTTGTTTTTTTATTGATGGATTAATTGAACTCTTCTTACATATTAAGTGGATACTGAGTCGGTTATAATGAGTTGGTCCATAATTTACTAATTATTTTAAATTTTAAAAATAAATATAATAATTTAGTAATATTAATTGATGTTATGATGTTTTTTCATATTTATTTCATATAATTACTAAGTCAAATTTTCACCCAATCTTATCATTAATGGTTTGTCATATCACTGCATTTGTCATTATATTTAGGCCACTTGCCATTCGTTTGTCGTATCACTATGACACTGTGTTTGTTGCGTTTTTTGTGCCACCACATTTCAATTGCGATACAACATTTATCACATTTCAATCTCGTGTTTTAATTGCATCATAATATTTGATGTGTCATTGCACCATAACATTTAAGATCCGCGTTTCAGTCACACCACAACTTTTGTCGAGTCATCATGTTCGTCACACCATTGTATTCATCGTGTCATCACGTCACTGTACTTCAGTTGCACCATAGTGTTTGTCGTATTATCACATCATTGCATTTCAATCCCGTATTTTAGTTGTATTTCTTAGAAAAAAATGAAAATAAAAAAATGGGTTAATAAACCAATCCACCCAGATAAAATTAGATTGCAAAATCTCTTACTTATCATAAGTCCGATTAAATTCACTTATTTTTCCATTCAGTGACAATGTTTAAACTAATTAACTGATATTCACACACTAAAATAAGTCTTGATAAAATTTGTTTATCAGTGAATGTAGGAATTGATCTATAGTAATAATTATACTATATAGTTTAATTTTATTATCCAATTAAACAAAGACCAATTTTGTTTGAAACCGTTAAAAAAACAATTATATATATATATATATATATATATATATAATTCAGATTTACTATTTTTTAAATAATAAATATATTTTTTTATTGTCTTCAAAATAAAAGCTTCGTTATAATATTCACTTATCTTATTTAGAAATAAATAAACTTTCTTTTTATCTTCAAAATAAAAATTTGTTTTTAATACTTGTTTATCTTATTTAGAAAATAAATAATTTCTTTTATTATCTTCAAAATAAAATATTATTTATAATATCCATTTATCTTATTTAAAATATTTACTTTAGTATTAAGGTGAAGTTATTTTTTATTTTATTTATAAACTTATTTTCTATTTTTTTTAATATTCATTCAAATATTTTATCTTTTCAATTTTAGTCATGATTTTTAAAATATTATTTTTTTATATTTTTTTATCTAATTTATAAATTTTTTTGTCCATTTAGATTTATCTACATGGAACGTATACATATGACACGATATTGCCAAAAAAAACATTAAAAATTACTATAGTATCGTAAACATTAATTTAAATAATTTTATTTTTTATTTTTTCTGATTAGATTCACTTCTAATCCTATTTTCATATTATTATTATTATTATTATTTATTATTATTATTATTTTTTTATTTTGTTTGAATATATGTTAAGTTTTATAATTCAATTATATATGTTTAAATCTTAACACAGTAACAAAAATCTCAAATCACTTTTTGAAATTTTTTATTATTTTAAAGGATAATTTCTTTTAGTTAAAGGACCAAATTATTAAAAATAAAATAAAATTCAACCTAAATTATTAATAAGTTTATTAAACAAAATTAACATATAATATGATTTCTAAAAAAATAATTATTATTAAAAATATATTAAATTTAATATATATTATCATTAAAATAATATCATAAAATTCAAAATTGATTAAATTGTATTTTACATTTGATAATATTTTGTAGAAGTTTATTTTTGTTCGATTTAGAATTAGATGATGAAAAAGTATATTTTTGATATTATTTATTGTTACTCAACAGTGATATTAGAGTCGATGGTTTATATGAGGATCGATTTAGTTGAATACGATTAAAAATAAATTAAAGATTTGTATTATAAATCTTTGTGTCAAAAGTTTTCTTGACATGAGTTTCATACAAACGAGTTCAGTTGAGTACTCATGTTTAAGAAATGCTTACGTTTGAAGAAATGATGTATCAATGTGAAAGAGAATCATACTTGAGAGGGAAAATGATTAAGAATTAAAGTATGTTTGAAGTCCCACATTGGATAAAAGTAATAAATTAAGTATAACCTAATATCTTAAAGTTTTAGATTGAATCAGACCTCTTTTGAAAAAATATATCTATTGTTAGTCTTTCAAAAAGACTCACCAACCTTTTATATATATATATATATATATATATATATATATATATATAAAATAAGGTTTTCAAAAATATTTATTAATTAAAATTTCTGAATATCTAAATTTTTCTAATTAAAATATATTTTAATAATTCGTACCTAACTCATATGGTTTCAAGTATAAAATTTATAACTCAAACGTGTGAACATCCCCTACTTTTACTGGGTAACTTTTTGAAAATTTATTTTTACAACTCAGACTATTATAATTCATAGCTACCATTTGTTTCATTACTTTCATATGTATCCAAGCCGAACCTTTAACTTCATTTATCAAATCTAATTGAACATGAAGATTTTGTTGAATTTGTTCTTTACTAAATATTCGTCGCCTTCAAATTTTATGTTTTAATTCAATTTGAATCATGATATCATGTTTTAACCTAAATAAGCTCCATACAACATGATTGTTAAATAAAATGATAATTCCAAATGATTTCAAAAGTTTCTTTCACCTATTCGATATATTATTATAATATGAATATGATAATAATTTTTTTAGTGTATGGTTCTCTTACACGTTGTGAAGCAAGGAAAACATAAAAAAAAAAAAATTTCATAAGAATGTCTTTAATTTTCTATCTCTTATTCATTATAGGTTAATTATATCTTATTATTTTTATAATTTTTATTTATCTTAAACGAGTTTTTACATTAGCTTACGTCTTTTGAAAAAACAAATTATTTACATTTTAAAAGTTTTTGCCGCAGCAAATGCTTTGGCTAAGCACGATTATTTTCCACGATTGGCATTTTATGTTGTAACAATAAAATTAAATTATAATTTTTTATTTTATTTTTCCATGATTAATATTTTTTGTTTCATCATTTTATTATATTTCTATAACACGTGACAGTATAGCATATTTTTTAAATTTAAAATTGAACCCACAAGAATCTCGCGCAAACATCAAAATTAAAAATAAATAAAAAAGGAGAAGATTTGACGGTGTGTTTGTTTGGCCAACGTAAACTGCGAAGTGCTACGCTGTTCAACACACGTTATTCGTTCACATCCAAACTCAACTTTGTTTCATCCTCATAATCACGTCGTTTTAGTCAACGCAATTCATCGACAACTCTCTCCTCTCTGGCGTAACCCTTTTAAACCCTCTGAATGAACCTCTCTCATCTTTCTCGTAGAACGCAAAACATGGATAACAAAACCACTGAACCAAGCGATTTTACGGCCCCTCTTCTCCCCACAAGTTATGGTGCCAATGATGATGGCGTTGACTTTCTGGAAAAGGGACACGACGGAGCTTCTTCCGTACCAACTACTCTTTTACTCACCACCCTCGTCGCTGTGTTTGGTTCCTACGTTTTTGGCTCTGCTGTGAGTTACTTTTTAAATACTTATCTTAGAAATTTTACACTGTAATCCAATTACAAAAAAAGTTGTCCTTTTTAAGTTGGTTGAATTTTATAATGGCTATTATAAGTTGTGGTATGAGGGATGATTTTTTATTGCTTGAGAAGGTAAAAGTGGTTGGTTTAATTCAATAATGAAAGTCTTAAGTTGTGGTATGAGTGGGGATTTTTTGTTTGCTTGATAATGCAAAAGTGGTTGGTTAAATTTTATAATGTTTTTGATTGGTCGATGTTGGATCTTTCTAAAGCGAATTAGTGGAGAGTTACAACATGGATGAGATATGAACCACAAACCAAACTTTGTTAAGGATTCACGTCAGTTTCAACCCAACCCAAAACGTTAATATGGTCATATTTACTTTATGTTTTAGACTCACTCTTGAATTTTCAAACAGTTTATAGTGTTAAAATTGAGCGGGAATCAAAGTCTAACTCAAAATTACAACAGTGAGATGAATACCTTATTCATTTTGTAGATTGGGTATTCATCACCTACTCAATCAGGAATCATGCGTGACCTCAATCTCGGAGTGGCCCAGGTTTGAACCTTTGTTTTTCTAATATTTATTACACCTTGTTGTTGCTGGCCATCATTTGATGACCTCGTCTCTTGAACGGCAAACTTTTTGGACCCTATGCAGTACTCAATTTTTGGTTCGATATTGACTATTGGAGCTATGATTGGTGCTGTTGTTAGTGGAAGAATAGCAGATTATGCAGGTCGTCGAGTTGTAAGTCAAAGCATTGCTGCTTTTCTGGTTTGAATGTTATTGTTGTTGTTGTTGTTCACATTCGGTTATTCTGTGATTTGCTGAGCAGGCCATGGGGTTTTCCCAGATTTTCTGCATCTTGGGATGGTTTGCCATAACATTCTCAAAGGTTTCTCTTTAATTTCTTCCTCGTTATTTCCAATTTATCAAGCTGCGTGGTCAGTAATTGTTGAATATCTCTGGAAACTATAATTATGTGCTGATGGTAACCTTTCCTAGAAGGAAAAATAGTTAACTATATTTCCTGGCAGGGGGAAAAGACATTCATGGAAAAAATTCCTTGTAACTATTTACCTGACCTGGTAGGCTTAAATACCTTTTGATAGGAAAAAATAAAAATAAAAATTAGGGACTAAAAGCAAAAAATTGGTATATTCATAGGCATAAAAAGGTATTTAAACCTGCCCTGGTATTACCATTGAGGCTTATTTTAAAGAATATTTGACAATAGTAATCCTTTCAAACAAAATTTCAACATGTTAAGTTGTGTTTTTATAAACACCATGAACTAGATGGATAGAGTAAGGACTACAGACACTGACAGATTGAACTACTAGGATTCTATTAGTTGAATGTACTCATCCAGTGGGTTTTCTAAAGTTCAGTTGTTGATATCTAACATTTGTTGCTTTTTTTGAAGATTGCTTGGTGGCTTTATGTTGGAAGACTGTTGATAGGATGTGGGATTGGCCTTCTATCTTATGCGGTAACTGCTGTAGCTGTATAATTGTTATGATCAAAGTTCAAATGATATGCAATCACTCAAGAAATACATGTTTTCTTTTGTATAATAGGTACCTGTTTATGTAGCAGAAATAACACCCAAGAATCTTCGAGGGGCATTCACTGCAGTTCATCAGGTAATACAATACTAATACGATTCAATCTTTCAATATCATTATACTCTTACTGTATATACCATACAACTTATGTTTTACTATTTCACATATAGGCTTATTTTAAACTCCTATTTTGTCTTATTTTGACAGTTAATGATTTGTTGTGGGATGTCATTAACTTATCTTATTGGAGCATATGTCAATTGGAGGATCTTGGCTCTAATAGGTAATATTTTTCTTTCTGGTGTTCTTTTCACAAACTAAATTAAAAAGGGCTCCATGTAACTTATGTTTATTTATCTTTGTCTCAGGAATTATTCCGTGTCTTGTGCAGCTTCTGAGTCTGCCCTTAATTCCTGATTCTCCCAGGTGGCTGGTGAGTTGATCACAGCTGTAATTTTATAGTTTGGTCTGTTCATGTTGGGCACTGCCCTCACAAGGAATTGATTTTTTTAAACATTTACATCAAATGATTTGAGTCAGACACATTTTATTACCCACAAATATATCACAAGTGATGCTTGCAATCTTCTACAGGCCAAGGTCGGTCGCTTAAGAGAGAGTGATTCTGCTTTACAGCGCCTCAGGGGTAAGGATGCTGATGTTTATCAAGAGGCCACAGAAATTAGAGTATGTAATTAGCTTTTTGTCCGTACAACGTTATACTTTACATGGATGCTAAACAAGTGAAATAGAAAAGGAAGAAACCTAAGAATTTGGTCTATCATTTTGCATTGTACCTTTATTTGTAGGATTATACAGAAGCCTTTCAGAAGCAAACAGAAGCTAGCATCATTGGCTTATTTCGAATGCAGTATTTGAAGTCACTTATCGTGAGCATTCTAAATTATCCCTATTCATATGACCCATATTTAACCTTATGTGGGGCTCTTATGGTATATAGTTACTTGTTAGGTAGGAGTCGGCTTAATGATACTGCAACAGTTTGGAGGGATTAATGGCATTGTTTTTTATGCAAACTCTATATTTGTATCTGCTGGTATGTGCAGCTCTTTTCTATGCTTCAATCCATCATATGACCAGTAAGAGAAAATGAATGATAATAATATATTTATGAAATAATTCACATAAGCAAAAATTCTTATCCATGACAGGGTTTTCAGAAAGTATCGGAACAGTAGCAATGGTTGCCGTTAAGGTTCTTAATTCTCTTCATGCCATTGCATAATTTCTGTGCTTAATCCTGTATAATAAGGCAAATGCTTTGATGAGTTTACCCTTCATTCTTGTTTTGCATACTAGTCCATCATTTTTTGTTTATAGATTCCAATGACAACTTTAGGAGTACTTTTAATGGATAAATCTGGAAGAAGACCACTTCTGCTGGTAAAAAAGTTTAAACTATTGTTCCTACTCTTTTTCTGTGTCCTTTAAATTCTAAATCTGAAAATTTGATTCTCACTCAGGTGTCTGCGGTGGGAACATGCTTAGGATGCTTCCTCGCTGCCTTGTCATTTGTCTTGCAGGTATTTTTATTTTCACAGTCTGAACAAGTTGCTTTTCTTATAATTTCTAAGAATAATTAGGATTTCCTGATGCAGGACTTAGACAAATGGAGGGGAGTTAGCCCCATTATAGCCCTAGTGGGTGTACTGGTAATGTTCTTGCACTTATATGCCTATACAGGGATATTCAACTACTTTGTGCAATCTCATCAATTTAACTGAAATGGATTATGATCTCTACTAATAATCTATTATGTTATATAGTAGCACAATTGAAAATCACTTGTATGCCTTGTTGGGATGCTTTTGCATACCTTCTGATTTTCTAAAAGAAGTAGCACAACCGAATAAAGTTTAGTAGAAGATTAGATTTCTGGCATATCTAGAGAAGTTATACATTCCTAGCTATACTTCTATAGTGTACCTCATCCTCTCATTTTTTCGTTGGCCTTGTATTTGTCTTAGTATTGGTTTCAACTTTTGAATGATGTCTCCACACCTATTAAATTACTCTTAATGGCCAGGTATACGTGGGATCTTACTCTATAGGCATGGGAGCAATTCCTTGGGTTATAATGTCTGAGGTAGTTACTCTTACTATGTCCGAACATGGTTAGTAAAAAGGTCAGACATAAAAATCATCCGCATAATGAATGATTATACTTTATTTTCCAGATATTTCCCATCAACGTGAAGGGCTCTGCTGGAAGCCTTGTGACTTTGGTTAGCTGGTTGTGTTCTTGGATTATATCATATGCTTTTAACTTCCTCATGAGTTGGAGTTCAGCCGGTAGGTTTGAATTTAATCTTAATCCGAAGGGTAAAAACAAACCAGTTAAGAAAAAGTTTTAGGAAAATAGAAGAAAAGTAAGGAGTTCTTATTGTATACATGTAAGTATGTAATCAGATTCATTCTTATGCTATGTTTGGCCAGGAACTTTCTTCATGTTCTCTGCCATATGTGGCTTCACTGTGCTATTCGTAGCAAAACTGGTACCAGAGACAAAGGGGCGCACATTAGAAGAAATTCAAGCTTCTTTGAGTTCATATTCTTCAAAAAGATGAATTCCATGCATGAGATAACCCAGTAGGAATTTTCCAAACTGAAAAAAAAAAGAAAAAAGAAAGGCTATGCTTACGCTATGAATGAAAAAATCGCATTCATCAGTCATCACAGTAATTTTAGTGATTGTCTCGTGATGTACACATTCTTAGAATTAATTGAATATTTTATTTTTAATATAAGTTCACAGCCATCTAACATGTAATGTAACATGTTTCACCTCTTAAATGAAATTGCAAGTTAATGTATTCTACAAAATCTGTTCACTTTTTCATATCCTAATTATTTACGCATTACCTTATTTTAATCACATTATCTACAGCATATGTAACTTTCTTTTTATTAAAAAAAAATCTATGCAAATGTATACGCTTAAAAAATGTCTGAAAAAAAATCGGTTATTGTATTGAACTCCAATTTTTTTTTTTTTAATTATACGATCATGAAATGATAGGAGTTAAAATTATTAATTATCATTATATTTTCAGCAAATACATCAATTTTTTCTAATTAACATGGTATTATCATGAATTTCTACTTGAGAAAACCTTATTTTATATAAAATATAGTATTGATTATGGTAATATATAAAATTAAAATAAATATATAATACTGATTGTAATGATCTTGATTACTATATTTAATATGATTATGTATATATGCATTACAAAAATAAAATAATTGAAATTTTTAGAAGAGAAACCAATATAATTTGGCAAGATATATTTTACTCTTTCGAAAATGTTATTTTAACATTTAATTGTACCTAATGTTCTTTAAGAATAGCATTCCAAATAAAAGACGCAACCCAAGGAAGAATAGTGCAATACATGTCGTAACATATGAAAAACGTAAACGAATGGATATATAGCGAATAAAAGAAAAGAAAAATGTGAAATGAATTATTATTTTCTCATTTGTCAACATTACATACGTGAAGCAAACATAAAATTACACGTAGGTTTACTGATTTTTTTTCTTTCAAACTTTTCATTTTTTGTAACTTAAAAAAAATACCCAATAGTTATTTTATTTATTTTATATATTAGGATTAGGGTTCTAATTAACGATGCAACTGTTATGCAGTAAACCTATCTTTACTAGAAAATATTGATAATCAAATACTTGAATAATATACTCGAACTATGTTTTTTTTCCTATTTTTCCATGACCGAATAATGTAAACATAAATTTCTCTTTCAGTTTTACATTTCTTTTTAACTTGTATAATTGTCTCACTTTAATTAGTTGGTCTCAATTAATAATTTATTTTGATTATTTTCATTACACTAAAATATTATCAAAGTGAGAATTTCACGTAACTAATTGAATAGATTTATTCATATCATTTAACATATACATTATTACCAACATGAAGTGTTAAGAATTGATATGAACGGTGGAACAATTATTAGTAGAGGTGTTAAAAGTACACGAACAAAATGAATGGTTTCAAATCTAAATGATTCTATTAAGAAAAAAAATGAATATTAGTGTTTTTTTTCGTAAAATGGTTTGGTTTAATTTTTATTTATTTTTTATATATAAATAGAAAACTACATAGTTTTTTATGTAATCTCTAACTCTTCACCAAGATTCTATTGATGACCCCAAAAGTATGATAATTTTAGGCATTGACATGTTTAAAAGAAGCATCCATTGACAAAGAAATGATTTTAACTTATCTAACTTTCAATTGACAAAGAAATGGTTTTAACTTATCTAACTTTCAATTGATAAAGAAATGATTTTAACTTATCTAACTTTTAATTGACAAAGAAATAAGTCTAGCTTATCTAACTTTCATGACAGAAAAATTATCAACACACGTAATTGACTTAATATAAAGGATATGTTATACCCTAAGTACATGCTTGGTTAAATGTTCCTTTTAAAAATTTTGATTCATAAAATTAAAAATAATAATATATATAATAATTTTTATTGATTTTTAGATATTTGATTTGAATAATTAAATATGAGATTTAATCTACTTACGTCGCAATCCTTTTTAATTATTATTAATTTTAAATTATATTAAAAAAATAACTAAAACAAAAAATTTCATTAATTTCAAAACTTTATAAATGAGATGTTAATTGGATTATTTTAATTGTTTTAAAATGTGGGTATGGATACGAACATATCTCTAACATGGCTTAGTTTATGGCAAGTATGAGTTTTCTTGCTGAGTGGTTTTGAGTTTGTGTGTAAAGATGGTAAAAATCTTGTACCATTTTATACCATGTTCATAACGAAGAAATGTACAAGTTCTTGATGGTTTTGTTGTTTTCATGTGTGGAACCATTATTTTTATTGTTAACTTTTGTTCCATGCTTTGAATCTTCCGTTGGGATCTTCTCATTCTCACCTAAATTATGAAATCAAGGGTTGAAATTTGAGTTAAACTGATTGATTTAGGTCACCATTTGAGTGAACAAGGTGTCAAATTGGACAAACATAGATTATGTTTAGGTTTATGCTTCTAATCATGGATTTGTATAATTGACTTTGAAGTTAGCAATCCTCCTCACCCTTGTTTAATTAGTGCAATAGTTTTTTTAAAATATATATCTTAAAGTATAATGTTAAAATAATATAAGTAGTTTTATAATTAACTAAACTTAACAAGAAGAAGAGAGAGAAAAAATTAATAAATTTAATTCTAGCAACCCTATCTTAAAAATATAGGATAAGAAAACTTAATAAATATTCTAACAAAATATAACAAATACTATTTAAGCTAACATTAAAATAAATATATATATATATATATATATATATATATATAAGTTATTTAAAGAAATTATTCACGAAATTACAAAACATACATTAAACGTATTTCATCAACCTAAAATGTTAACTAATTATATCCAACAAAAATTGTGATGCCTCTGTGTTTTTAAGAGTAATAATTTCCAAATATGTGGCTCTAAAAAAGAGAGAGCAACGTTATAAAAATGTAAAAATAGGAAAAAGTTTCCAAATATAGAAAGTAACCCAATGAAGGACGGTGCAAGAATGGTCCCAAAATTAACGATAGCGTGTCCCGGATAGGAAGGAATCCATGCAAACCCAATAAAGACTATATCTACCAGAAACCGGATTATTAATATTATATTCATAAAATAATTTGATCAAAATAAAATTAATTAAAATTGTTATTTTATCAATAATTATTGTTCGTTTAATTTTTTTTGTATTGTTTCTCTTAATAAATAAAAAATATATAATTCTAATATCAACACTCATGTAACTTATTATATTTTAATATTTTTATTTTATTTTATTTTATCTCTTTTTCATTGTCACAATTTTCTCTCACTTACTCTTTATCTCATTTTCTTTCATTTTTCTCTTTTTAATTATTTCATTACAAGCAATCTAAAAATAAAAAATTAATTAAATTTTTGAAAAAGTTATACTTTAAAATAATAATTTAGTCTAATTTGAATTAAATATATATTTTATATTTAAATTATTTTAAATAAAATAAATATTTAGAAATTATAAATAATATAAACATGTACCAAATAATTTATTGATTAATATGAAAAATAATTATTTATCGAAAACGTGAATTCATTAAATATAAAAATATTTATTTATTAAAAATATTAAATTCTACAATATTTATTATAAAAATATATTAGTTAATTAACTAAAAAATTATTTATAATTTTTATTAGTTTAAAATATATTAAAACTTTATTTTATTTAAATATAAATTAAATTAAATTATTTGCATATTTTTAGGTGGATATATATATATATATATTAGGTATCAGTAGTGCTGGAAGAACTAATCAGGAAAAAAACAAACAGAAGAGAAGAAGGTAACTAATAAGCTAAGTCTCACCACGTGTCAGGATCATAAAGACCACGTGTATTCAATCCTCATTACGCAACACCTACACATGCTGTATCTTTCTTAGTTCACTGGTTCTTATAAATTATGATCTCCACATCCATGTCTTCTCAAAATCCACTTCCTCTTCCACACTTCCCAAAAACCCGTTTTAGAAAATGGCTTCCGGTGAAAACAGATTTCCTCCTCAGAAGCAATACACACAGCCCGGGAAAGAATATCTCATGAATCCACTACCCAAATACAGCGATCCAGATTACAAACCATCAAATAAACTTCGAGTAAACCTTAACACACTCGCATACACCATAACATGCAGTTATTATAATTTAATCACCTCTCGTTACCTAAAAAGTACTTTTTTTTCGTTACATATATTCGTAGGGTAAGGTAGCTGTAGTAACTGGAGGTGACTCTGGAATTGGACGAGCAGTGTGCAACTTGTTTTCATTGGAGGGTGCTACTGTTATCTTCACCTACGTGAAGGGCCAGGAGGACATAGACGCAAGGGACACGCTTGAGATCATAAGAAAGGGTAAGACTGCAGAAGCCAAAGATCCAATGGCTATACCAGTTGACTTGGCTCGTGAAGAGAATTGCAAGAGAGTGGTGGAGGAGGTGGCTAAGGCTTATGGCTCCATTGATATTTTGGTGAACAATGCAGCAGTGCAGTACGAGAGTAATTCAATGGATGAGATTGACGAAGCAAGACTCGAGATGGTGTTCCGAACTAATATCTTCTCCTACTTCTTCATGACTAAGTGAGACATGATTGAATCAATTTCATATTAAGACTATGATTATTTGATGTTGATATGAATATGTGTATATATATATAGGTATGCTCTGAAGCACATGAAGGGAGGAAGTAGCATTATCAACACGACATCAGTGGTTGCATATCAGGGATTGGCAAACCTACTGGACTACTCATCAACAAAGGGAGCCATTGTAGGGTTTACAAGATCTCTGGCGCTTCATCTTGTGAGCAAAGGAATAAGAGTGAATGGTGTTGCGCCTGGACCTATTTGGACTCCATTAGAAGTAGCGAGTTTGACAGTGGAAGAAATTGTTATATTTGGTTCAGACGTTACTCCAATGAAAAGAGCAGGCCAACCCATTGAAGTTGCTCCCTGTTACGTCTTTCTTGCTTCCAACCAATCCTCCTCTTACATGACTGGCCAAGTTCTTCACCCAAATGGTCATACTTATCTATCTATACTCATGTTTTTAATACCTAATTACTCACAAATACATCTTCATTTTATGCATTTTCTAACTCTTTTCATTTTTATCCTTTTCAGGTGGGATCATTGTGAATGCCTGATTGAATCCAAGGATAAACTATGATTTGTGCTCCTATTTGTGGTTGTTTACATAAACTCTGTTTCGCATGAGACGTAGCAGAATACCATGTGTGTATAGATATATATTTGGACAAGAATCTTGTTGAAAAGCATGCAAGTATATGTGTTGCTTTGAAACATTTAAATCTAATAAAATACAACTTGAAAGTTAATGTACACATATAAATATTATTGTAATAAAGTTTTTAAATAAAGTATATATTTATATTTGTTGTGGTCAATTTACAGATTTCAATCATAATTCCCATAACTCATGTCCCATACTGACAGATGTGATCTACTCTTACCAAAATTAAGTGGTTTATTCAACCATTCCATTTTGTAATTATAACTTTCTAATATTTCATACAGTTGAAGTTCCAAATTAACTTCAGTTAATTTGCTACATGTTTATCTGAGGTGTTATATATTTAATCATGAATTTTCTAATACTTAATCATTATAATTACCTCCTATTTTCCAAATCGAAATTATAATATATATTATTGAAATTAAAATATAAAATAATAATTTTTTAAATAAGTTAATTATTTTTTTAATAATGTATGACATCTATTGTTATTTAATAATATTTGTTTAAGTCAATTATTTTCTCATAAAAAATAATTTAAGATATATATTGATATTATTTAAATTGAATATAAAAATATATATAAAAATAAATTAAAATTATAAATACTTATTTTACAATATATTTTTTATTTAATAATTATAATATATATATATATATATATATATATTTCTCTACTTGTCTTCTCACGTAATATTACATTATTTATCCTATGAAAAATAATTATAAACCCTAAAACATTTATAAAAGAGAAATCTCATGATATATTTAATCAGACTTTTATATTTATTTTGTATGTTATTGCCTAATTCAATAAACGTTTTCAAAATATTTTTAATTTCATAAAATGAAAGCATCGATTGATGTAACAATATTGTTATTTTTCTCAATATTTTATAAAACTACTAGTTCATTGTCGTTATAAGTTTCTAACTTTCACCTTACCATATATATTATTTATGAAAGAGATAAATTTGCATTGATGATTTCTGTTTGTTTCAGAATTGAAGTTAGGAGAATTATAAAATTGATATACAGGAAGACAATGGAAAGCTGCAGAGCTGCGAAAAGCCAACCTAATTGAAAATTAATGGAAAAGGGTGAAAATCATTAAGACTATGAAAATTATAGGCTAAAAATTCTGATGAAGTGCTCATAATTGGATCCTAACAAACCACAATACATTCACCATATTGATCAAGCAATAATCTCTGAGAATTTTCTTTGAGGCAATTGTATGGTTAAGAAGGAAGAGAGAAACCAAGCTAAAAATTAAAAACATGTTATTATCTGCCTAAATTTTTCAATTAGGATTCAAGTCCCAAACCAATACATGGAACATTTTGCCTCTAAAAAGACGACAAACAATTCATGCAAAAGAGATCAGTAATTCAAATAAATTAAGTGTAAAGAGATCCGTGATTCAAATAAATTAAGCAACACTTTATTTGCAGGAGAATCGTGGAACAAAATATAATAATTCATTAACTAAAAGAATTTAATTTCCAATTCTTTCTTGTATCAACTGTTAAAAGTAGGTAGCATCGTTAGAGATATAGGAACTAGGAATAAAATTACTGAAACAAGACTTGGCATATTTTAATTAAAAAGATTGAAACCTTTGCAAGCCACGAAGCAAAGTACTTTCAACAATCAATAGTAACGTCTACTAAAGTTATGTTTAAAACCTCAAGAAATTAACAAAATCAAAATTTCAAAATGACACAGTCGTGTTTGGCTTGAAAATTATAATACGGCAACTCCACCCACATACCATATAATAAACTTAAAGCCTTCTGCCCCTTCTTCCACTCTTTCTGCGAGTGCTATCCGAAGGAATGGGTGTCACATCCTCTGTAAATCAAGAAACGTTAACAATTAGTAACATGCTATACAAAAGAAATCAATCAGAAGATAAATTGGGAAATGCAATGAATATAGAAAGAAAGAAAGAAAAAAAAAAAACTTCAGAGTAACCGTGGTAATTAATGTTTGAAACGAATTGAGCTACACAATATTAAAAACATAAATTACACAAAAGAAACAAAGTCATCAAAGTCATCGTAATTTTCTTAAAAATAAAGTACCTATACGACCAATTTTCATCCCCGAACGAGCAAGTGCTCGTAGAGCTGATTGAGCACCTGGACCAGGTGTCTTTGTCTTGTTCCCACCAGTGGCGCGGAGTTTGATATGAAGAGCAGTTATTCCCAGCTCCTGACCAGAATAATTTGGAACATTACATTAAGCTGGACAGCTTCACAACAACAAAAAAATAGTATCCTATTCACTGCAGTGTTTTCACAGAGCATAACCAGAACAAAATAAGTGAAAGAACTACAAGCTAGGCAGAACAATTGAACAGTGACAGTGGTTAGCAAACAGGACGATCAAATTGGACTTCTATCAAATCAATAATAGAGAGCTTTGAATTCTACCAAATCCATATAGAGCGACATGATAATCACAAAAGGTAACATGGTCAGAAGAGAAAAAACAACTGTGCTAAAGTGAATCCACTGACCTTGCATCTGGCAGCAACATCTTGTGCTGCAAGCATAGCAGCGTAGGGAGATGATTCATCTCTATCAGCTTTAACCTTCATCCCACCTGAAGTTAGAAATCAATAAGTAATGCGCATTAGAAAGCAAAGACTCAACCCAAATTTATCTAATGACTAACTTTGGTTATAGAGAAATGGATCCCAACTAGTACTGTAAATAGAAAACTGAAAAAATCGTTAAAGTAAAGCCAAACAAAATTTTACAAAAAGAGCAAGTTAAATCACAGAGCTACTTCCATAGCATGTCAGGTAGATATCCAAGTGCCTCATAAGGATCATAAAAATGTATGCAATTTAACAAGAAAGGCAAACGGGGTTAGAAAAAACACATGTATTAAGACTCTAGCCTAATAAAATTCACTGAAATAATATATGGGCAGTATCATTATTAACATTATAACATGCGTATAATTCAAAAGAGAACAGGAAAAATGATAGCAGCTACATAATAGCCAAAAATTTGGTTATTGGAATACTATCATACAAATAATTAATTTCTGAAATGTGAAGAACAGCAATCATACCAGTGATGCGGACAAGTGTTTCCCTCCCAGACAAATCAGTGACATGCTGCAATCATAAAAATAAAAAAACCAAACTTTAGCTATTGAAAATTCAAACCACGAAATCAAAGAAGTGCAAGTACTTACGATGAAGGTATCATTAAATGAGGCAAAGATGCGAGCGACGCCAAAGGCATGTTCACCGTCTCTAACAGCTGGACCCAGAGTCACATTTTCTTCCTTTGGCTCTCTAACCTTTCTCCTCGACTGCACAACAACAAGAACAACAAAAGCCGTATCAGAATTGCTCCATAACATTCCTTAACGCACCACGGAATCCAAAAATTAGGGTTTCTGATATTGATTAAACGATGTGCGAACCATGGTTGTTGCAATGCGGAGTAGAGATTCAGAGATTAGATGAACCTTAGATTAAACTTGGCGCTGCTGCAGAGTGGGAGATGGCGGCACAGTCTGTTTTGATTTTATATTTGGAAGCGAGTAGGGTTTCGCAGAGTAACAGTTCTTCGATATACATCGTTACCCCTCAACATTTCTATTTTCTAAATTTGCGATCTTAAATAGATATGGAAAATGGTGGATTAATAACAGTTTTTTTTTAATTATAATAGGTTCATATATACAGAGAGAGAGAAACATGCAAAAAATATTTTAAAATTTAACAAAAACATGCAAAAAGTATTACAATAAAAAAATTATTATAATTTATACATTTAAAAAACAGTGAAATATGAAAAAGAGAACAAAATTATTTGAATGAAAAAATGGATATAATTTTTTTTACTGCTATTTAATAATGATAATAAATCTAAAAAAGTATTTTTGAAAATATGAAATTGAGACATTTGTAACTGTTGAAGTAAGAAATATCGTATATATGTTTGAAAGAGATCCTATTTCGACTGAAAAGGTTATATATATATATATATATATATATATATATATATATATATATATATATATATATATATATATATATATATATATATACAAAATCGTTTTTTATGCAAACTAATTAATAACAGGTCAAAAACCAGTATAAATTTTTTTAATTTAAAATTTCGAAAAAATAAAAAATTATATTTGTTAATATTTACAAATTGATATATATTATTACTTTTATATAAAAATATAATTTAGTTATTTATATTAATTTATATTTGTTATGTCTTACTTGCATTTAATTTGTATAATATTAATTTAAAATATTTTAATTTTGTAGGTAAATTTGTTTGTTGTTAACGAGTATTGTAATTTATTAGTTAATACAATTATTATGATATATTTTATTCAGACTTTGTATGTTAAAAATCAAATTTAATGTTTTTAGTTTTAGTATCATAAATTGATATATTATACATTTTTTAAATGTTATTTAATTATTATTCATTAAAATTGGTTCAGATGTGGTTAAATCAAAGTATATTGTCTAATTCAATAATCGTTCTCAAAATATTGTTAAATACAATATTATTAGGCCCGCTGCGAAAATAACGAGTGATACAACAATAGTTGTTACTTTTCTCAATATTTTACAAAAGTATTAGTTCATTATTACTATAAGTTCTAACTTTTAGAACAAAGTACTTCAATCCCTTCTTAGAAAAGATAAAATACAAATTGAAGAAAAAAGATGAAAGTCATTTAACACTGAAAATTTATAGGCTAAAATTAAAATGAAAGTGCTCATAATTGGACGTTAGCAATTTATTAGAATTTCTTTTTGGGAATTGTACGCTTAAAAACTAGAGAAAAGAAGCTCAAGATTAAAAGCAAGTTACTATTGAAGTGCCAAACCATTACAAGAAACATTTTGCATTTAAAAAGACAAAAAATAATGTAAAAGAGATTATTGATTCAAATAAATTAGGTAATATCGATTATTTGCACGGTAAAATGGAACAATATATAATAATTCATTGACAAAAATAATTAAATTTCCAATTCTTCCTTGTATCATCGTTTAAAAGTTAACAACGTGGATAGGGGATATAAGAACTATGAAAAAAAAATAAAATCTAAAACAAGACTAAGCATATTTTAGTGTAGACGATTGGCACATTTTCAAGCCACGAAGCAGCATACAGAACTTTCAACAATCTTTATCAGTAGTGTATATTAAATTTATGTTCAAAACCTCAAAAAATACAACAAAAGTTCGTTTGGCTTGAAAATTAAAATATAGATACTCCACCCATATACCATATGATATGCTTAAAGCCTTCTACCCCTTCTACCACTCTTTCTGCGAGTGCTATCCGAAGGGATGGGTGTCACATCCTCTGCAGAAAGAAATGTTAACAGTCCGTAAGATGCTATACAAAAGAAATCAACTAGAAAAACTAAGTTGGGAAGTGAAATTAATATAGAATAGTAAATAACACTTCAGATTAATCGAGGAAATTAATGTGTGAAGCAAATTGAGTCACACTATTAAAAATATATAAAGGCAAAAATGACAAGTCATTATAGTTTTCTTAAAAAATAAAGTTACCTATACGACCAATTTTCATTCCGGAACGGGCTAGTGCTCGTAGAGCTGATTGAGCACCTGGACCAGGTGTCTTTGTCTTGTTTCCACCAGTGGCGCGGAGCTTGATATGAAGAGCAGTTATGCCCAGTTCCTGACCAAAATAATTTGGAACAGTACATTAAGCTTGGCAGCTTCACAGCAACAAAAAATAGTATCCTACTCACTACAGTGTTTTCACAGAGCATGACCAGAACAAAATTAGTGTAAGAAATAAAAACTAGCCAGAACAGTTGACCAGTGATATTGGCTAGCATACAGGACGATCAAATTGGAATTCTATTAAATCAATAGAGCTTTGAATTCTATCAAATCCATAGAATGCGGCATGATAATCACAAAAATTATCATGGTCAGAAAAAAAAAAAAACATGCTAAAGTGAATCCCGCTGACCTTGCATCTAGCAGCAACATCCTGTGCTGCAAGCATAGCAGCATAGGGAGATGATTCATCTCTATCAGCTTTAACCTTCATCCCACCTGAAGTTAGAAATCAATAAGCAAAGCACATTAGAAAGCAAAGACATAATTAATGCACATTAGAAGGCAAATACATAATTAAAGCACAGCGATTTTCCTATATCTACTAAAAAGGAAAAGATTCGACCCAAATTTATCTAATTAATGACAAATAATGTTAGCTTTGGTTATAGAGAAATGGATTAGTCCTGTAAACAAAAAACTGAAAAATTGTTAAAATAAACCGAGATAAAATTTTAGAAAACAGCAAGTCAAATCACAAAGCTCCCTTCATCACGGGGGTATATAACTGCCTCGTCATGATCACAAAGTGTGTATACAATTAACAAGAAAGACAATTGGGAATTAAAACAACATATCTATGAACACTCTAAACTAATAAAATCCATTGAAATTGGATATGAACAATATCTTTATTAATATTATAATTGATTAATTCCTGTAATGTGAAGAACAACAATCATACCGGTGATGCGGACAAGTGTTTCCCTTCCAGACAAATCAGTGACATGCTGCAATTATAAAAATAAAAGACCAAACTTTAGCTATTGAAAATTGAAACCACGAAATAAAAAAAGCTGCGAATACTTACGATGAAGGTATCATTGAAGGAGGCAAAAATGCGAGCGACGCCAAAGACATGTTCACCGTCTCTAACAGCTGGACCAAGTGTCACATTTTCTTCCTTTGGCTCTCTAACCTTTCTTCTCGACTGCACAACAACAAGAACGACAAAAACCATATCAGAACTGCCAACAACATTCTTCAACACCACCGAGTCCCAGAAATTTAGGGTTTATGAGATTGATTAAACGATGTACGAACCATGGTTGTTGTTGTTGTTGTTGTTGTTGCAATGTGGCGTAGGGATTCAGAGATTGGATGAATCTTCCACCGTTTATAGTTGGCGCTGCCGCTGAGTGGAAGATGGAGGGACGTTTATTTCGTTCTTATATGTCTAACAGGGATTAGGGTTTTGCAGTGTACAAATTCTTTAATTTATAATTACCCGTAACCTTTTCTAATTTCTAAAGTTACTATCTTAAGTAGGTATTTATGCATATTATTATTAACCCCTTACCACGTTACCTTTGTTTTTTTTTTTTTTTAAACAGGCTCATATATTTTGAAGATATAGAAAATATTAATTTATTTTTTATATTTAAATAAATAAAATAATTTTAATATTTTATATTTAATTTCAAGTAAATCCTTCATAATATCGATTATATGCTAAAATATAATTTAATGTATATATAAAAGTCTTATACAAAGATACAAATTAAAATTATTTTAAAATATTATTTATTTATTAGTATTTTAAGATTATTTAGAAAAAAATATACATTTTAAATGATCAAATAACTATTCAACCAAAATTACATATTAATTAATTAAAATTTGGTCTACATAATACCATGTTCGTTTGGTATAATTATAATTAAAACTTTATTTAAAATATAAAACTATATTTTAATTTTTGAAAAATAAAAGTTATATTGCAACAGCTATCTAAACAGTAATATACGTTTATTATCAACTTAAACAATGTTTCTGTAACAAGAATTTGTAGTATATGATGACATCAAATAGTATTTTAACACAAGATAAATAAATTATTATGAGATTATGTTTATTTAGTGATACCAAATTTATTATATTTCTTAAAATTCAAAAAACAAACTTAAATTTATTATAAATTGTCAGAATTAAAAACTGAATTAATTAAAATAATGCAAGTGATATGTAATTCTTCCAATTAATTAATGATATAAATCAAAGTTTAAAAAATTATACGACACAGTTAAATTAAAAACCGGGTTTCAGTTTGAAAATTGTTGACTGTCTCTTAAAAGAAACAACTTTAATTAAATTAATATAAAATAAGTTATAATAAAATAGTTTTTAAATAAATAATATAATTCTTTTAAAAATAATTAAAAGTATAAAATGCATATATTATTGTGTTGAAAATACTATATGATCCCTGTGATACACACAACAATTAAAAATAATTAAAAGTTTAAAATACGTCAAACTATATTTTATAAAATCTAACAATGAAGAAAGTCATATATGAGAAATATTATAAAACTCTTATCAAATAATAAAGCAAGACCAGTGAAATGAATATTTTTTAAATGAATATCTTGGTGATGACAACAGGTCATGATGTGCTACCATGCCGTAATTTAAAAAAAAATTAATCAAAGAAAAAAAGTATAAAATAAAATAAAATGACAAAATTATCTTATATGTTTAAAACTTTATATTTTTTATGAATTTATCCATAAAATTATTCACTTACTCCATTTTCTAAATATTTTGCCAGTTTTTTTCCTTCTGAAAAATAGTTTAAAGATTTACAAAAAAATAGTTTTTAATATATATATATATATATATATATATATATATATATATATATATATATATTTAAAAAATATATATAAAATTATCCAAATTATCTACAACATATTCTCAATAATTATTAGCGAGGGACAACCTCACGTCCCTCTCAATCTGTTTCACAACAACTTGTTCACCCACTGAAGCTTTCTTGTTCATGATTCATGGACTCCAAAGGCAGTGAAACAAGCCAATTTTCAACTCCTATGCTTTCCACAGTCAATGATGGCATTGACATCCTGGGAAATGAGCAAAGTGAAGCTTCTCCAACACCACCAATTCTTGTCCTCACCACCCTTTCTGCTGTTTTGGGTTCTTACGTTTTTGGGTTTGCTGTAAGTTATCATTAAAACATTCTGGTTCATCACAATTCAGAAAAAACCACTGCTTTTCTGTGCTGTTACATCACAACTTATTTTTGCAGATCGGATATTCATCCTCTACTCAATCTGGCATCATGCATGATCTACACCTGACTCTCGCCCAGGTTTGAACCGCCAATCACAACCTCAGAATATTTGTTTTTGTGAATTGTAATCTATCTTAAAATGTCTCACCTTGGTAAGAGCAGTTGAATATTACTAAAAATGGAATACTCCTTCTAAAACTTGGATGTTGTAACTTAAGTATATTTTTGTGTTATTCGGTAATTTTATTAAGGACACCTTAATAATTTGTGTGATAAATGTTTAATTAAAGATTCTCAAGATGAAACTGTTAGAAAATAGCACCAATAGAATACCTACGAAGTTGCGTTAAGTTTTCTCCTATATTTACATCTTGTAGTTTATTGGTTCTTGTTTATTTGACCTTTTATGTCTTTAAGTCAAACCCTTTTCGCTTTTGTAGTACTCAACTTTTGGTTCAATATTGACCATTGGAGCGACAGTTGGTGCCATTGTAAGTGGTAGAATAGCAGATTATGCGGGTCGACGAGTTGTAAGTCAAAGACAAATTACACTTCATTTTAATTTCAATGTTACTGTTGTTCATTTTGGTTATTTTGCATTTTGCCATGTAGGCCATGAGTTTCTCGGAGGTTTTATGCATCTTGGGATCAGTTACCATAGCATTCTCAAAGGTTGGTCATTAATTTCTTCAGATTTCTCAAATTGAAGTGTAGGCATGTCTGGGAATTAACTACACTACATGCGAGGCTTATTGCCAGATGAAGAAAAACTTTAATCTTTTTTAACAAGCTTCAAGCAAAATTACTATTGAGTTAATTTGTCAATTTCAGGGTTAATTCTATCTGTTCCTAATCCCACAGCCACAGGGTTAATTTCCTTAATTTCAGTCTTAGATACTCTGAACATTCTTTGTTTCAAGGTTGCTTGGTGGCTTTATGTTGGAAGAATGTTGATAGGATGTGGGATTGGCATAATATCTTATGTGGTAATTGCTTTGACTTTTGATATGTTATGACTGCAGTTCAAATTAATGCTATTCAGTCAATCAAGAAATACAAATAATAGTTCCCTTTCCAAATTAGGTTCCAGTCTACGTAGCAGAAATAACACCCAAGAATATTAGAGGATCATTTACTGGAGGTCATCAGGTAAAGGAATACCATAATGATATCACCTAAATCATTTTACCCTGATTTGGTATCATGCCATATATGTTTTATGTGTCACTTAAAGGCTTATTCTAAATGACTATTTGGTTTTGTTGTGCAGCTAATGGCTTGTTGTGGCCTGTCATTAACTTATCTTATTGGTGCATTTTTTAATTGGCGGATTTTGGCAGTGATTGGTAATATACTAAGACTATTCTTTATATTGCTCTTTCCACAAAACCAAATTAACAAGTTTTCCTAGTAGCTCACATAATTTTTGTCTTTATCTCAGGAACTGTTCCGTGTGTTGTGCAGCTTCTGACTCTTCCCTTCATCCCTGATTCTCCAAGGTGGCTGGTGAGTTGTTCATAGCTTCTGGAATTTTGTTCTTTGAGCAGTAACAGTTAGTCACATATCACACAAGCAACCAAATATTTTTTCGGTTTGTCAAATGATTAGAATCAACACATGTCGTTTGATAAAAATAGCACAACTAATGTATGTAATCTTCTGCAGGCTAAGGTTGGTAGGTTGAAAGAGAGTGATTCTGCTTTACAGCGCCTAAGGGGAAAGCATGCGGATGTTTATCAAGAGGCCACTGAAATCAGAGTATATAACAAGTTTTTGTTTGGTTTATGATCTTACTAGGACACAAATTAAGGGAAATAAAAAAGGAAGAAACCATCGAGTTTAAAATATACCATTTTTACACTATACCTTCATTTGTAGGATTACACAGAAACCCTTCGGCCACACACAGAAGCTAGCATTATTGGCTTATTTCAGTTGCAGTATTTAAAGACGCTTACTGTGAGTATTCTAAATTCGTTCCATTCCTGCAGGCTATCTTAGTGTTTTACAGGATCTTATTGTATTTAGTTACTTGTTTAGGTAAGTGTAGGCTTGATGGTACTGCAACAGTTTGGAGGGATTAGTGGCTTTCTTTTTTATACAAATTCCATATTTATCTCTGCTGGTAAGTGCAGGTTCTTTTTGTGCTTCTATCATATGGAAAAATAGAAAAACAAATGTAAGAATATTATATTCTTCTCTATGACAGGGTTTCCAGATAGTATTGGAACAATAGCAATGGTTGCTGTTAAGGTTTTTATTACACAATTTCTTTACTTCTGTGTGCTCAATTCTATATAAGATGAGTTCAGTGCCATTTTGTATGAGACATGTACACTTCATTCCAGAGTCTTCCCTTCACATAGTCTCATTATTTGTGTTTCTAGATCCCATTGACAACTTTAGGATTACTTTTGATGGATAAATGTGGAAGACGACCACTTTTACTGGTAAAATGGTTGAGCTTCTGTTCTTTTTTAATTTTATTTTTTTCCATGTCTGTTAATTCTCAATAAAATTTTTTGACTCAAACACAGGCATCTGCTATAGGAACATGCTTAGGAAGCTTCCTGACAGCCTTATCATTCTTCTTGAAGGTTCTTTTAATAGAAACTCTTGCTTTAATTACTTCAAAAATTTGTTTCTTGAATTATTTCTAAGAATAATTAGGCTTGCCTGATACAGGATTCACAGGAATGGAAGGGAATAAGTCCCATTATGGCGCTTGTTGGTGTCCTGGTAATGCTTATCTAATTATGCTAATACATGTATCTTAGACTTTGTCATGAAATGTCACAAACTTAAATAGTAGCTCTAGGTATCTATAACTTAAACGGATTCAATGCTTACCCTGGTTTGTGGCCATGAAAGAGTTATGTTAAAATTTTACCTGACAATCTTTTGTGCATCAATACACAATTAAGAGCAAAATTTTGTGGGATATTAGCACATCTTGCATATCTAGTAAGTTCTTTATTTCTCCCTAGAACTTTTATGATCCTCATTTTTTCACTGGCCTATTTGTCTTAGTGAGTGAGATAGAATTGAATTTAAGACTTGAATGGTGTATCTGATGTTTAATTTTAGGTTAAATAGGTAATTTAGTCCCTTTATTATTTTAAATGTTTCAATATGGTCCCAAAATTTTTAAAATTTTCAATTTGGACATGAATATTGAAATTGATGTCAATTTTGGACTACCGTTATTTATGTTTTGATTTGACTCCGTTATATTAGATGCCTAGTTGGAGTATCAGTTCTGATGTAGTTAGGTGATTGGTTATAGTTACGTGATAGATTTGCCACGTCACATTAAAATTGCTGGAAGAAAGGAATAGAGGTCGTGGATGTAGATGTGTTTAGGGTTTAGGTCATGATACTTACTTTCTTCGCTTGGCTCCTTCTTCGTCTCTGCCTTCTCGTCGACGATGATTGCTTATTACCGCTCCTCTCTTGTCACTGCCGTTCCTTTGTCGTCGCAATGGGTCGCAGGTAGTCTCTCCCACGTGCTTGACTTTGCCGTCATCGCAGGTCCCCCTTCCCTCGTCGTCGGAAACAATTCGCTCCCTCGATGTCGTCGTCACAAACCCTAGATGGAACCAACCTCCTCCTTCTTCGTCACAGTCAATCTCACACGACGGCGATTAGAACCCTAAACCCCCACTGTCGTCACAAATGGAACTCTCACCTCCCCTGTCGTTGCAGACCCTCTCACTTTCCCTCGCCCATTTGCACAAACTCTCAATGGTTCAAACCCTAAACATATCTGTGACCCTATTTCTTTCTTCCTGCCATTTTAATGTGATGTGACAAATCTGTCACGTAACTATAACCAATCACCTAACCACATCATACTCCAACTAGGCATCTAATATAACGGAATCAAAACATACATAACGGTAGTCCAAAATTGACATCAATTTCAATATTCATGTCTAAATTGAAAATTTTAAAAATTTTGGGACCATGTTGAAACATTTTAATAAATAAAGGGACTAAATTACCTATTTAACCTTAATTTTATTACAAAATTTCAATTCATGTCGGATACTTATGGATTGAATGATTGATAGATAAAAGCAATTCTGCTTTTAATTTTGTTAATGAACAGATATATATGGGATTTTTCTCAGTAGGCATGGCTGGAATTCCGTGGCTTATAATGTCTGAGGTAGCTTTGTCCAACTATGCTTCAACTCATCAAATTAATATTGAAATATAATAAATTCTTTGCACAAGAATGTTGTTTATATATAATTTTTTTTTTCAGATATTTCCCATTAATGTGAAGGCCTCTGCTGGAAGCCTAGTAACCTTGGTTCACTGGTCCTGTTCCTGGATTGTTTCATATGGTTTTAACTTTCTCACAAGTTGGAGTTCAGCAGGTAAACTTCTACTTACTCTTAATTCCTGTTTCTCACTTAACACATACATTAATGCCCTAAAAGAGAAGGCAAAAAATCTGGAAAATCTTTTAAGAAAGTAGGGAAGAAAAAAAAGTAAGGGGTCCATACCTTATGTATGTATGAAATTTATGTCTTGGCTGTGTTGGGGCAGGAACTTTCTTCATATTCTTTGGCATATGTGGCCTCACTGTTATCTTCGTAGCAAAACTAGTACCAGAGACCAAGGGCCGTACACTTGAGGAAATTCAAGCTTCTTTGAACTCCTCCTAAGAGATGAATTTGTATTCCCCTGCAACAGAATTTCATGCATAGTATACCCAGTTTGAATTTCACCAAATTGCAGATTGATGGAGGTTTGGTGTAAGAAGTTTATTCAAAGTTACTTAAGTATAAATCCCTGAAATAACATTCAGCAAGTAACAGTAATTGTTGTAATGAATTGTATTATTTGTCCAATATAGTCCATGCAATTTATGGCAACATATATTATTTGTGTGTAATAACTTAATGAAAATTTTATTATGTAAAATATGGCTTCAATAAATTTCAGTCTCTACCAATGTTATTTTTGATTCAAGTATCCAATTTTTTCTCTCAAATTGGATAAGTAGAAAATTTAATATTTTTGTTTAAACCTCTTTTCTTATTTGTGTCAGTTCTATTATCCAAGTGACTTTTAAGTGATGTTATCTAACATATTGAAAATTGATATGAATTAAGTCTTTTTTTGACAAAATAAATAATATTGATAAGTAATATTATGATAAAATTAAATTGAGGAGATTAAAATAAAAATCTAAAATATTTTAGAGATTTTAAAAGTGTCAAGTAATAGAAAAATAAAATACGAATAAATATTTTGTTTGCGTACTTAATCCACAATAATTTATTAGATACCTAATTTATAAAAAATAGTTACTGGATAGTAAAAATAAAAAAGGTAGTCCTCAAACTTATTTAAACCTAAAAATATTAATGATGGATATTATGTATTGGGTTGTATTAATTATAACAGAAGACCAAGAAGACAAACATGGCGCAAGTGACAAATATCTTTGATCTTTTAAGTATATTGTTAATAGATTATTATTAGTTGTCTCTGGGATTATAATACCTGCATTCACCCAAAAAACTGACAGTAGAAATATAGTCAAAGTAACGTTTTAATCTTGTATTACCATTGTGAAAAAAATTATGCAAAGGTACATGTTGCGTTGAAAATAAAATGTAAATAGCCACACACAGAAATATCTGAAGTTACTTCTTGATGATTGATCACATGCAAGAAAAAAAGGTAAGATACTGCCAACGTAGACAGTGATGTTGTTTTCCACCCTTCAGAATGCCACAGCTTGGAGCTCTTGGCCTTTTTGTGCAAGCTTTTGATGACACATCCTAAACAAAATCTATGCCGATAAGTTCAGATTATGCATGCCTAGTACCAAAAAAATAAAATAAAAAACATGTTATGTTTCTCCAATGATTTGGAGTTCAAAACAACTAACGCTGTATCTCGAGTCAAACAAGACACAAGCTCTTATCTCCAACAGTGTCGTCCTCACTTGTCATTTTTGGACCTCACAAAGCACTACTCTTTATAGATTCATTTAATTTGTCACACGCAGCCTTAAAAATCTGAGGCGGCTTCGAAATCTTCTTCTGGGGAACCATGGACGGTGGTACTAATAGCGCAGAACCAAGCGAAGTTTCAAGTCCTTTGCTTTCCACAGAATTACAAGCTTATGCTGGTAACGATGGGGTTGAGTGTGAGGAAAAGAGGCAGAAAGAAACTTGGTCGGTACCACCTATTCTTATACTTACCACCCTTGTTGCTGTTTCTGGTTCTTACGTTTTTGGGGCTGCTGTAAGTTTTCATTCACACGTTTTGCTTTGGCAATTTTATCAGAATTCGGAAGTACCATTGTCACTGTCTGAATTTTGCAGGTGGGATATTCGTCTCCTGCTCAAACTGGAATCATGGATGATCTCAATTTCGGCGTGGCTGAGGTTTAAACTTTGAATCACAACCTTTGTATCAGTTTGTGATTTATTTAACGTTGAACTAATGAGAGTAAGGAACACTTAATGCCTTTTTATTGGCCATGTGTTATGCAGTATTCACTTTTTGGATCAATACTGACAATTGGAGCAATGTTTGGTGCCATCGTAAGTGGTAGACTAGCAGACTACGCAGGTCGACGAGCCGTAAGTTTGTCCAACTTTGTGTTTTGAAATGAAAGTTTCATGTCTTGCATTATTTCAATCTTCCGTTTTGTTCCATTTTGAAAAACAGGCTATGGGCTTCTCCGAAGTATTCTGCATCTTGGGATGGCTTGCCATAGCATTCTCAAAGGTTTACTACTTCATAGACTTCATCTCATGTTTCTCAGAAGATGCTTACATGACAGTTGCATATGATCCTGTTGACTAAACTATAAAACACCAAGCAAAATTTCTTTTTAAGCAATTAACTTGATTGTAAAGTCAACCTTGAGATTTGCAGAACTTCTGTCATTGTTTTTTGACACTTGGTGGTTGTTTGAAGGTTGGCTGGTGGCTTTATGTTGGAAGGTTGTTGGTAGGGTGTGGGATGGGCCTTCTATCTTATGTGGTAATTTGTGACTCTTAGTTTCTCATAATTGCAGTTCGAAAGGAATTCAGTCACTCAAAAGAAATACTAGTGGTTTGTTCTCTCTGTTTCCATGATAGGTACCAGTTTATGTAGCTGAAATAACACCCAAGAATCTCCGAGGGGGATTCACATCAGTTCATCAGGTAAAGCAGTGATGACCTTTTCTGAGTAGCACTATGTTAATTTACATTTTCCACGAAAGGCTTATTTTAAATCCCTGTATGGAGTTTATTTTGACAGTTAATGATTTGTTGTGGGGCATCATTGACTTATCTTATTGGAGCGTTCTTTAATTGGCGGATTTTGGCTCTAATAGGTAATGCTCTTCTTTTTGGTTTTCACCTAACAAAATTAAATTATAAAAGGTTCTTCGTAACTGGCATTTTTTTTTTCTTTATCTCAGGAACTATTCCGTGTCTTGTACAACTTTTGGGTCTATTCTTTATTCCCGAGTCTCCTAGGTGGTTGGTGAGTTGTCCACGGCTGCTGTAGGTTTGTTGTTGTTTGAGCACTACTTTTGTTGATCTTTCGGACATGCTTCACACAAGCAACTGAAACTTTCAGTCACTTCTGTCAAATGATTGGAATCAGTTAGACAAGCACATCACAAGTTTGTGATAGTTGAAATATTGTGCAGGCAAAATTTGGTCACTGGGAAAAGAGTGAATCTGTTCTACAGCGTCTTAGAGGAAAGAATGCTGATGTTTCTCAAGAAGCCACTGAAATTAGAGTATATATAGTGTTGTTGATTAGCGTATTGGCGCGGTAGAAGAAGCTTAAGAGTCTAATAAACTATTTTATGTTCTTTCTTTTGCAGGATTTTACCGAAGCCCTTCAGAGGGAAACAGAAGCTAGCATTTTTGGCTTATTTCAATTGCAGTATTTGAAATCACTTACCGTGAGCTTTCTAAGATATCCCCGTTCATGCAGCTTATCTTATCTTATCTTTTTGCAGATTCTTATTGTATTTGATTACTTTGTTAGGTAGGAGTTGGTCTGATGATACTACAACAGTTTGGAGGGGTTAACGGCATTGTTTTTTATGCAAGTTATATATTCATCTCTGCTGGTACATGCCTATATCTTTAAAGCTTCTAACATATGACAAATAACGAAGATGACTATGTGAATATTAAATTTATAACACAATTGTCATAGAGGCAAAAATTCTATTCAATCACAGGATTTTCGGGAAGTTTTGGAATGATAGCAATGGTTGCTGTTCAGGTTCTTCATTCTCCTCATACAATTGATTCGCTTGTCTTCTTCGTGCTGTATAAAATGGGATAGATGCCACTCTTGGTTACTCTTCTTTTCACTTTTATTCATTCATTTCTGTCTTCATAGATTCCAATGACAACTTTGGGAGTACTTTTGATGGATAAATCTGGGAGACGACCACTTCTGCTGGTAAAAAGGTTCATCTTTTTGTTTCTTCTGTTTTGTGCTAATCAGTAAACTCTGAATCCAAAATGTTTAGTTTTATGCAGATCTCTGCATCGGGAACATGCTTAGGATGCTTCCTTGCAGCCCTATCATTCTTCTTAAAGGTTCTTTGAATGACAAAACCTGTTCTACCATGTTTTTCCTTTTTCACATTACTTATTTCAAAATAATCAATTAATTGACCTTTGCCTTATGCAGGACCTACATAAATTGAAGGAAGTCAGTCCCATTCTGGCACTTGTTGGTGTACTGGTGATGATTTCTCAATGACAATGCTTGAGCAATAATGCACCATTATTTGAATCTTTGCCTATAGTGTGCAATGTTATGCATTTAATTGGATAATAATAAAACATAATTTCAAATTCGTTACTTTGTTTTATGACTTTTGAACGAGATGAAAAACTATTACCCTGCGTTTTTATCTTCGCCTAGTTAATAACAAGATCACTGAAGATCAGGTAATTCTATTGTGGATAATGAAGTTCTTGAATTCTTGCTAGAACATTGTTGATCCATATGATCTTTTCACTCCACTAAACTTATAATGAGATAGATTTGGCTTTAGGATTTGCATGGTGCCTGTGATGTTATGAAAAGGTTTAATGATCAAATATTGTATTCTTGTTGTCATTCAAACCAATATACATAACAGTTGTGGAATGGATAAAATTTATATATTGTTCTTTACTGTCAAACACTCAAATCAAATAAATACTTTTCTTTTTCTTTCTAGTTAGCATTATATTTCTAATGAAGAATATGTGAAATATTGAAATAAATCCACATATCCGATATCACTGTTTAGTTTGAGAATTAATTTGACCAGTTGGTTTTTGTAATACCTGAGGTATATGCAGGTATATACAGGATCATTCTCTCTTGGCATGGGGGGAATCCCCTGGATTATAATGTCTGAGGTAGTTTCTGAACATGTATATATTTGGAATAAAAATTGGATCACAAGAAAGAAGTCCTTAGTTTACTGAATTATGGCTTTTTTTGCCCCAGATATTTCCCATTAATGTGAAGGGCTCTGCAGGAAGTCTTGTAACTTTGGTTAGCTGGCTGTGTTCTTGGATTGTATCATATGCCTTTAACTTCCTCATGAGTTGGAGTTCAGCAGGTAGGCTCACATTAACTCCCAAAAAAGGACCACAAAAATAAATGATACCAAGAAAACGAAAATTCATTCTATGTTTGGGCAGGAACTTTCTTCATATTCTCCACCATATGTGGCTTCACCGTTCTGTTCGTGGCACAACTAGTGCCGGAGACGAAGGGGCGCACACTAGAAGAAGTTCAAGCATCCCTCAAGAGCTGAATTTGGCATGACCCAGTAGCAGTAGAAGTGCCAGATGATTGATGATGAATATAGATTTTTTTGAAACAAGGTTGATCATGTTTATGATGCAAAGAATTTGTGCGTGGATGAAGAAAAACCTTAGCTCCTACATTTGATCATCATAGTCCCTCAATCAAAAGAACATTTGAATATCAGTTCCGTTATATTAGTTGTAAAACGTTTGTTGCTAAAAATAGATTGGAAATCGCGTTTTTCCTAGTTTTGTCAGGGAGGGTCACTTGAATATATCTAAAAAAAAAAAAAAAGATTCTGATTTTTGACAGCAATGTTTGACTCGGACGTGCATGACCATAAAAAAAGCACTGAAAAAAGAGAATTAAAACGGCTTAACGAATAAACTATTTGATGAAAAGTGGTCAACGCATGATTAATATCCTGAAAGATGAAGGTGGCATGTTTTGCAAATAGGGCGGAGAAAAACAAACAAGAAAGGGATAAAAAAAGCTATTTGCACGGAGTCCAACGTGGGACCCGGCACCGTTTGCTCCACCGCGGACTCCAGCTCATACTCTCAAACAAACACGCCCTTCCTTATTCTTGCGTTTCGTTTGGTTGGCACTCTCACTCTGCCACCCCGCGCCCATGCTTTCATCTTCTCTTTTTTTATTAATACCCTCTTTCTCATCTTCTCTTCGTTCACTCTCAAAAGTTCTTATTATTTGATTTTTTTTTATTATTATTATGATTATTATGTCATGGCAAACTCAATGAATTTCTCCGTTTATTCGCCGTTTCTTTTTTCCCTCGTCTTCCCTGCAATGATCAAATTGTTCAAGCGGAGCACCTCCACTGACACGTGTCAACATCACCACCACTTTCACCACCCTGTATTGGGCCTCAGCCTCGCCACCACGGACATCCACAGGACCCCCAATGTTCTCGAGTCCGCCATGCTCAGGCCCAACAACGCTCATCCGCTCAACAACACACTCGTTGGATCCCACGGCCACGTCGTTTGCGCAGTCCGCGGATTGGCCTCCTGCACCGAGAGCCTAGGGTTCGAAAGCTCCGATGAGATCCACACCAACGCTAATTCTCACGACGACGATGTGCTTGATGGCGACGAGATTTGCCGGAGGAGGACGATGAAGGAGGAGGGGCGAGGGAGGGTAAGGTCGTTTCCCCCGCCGCTGTCCTCGCTCAACCGGAACGGTAAACCGATTTTTTATCTCCGGCCGGTGAGGAAAGACGGGAGGCTGGAGTTGACAGAAGTGAGAATAGAGCGACCGGAGATTCTGCATGCGTCGCGGCATAACGGACGGTTGACATTGCGTCTGCTGTCAGATCTTGAGGAGGAGGAAGAGGAAGAAGAAGAGGAAGAGGAAGAAGAAGAGGAAGAACAACAAAAAGAACAACAAAAAGAAGAAAAAGAAGAAGAAAAAGAAGAAGAGAAGGTTGGGGAGTGGAGGTTCCGTGGTGTGGGAGGGAGTGAAGGGTTAAGGAGGTGTCACGAAATGGTGAACCATCATCACCATCACCATGTTCATGTGGGAATCAGCATTGTGTGAGGGTTGGAGGGGCACGTGGCGGGGGTTTGAAGGGAAAGGAAAATGGAGTATGAATATGAATATGAATGTTGGAATTTGCAGAAGAGAAGAAAGATTGGATGTGTACAGAGAAACATGCACGCATGCATGCATGCGGTGTTGTTTGGTTGCGGGAAAACGACAGTAGTGAGAGGTCCACACTCAGTGTAATTATCTGCGTTTTGTATTCTTAGGCACAGAGAGAGAGAGAGAGAGAGAGAGAATGTTCCACACGGAGAGAATGTCTTGTACTGTATTTACCAAATTTTGAAGTTTCATGTTAGATACAAAAGTCAAATTCTCATCATATTTTATTCAATTTTCAAAATCATCGAAACTAGTTAAAGTTCTCATAAGATTTGCCATTCAATTACCGTGTGGAATCATGACGAAAGGTTCCAATTTCACCACCCAAAACAATGCAAATTGAATGCTGTTCTCTTCTCTATTTTATAAACTCATGCTCTCTAAATCTCTGATCGACATTGTTCTCTGCTTTCACCTATTTGGATTGTTCACTCATAGTGTATTGGGTTGATTTATAGTGGAGCATGTGGCCCTTCACCTAAAGTTTGTTGGAATAAGCAGTGATTTTTGACATGAAAATTCTGGGTTTCAGTTTATGAGAATACAAGAAAAGTGAGGTGTAAATATTCTTCATGAGTGTTTATTGTTTTAATCATCATTTTGCAGGATCAATCATCGGAAGAAATGCTTATCAAAATCAAGTGGGTATGAATTACAGCATTGTTCCATCTAAAGAGATTGGGATTCTACAAATGCAAATATTTTCTAGAGGAACTGTCACTCGAGCATCGACAGCATCTCAGAGAAGAACTTGAGGATGAAGCATTTCAAGACATTTTTTTTTTTTTTTTTACAACAAGTCATTCCTTTTAACATGGACAAGTATAATACATAATCAATTGCATCAGACTTAAACCCTTATCCCTACCACGACTTAAGGTTAAATAATGTGGGGTGAAAAATCCTTTCACACACAAAATGAGGATCAAAGAATAAAAAATAATAGTCAAAGTTGAATGACATAACGCAATATTTTTTACCTACATTCATCTATAACAATATCTCAACATATATTCATTCTTTCAAATAAAATTACAGATTTCCTAAACAAATAGGAGAAAAATATTTTACATCATGTCTCCAAACTAAATATAATGGTGATCCCTTATTTCCTCTCTTCCCATTGTTATCCATGATATTTATAAAAAAAAGGTTAATTATCAAGTAAACGATCAAGAGATATATGAAAAGATATGATAATATATTTAATTATTTATGAAAATAAATTAAGCAGATTGAATTTTATATATATATATATATATTGTTTAAGTTAATATAAATTTAATAAATTAGTAAATTTAAATACTTCAAAAAATTTAGAGGAACACAAAGAAATTTAGATTCACCATAATGACATTGTGAAAATTAAAAAAAAATGATAAAATTTAATATCTTTTGGTAAATAATATGCATTTGAAAGTACAATAATTGATGAGTGTAACTTATGGATGATATTATTAAGAGAAGGTATATCTAATATATACTTTTTAATAGTTACATTTACTTACAAAAGTGAGTAACGAAACATATTCTTCAAAGTGATTATCTTAATATCATTTTGCATCATATTTGGCAGTAAATTGGCAATTAAAGAAGGGATAAACATTGATACGCAAAATTGATAGATAAATTAAAGATTTCAAGAAAACAAAAACTTTTCTTTTGACAGGTAGCTGTTTTCTTATTTATTTTATAGTTAAGTAATTTTATGTGTCACTAAATCAAAACAATTTTATTATTCGATTATTCATAGAAAAATATAAAAAACAATATTTTTTATTTATTTAAATAAATATATCTTCTATTAAATAAGAAAAAATATGAAACCAAAAATATTCATAGAAAAATATAAAAAACAATATTTTTTTATTTATTTAAAATAAATATATCTTCTATTAAATAAGAAAAAATATGAAACCAAAAATATTCATAGAAAAATATAAAAAACAATATTTATTTATTTAAATAAATATATCTTCTATTAAATAAGAAAAAAAATATTATTAAAAAATCGTCGACAGCAGGGTTCGAACCTGCGCGGGTGAAACCCAACAGATTTCAAGTCTGTCTCCTTAACCACTCGGACATATCGACATTCTTGAAATATAAAAACTCATAATTTTATTTCAATGTTTTCAAATCAAGATATTAATATACATTTTAATTTAGTGATTTTATATATAAATTTATAAAATTAAAACATTTCTATAACAAAAAACGTCGACAGCAGGGTTCGAACCTGCGCGGGCGTAGCCCAACAGATTTCAAGTCTGTCTCCTTAACCACTCGGACATATCGACATGATTTGATGATCCTAGTACATGTTTTATTTTAAAATATTTTAATTCAATGTGCTGATCAAATTCTCTACGCATAGATATCCTAATAATTAAAAAAAAAACAAAATTTAAGTTTTTTTTTATCATTGAGAATTTCATTTTAGAAAATAAAATCCAAAGTTAATAAATGTTAATTTAAAAATTAATTATTGCGATAATATCAAAAAACTATTTTTTATTCAAATAGTTGAGATTTAATATATATATCAGAAAGATAATTTAATCTATAAGTTACAATCAAAATACAAAATAAAAATGAATTAAAAAACATATTATGTTAACTAACCATTGTTTTCCATATTGGCAAGTGTTCTTAAAAAATGTTACTTTCCCATAACATATTTTCATTGACCCTGGAAGTGCCTTCTAATTGTGGCATGGGAACTCTAATTGGTGAATGGAACCTTATTTTAATGTTCCTTGTCCAACATACTTAAAATAAACCAATGTTCCAACTTCAATGTTGTAGAAAGCCTTGAAACTGTTCATTCCATTACTGAAACATGCAGAAACTTTATTGTTTATGGTGTTAACTTCAATTTCTACTGGGAAAAAAATTATCATTGTCATCTTGAAGAATAACTGCTTTGCCCAGTTCATTACTCCAAGTACTGTAAAAACCATTTGGAATTTTGACTCTTGTCTGATTCGAATTTCAGAAAATAAATATGATAGATATTATGATCGAGTGAGATTAATTATATAAGAAAATTTTCATGCAGTAATATTTACATGATGAGAAGCACGAATTATTCCTTCAAAGTATGCATCTGTGTAATCATTTTTTCTTCCGAAATATTTATCCATGGCCTGTGTAATATAAAAAGTAAATATATCAGATAAAAGGTATCTATAAATTTCTCTGGTTTAGAAATCTCTAATATAATACGTAAATAAATAAAGTAAAACAAGTTAGTTTTATTATTATTTTTAAATATTACACAAATGCTTATAAGTTAAAACATATTAAATGCTTTATAAAAAAAAGTGTAAAGTGCTTTAAAAATATCGCCAATATTTTCTAGAAGGTGCATATAATAACAAGATCAAAGAAAGTAATACAATATTGTTTAATAATTAATGAAAGACATTTATATATATAAAATATGTGAAATTGTTCAAGGAAACAACATGGCACATAAGAAATAATTAATTCATATAATTAAGTTTTCCAAACACGAATCGTATACTTTTATAAATGATAATAAAACACATAAGATAAAAGAACTTTCATTTGTTATTAATTTCATGAAATATTTGTTTTTCTTCATTGAAAAATATAATATTTAATCTGCAACCATTTTCTAATGTAAATATTAATTAAATCACTTCCATTAACCTGGGCATTATATGTAATACGAAAATAAAATAATCAAATCGCATGAATTCATAGACAAAGAATATAAAATAAGGAAAAATGTTGAATACAAGACAAAAAAATGGAACCTTTCGATGACTGAGAGAATGTTAGGAAGAGAGGTAAAAAAAATTGGTCTTAGAAAAATATGAGAAACAAAGAGATTGTTGTTAGTGTTTGTCTAAACAAAGAAAAAGAATAATCAAAACAATGAATAACCTAATAATATTATGTAATAAAAGAATATTCAAGAACTATAACAGTAGTATTTTTCTTGAAAAGGATAGAAATACCATCAACAGATGACAATTCTGAAGAGTATGATGTTATCTCTCATCAGATTGTGTTGAGTATTTTGAGTGAAAAAGTAGAAGAAGATGGACTTCACATTTTAATAATAAAAAAAGCTTATTCTTCAACTGTTATATTTGACGTAATAACTTTTGCTTTATTAGTTATTATATCATATTTATTAAATGCAATATATTTATTGTATTATATTTTATTATATTCAAGAAACTTCTTGTCATCTTCATATTTTATTTTCTCTGTAATGAGATCCAAGATTGAGATGAATAATAATTCTTAAAATAACTTCATCTAAAACCCAATCATCATTATACAATAAAAACATAAGAAAGGTGTTTAATTTTGTTAATAAGAAACTTTTAACCAAATGTCATATTACATTTAAGTTTTTGTCATAAAACAACATTTTTAAAGAAAAACAGAAGATATAAAAATACAGAAAAAATTTATATTAATTTCTATTACGAAGATTCATCCAAATTTTTACAATAATCGAAATTTACCATATAACTCCTTAAATTATATATATATATATATATATATATATATATTTTAACCCAATTAAAGTAAAAAAATAAAATATTATTTTCACATCCACTTATTTAGACTTTTTTCTTCACTCTTAAAAGAAAAAGGTAACTCACGTACTAGTCGTGGTGTCTTGGTAGATAATATGAAAGGTAAGTTTCAGTCTTAGGATTTTCTCAAAAACTATATTTTAAAGACATACATATAACAATGAAAGGTTTTCTTAGAGAAATTTCAGCAACGTTTGATATTTGATAGAAGTTTATTACATGTGATTTTGAGAAGTTTTTTTAGGATGAATATTTTCTAATAACCCATTTAAATATATAAATATTTGTAAGCCTTAATTGATTAATTAATAGATTAATTAGGAAAATTGATACCTGTATGTGAAACTATTCAATTGCAGTTACTAATTAAAAATTTGTAAATATTTACAATTAAATTATAATTTATTCTATATTTATATCATTAATATAAAAATTATAATCCTTTGAATTAGTCATTATAATTTATCTTGATAATTTTGATTTTAATATTTCATACATATAACAATTAAAAAAATATAACCGGATGGATGGATAAACTAGATTTTTTATATATTTAGCTAAAATTATTTTTCTAATATTTTTCTTAGAAAAACTAAACAACAATAGTAAAAACAATATTAATTATTTTTTAGGTAAATATGTCTGGTGGTAGTAATAATGGTATAAATAAGATGGTCACATAAATATGTCTAGTGATAGTAATAATGGTATAAGTAAATATCATTACATAAATATTCGTGACTAGAGATGTTTAGTTGAAGGACACTGGACCTATGCGTGAGGAATTCATATTAAAAGATAGATTGTTGGAGTCTAATGTAAATTAAATTCTCACATTATGCATAAAAATGAAAATTGAGCAATATATAAATAAGATTTTTTTAAAGATATTGATGTTATGAGATTTATTTAAAAAATATATTAAACAAAGAAGAAATATAGAAAAAAAAGCTTATTTCTCTTCTATTTGTAGCTTATTGATGAATGTGATCTTATATATTTCTCCTCTAGATTTTTTTTATATGTATTTCTCCCCTCGTAACTGTAAAAAGGCTTTTTAACATCTAACAACTTTTAGCTAAAGATAGATATTCAAATAATAGATGATAGAAATAGTTAGGAGCTATTCATCCTTTAATATAACAACTCTTGTAAGATGTAATCATTTTTATTACATTTTAAATATTTTCTAACCCTATATATCCCAATAATAGCATTATTATTTCTATTTACTTTTGTATTATGTCCATTTATAATAGGTTAATAGAAATATTTTTTTATTAGACTTACTATTAAAAATAAAAATATCCTAAACTAAATGTAGGTGCTATTACTGCAATTGAGGTATTACATCTTTATCTTTCTGTTACCTATGGTAATGCTAGTTTTTAAGCTCTTCTTGTGCCAAGATATCGTGTTTCCTTGCAAACTATTTATCACATTATTAAAGATATCGGGTTTAGTTCTGAAAGTTGGCTTATTTGATATCTCTTCTTCAATAGTTTTTGCCATAGTTTGTTTTTAAATTGAACTTTGAATTTTATTAGCTTTTATTATTAATCTTTTGAAATATAATGGAAACTGTCATTGTCATTTATACCGAGAAAGAATATGTGAAAGCATATAGTGCCAAGAGGTATAAAGAAAGTATCTGATCTAACATATTTATTTTGATTATCGATATATTTATTATTTAAATAAATGTTGTGGGTCAATAATTGTTGCGTGCTGCAAATTTTGTAGAATTTCTCACTACACAAGCCTTAGCTCGCTATTAAGCGAGGATTATGTGAGAATTGAGTTTATGATCTAGGTACTTGTGCAAAGCGAGAGATATCTCTCGTTAAATATATATTCTTCAACACATTCTATAAATGTAAGATTCATTAAACAAGTTTTATCCAAAAAATTAAATAAGAGAAACTTAAAAAACTCACCTAAGGTAGCTTAGGTAGGAATCACTCCAACTTACATTAAACTTCAGGTGTGTGTGTGCTATCTGGACCTATTCTTGAAGAGAGCATGGAATATAACCCAGAATCAAAACCAGCAAACCACACCCAAAATAACACCAATCGAATCCTCGAGTCAAATCCTGATTGTATGAGTGGGCTCCATACACTAAGAAAGAAGTCGAGATTCATATAGTTGACCAGCCTTTGCACCTTCCTGCTTTGTGATCCAACGGAAACCATCTAAGAATTGGGTCATACGCTGAATTATCAATAATTCTGCAATGATGCAGTAGGAGTTGAATACCTTCCAACCCTTCCAAGTAATTATTCAGCCTGAGTATACTCTAACAGCATGTGTGGCGAGCGGTAGATTTTAATAAGCGTCCAATACAAAATCTCTTCCACTTCAAGCTCTCCAGCAGCTCTTGCAGCATATATATCTTCACATATTGCCATCAGTCTGCATCAATCAACACATTATTTGGACACTTATTGAAACCATTGGCACTCACTTCGTTTCATTTCTCACTAAAACGGAAGGGAGCCTCATATGAAGAACACTCTACAAAGGATGGATTAATTGCTCGAGCACCTGTCACATGAAGGAAGATTCTCAAAAGGAATTCTCATTCGCAAGTCAGAACATTGTAATCTGATAAAACGTCCAACTGCTAGCACGAAGGTAATGTACAGCCCCCAGATGCTGAACTTGCTGAGAGTGTCACCGATAATGCCCTCTTGAGCAGCAATGAGATTGGTATTAGTCAATGTATTGATAAAATATAGGGGACACAATTATCTGAATTCTGCCTTTGACCCTTGAATATACACTATGTACTAAGTGTGTGTAAGAGGAAAGTCAAAATAAGTTTTGTAAAATTGATTTTGAAGGCAGGTGATTTATATATTATAATGTTTTTATTGAAAACACAAAGTACTTAAAGATGTTTTTCATTCAAAATTAATTTTGGACTCACTATATTCTTTGAATAGAACCAAACATATGAAATGAAACACCTAAATAGGTAACTGTGTTAAAGTTTAAGTTCAGCTTACGTGGGGTTTCTTCGGATACAATTATAGCCATAGGTCCTGGGAACTTCCCACATCCAAGTGAACCTAAAATGCCCAAATCATAAAAGGACCACCACTCAGGATCTCCACGGTTAAGAACAAGATCCCCACTAACCAGCTCCACCTACATAGACCATATGCCCATTATAATCCGAGCCGTAGCTAGTAAACGAATGTAGCAGTCTCGAATAAAACTGGGAACATTTTTTTTTGGTCCGAGTACATATTTTTAGTCTTGGATTAGGCATATTATATCTTAAACATACCGACTGTTGAAGGGATCGCACGTCTCCTGAGCCTGTGACTCGGAAATATCTGGGGTAAATATTGAATACTGCAAAACTGTTTGAAGTACCATTAAAAACATTAGTCACTTCTGAAGATTTGGGAAGATCCTGCTCCAGTATGGTTAATTCATACTTGACTGCTTCCTTTCCTTTAGGCCTATCTCTGATAAATTCCCAGGAGAAAGTAATATCCATGTTCCGCCTAAGGGACTTTGTAAATCTGGCCTGCACAATTGGTGGAACAAGCCATAATGTACTTGCATCTGAATGGCAGCAAATTAATTGAATGTCTTCCACATTGTATGCACTAAGATAACCCTGGGGATCCAAACTTGCGCGTGCTTCAAGATTTTCCCAAGAAATTTTCTCGCACAAAGTAGTCTCGAACAATGTCAACCTTCCACTTGATGTCTGTATATCAACCCGGGCGCTTGCATCTTTGATTGGGTTCGCAATATTTGTTGGGTTACCACTGCTGTACATCTGTCCAGAAAATGTAATTTTGAGGAAATGGTGCCAGTGATAGTTCAGCAAATAATTTAGGATTTTTCTGCCTCCAATATTATTATAATCTAGACTTCATAATTGATCTCAAAAGTGTAAAAGTAGCATTCAACTGCTGTATCTGTAAAAATGACATGAATAAAAAACATTTGAAATATGTACTATAGGATGGTGTTAGTGCAGGATTACGACAAACCGTTGAGTGCTACATCATTCCCCAAAAGGAAAAAAAAGTGCTGGTAATAGTCCTATGATATGACTTGCAAGCTATCAGAAAACAGTAGACAATGACCATATAACACGCTTCCATGATTTTTTTAATTCCTTTTAGTATGATAATAGTCTAGCTACAGACAGCAAATATGTCCAAGTACATGGCATTCTAATACAGGACTTGAACTCGTCTGTCAACTCTAGGAAAAATATATCTCTGCTCCTTATCAAAACATGATATTAGGAGTGAAGCAAACAAGTCAACATGAGATATTTCAATTAGCTAAGCGAACATGGCAGGCATTAGGCCATCACAGTGATTTGTTGAAGAGAAGTCGTGCCACTGATTTATGATATCAAAGAATTTCTGAAAACTCATATCTCAAGAAATACAATGACCTATTTAACATGTGTCAAAACTTCTAATCATAATTAGGAATTAAAATAATTATCACCCAAAACATCAACAGTCTCAAAACATTCAATAGTTACATAACATTCCAATAAACTAATTAAATTATTATTAATTTTATCTAACAAACCCCCCTCGTAAAATTAATCCTCCTAAGAAAACTTTTGACGTAATTCCGACCTCTCAACTTCTTACTCTCTTCTAGCCGATTACGTATCTTCTTCTTTCCGAGCATTCCGAGTTCCTTCCATCCTTCATCCCAATTAGTCTCTTGTAATTATCGAATAACATAGTAGGAAGTGGCTTCGTGAAAATATCAACAACTTGATCTTTACTCGCCACATGTATGAGTTCCACATTCCCTTCCTTCACATGCTCTCGGATGAAGTGAAACCTTATATCACTATGCTTACTCCTCTCATGATTGATCATATTCTTAGCTAGTTCAATAGCTGACTTGTTATCAACTCGGATTACGGTTGCATCGAGTTTAGCAAATTTATTAGCCACACTGCATGACACACACACCACGTTGCTACTACGTACTTGGCTTCATATGTTGATAATGTTACTATGAGTTGCTTTTTCGAATGCCAGGTAAACGTTGTGTTACCTATGAAGAATACATACCCTGATGTACTTTTCCGATTATCTAGATCTCCACACCAGTCCCTGTCCAAGTACCCGATAAGTCGGTAATTGTCCGACCTCATGTACCATAGCCTGAGAGACAAGATACGTCAGATGTACCTCAAAATTCTATTCAACGTTTTCCAATGAGAGTAGCTCGAATTTTCCATGAACCGACTAACAATCCCGACACTTAACAACAAATCGTGTCTAGTACTTGTGAGGTAACGAAGACTTCCAACTAAGCTTTGATATCTACTTGGATCAACTCGGTCTCCTCCATCAAATTTTGAAAGCTTTGTTCCTAGTTCCATGAGGATTGATACCGAATTGCAATCGATCATCTTAAACTTGTTCAAAATCTCCTTTGCATATGCCTCTTTGGACACAAATATCCTCGATTCTTCTTGTCTTACTTCCAGGCCAAGAAAAAAAACTTCATCATTCCAAGATTGGTCATCTCAAATTCAATTGTTATTGCACGCTTGAATTCTTGAATTATTCCAGAATTATTTTCCATAACAATGAGATCATCGACATATAGAGCAACAAACATCACTTTACCTCCATTCTTCTTCACATACAAAACATGTTCATAGGGACAGTGAATAAACCCATTCTCCTTCAAGTAGGTATCTATCTGATCGTTCCATGTCCGATGAGTTTGCTTTAGCCCATAAAGAGCCTTCTTCAGTCTCAATATTTTCTCCTCCTCGGCTTTCTTCACGTATCGAAGTGGTTACTCAATATACATCTCCTCCTTGAAGACATTATTCAAGAATGCCGACTTGACATCCATCTATAAGATCGCCACTTGTTATGTGGTGTTAAAGAGATCAACAGCCGAACAGTCTTCATCCTCGCTACTGGGGCAAACATCTCGTCATAGTCAATGCTTTTTTTTTACTTGTACCTTTTTGCAATGAACCTTGCTTTGTATCTCTCCACCCTTGCTTGTGGATTGAGCTTCTTCTTGTACACCCACTTAACACCAATAGGCCGAGCATAGCTTGACTGCTCGGTTATTTCCTAAGTACCATTCTGATCAATGACTTGGATCTCATCATCCATGGTAGTTCGCCACTTCTCATCTTGAACAACCTCCTCAAATATGATGTCCTCAAAATCTGCTAAGAGACAAATAACATGTACCTCATTAGTTGAATCATATAAATCTCTCAAGCTCTACATTCTTGGTTGTGATTCATGTTCCTCTTCATCTTCCGATAGTGCAGCAACTCAGTTTTCTTTTGGGTTAGATGCTCAGTCATATTCCAAGCTATCAATGACTGGAGATTTAGATTGGTCTTCTTCCGATTCTTCACAATTTCATTCACTTGTTTCATCAAATCGAACATCCCGACTTACAACTACCTTTTTACTTATCGGATCCAACAACTTATACGTTTTTTATGTTTCATCATAACCAATGAGCACATACTTCTTACCCTTGTCTTCAAGCTTAGTCCAATGCTGAGTTGGAACTACTTCATAAACCAAACTTCCGAAGACTTTGAGATGAGACGCAGTCGGTTTCTGACCGTTTCATGTCTCTTGTGGTGTTACACCATCTACCTTTGCATACGGGCACCTATCCTGCACATAAATAGCGCACTGTACCACCTCGGCCCAAAACTCTTTTGGCATATTCTTAGACTTCAACATAGCTCGAACCATGTCAAGAATCGTTCGGTTCTTTCTCTCAACCACACCATTTTGTTGTGGTGAGTACGGGACTGTTAAGAATCTCCTTATTCCTTCATTTTCACAATACTTCATGAAAGCACCTAACATAAATTCTCCTCTATCAGATCGGACTGATCGGATATATCACCCAGTCATATTCTCAACCATCATCTTAAACTTTTTAAATACTTCAAACACTTCAAATTTCTTTTTCAGCAAGTACACCCACATCTTTCTAGAGAAATCATCAACAAATGTCATGAAATATTTATTACCACTGAATGACTCAGGGATAATCGGTCCACATAGATCGATATGAATCAATCCAAGTTGTTCATTCGCTTGGTACTCGACACTCCTAGAAAAAGGTGTTCTCACCAATTTTCCAATTACACATTCTTCACAAAATCTTTTTTAATTCTCCAAGCTCGACAGTTCGAGCATTATACTTTTGTTTGACAGCTTAACTAACCATAAAAAAATCAAGTGGTCAAACTGATGATGCCAAATCAACATTGTGTCCTCCACGTCAAGCTTCAGACACTTCTCCTGAATACTTTTCAACTACATCTTGTACATCCTGTTTTTCTCCATCTCAACCTGTGCAATCAGCCTTTCAAGTTTGTTCCTCAATTTGGGCACTCGGTCTTTCATGAAAATCTTGTACCCCTTCTCCATCAACTGTCTCATACTCAAAATATTACTTTTGAAATCAAGAACAAAATACACATCTTGGATTATTTCCACCAGTCCATCTTTCAGTAAATAGCTGATTGTGCCTTAACCTTTTACCGAGACTCTCGAAGCGTCTCCAAAGGAAACAGTACCACCATTCATCTTCTTTGACTCTTTGAAAAGATGTTTATCACCATAGATGTGATTACTCTCCCCTATATCCAAATACCATATTGACTTGTGATCGGTATTGTCCCGAACTCCATCACTATAATCAGGTCCTAAGTGTATGACAGAATGTAGATCGACCATCATGAGAGTTGATTCTTCTTGCCTTCTGTGAGGTGGGTCTCACTCCTTTCCACAATTGAAGCATTTTTTCGAATAGTAGTCCCTCGCATAATGACCATACTTGTCATACTTAAAATACTCGACATTTGAGTGGTTTGTTGACCGGCTTCCTCTCAATCCACGTCCACTTCCTCGCTAGTTTTGTTGACCCCCATCTTCCTTCTTGTCACCTCGGCTAGATCGACCACCTTGAGCCCAACACCTCGACTCCGGGAATATAGTGTCTTCTCAACTTTTGACTCGGCCTTCCGCACTTGTACAGTCATCTCCTCCTTCATCTGATACTCATGGACTCCAAGCGAACTGGTCAATTCTTGAAACATGAGTTTGGACAAATTCTAAGACTCTTCTATGGCATAAACTTTGTTCTTAAAATCGTTGGTTAAAGATATTAAGATTTTTTGCACAACCCGATTTTTAGAGATCGCCTTGAGTTAATTCACCACGGTTTTGACACGGGTGATGTACTCGGAAACTACTTCTGAGTTATTCATTTTCATGCTTTCAAACTCGCCATACAGGATTTGTAACCGAACCTGTTTGATTTGATCATCATCCTTGTACGTTGTCTCCAGTGTCGTCCACGCTTCTTTTACAAATTTAACATCTGTAATCTTCTAGAAATCGGTATCTTTTACAGCTCAAAACAATGTGAACAAAGTTGTACTATCTTTCTCACGATTCTTCTTCAACTCTCTGAGATCATTGACTGTCAATTCTCCCGTGGTCTTAGGTTCTTCAAAACCTTCCTCTATTATTTCCTATCAACTTTGGGCTTTGGGGAGAGCCTTCATCTAAACACTCCATATATCATAACTAACGTCCTTCGTCAGTTAGAGCATAACAATAGCATTTGTCAGCAGTGACAGTTCTTAAATGGAGCTGAGAGGGCCGTGGCCCCCAAAGTTTTGTAACTCCCATGTAATTTATGATTTGGCCCCCCCAAACTTAATGATCATTTAATATATTTACTTGTATATTTACAATTTTATCCTCTCATTACTCCTAACTCTCATATAATTTATGATTTTGTCCCCTCAAACTTAATGATCATTTAATATATTTATTTATACATTTACAATTTTATCCTCTTACCCTTTCATCTTCTTTCATCCTTTTATATTTATTTATTATTTATTAATAATATATTATTTAGTCCCCCCAAAATCAATGGTCAAGATCCGCCACTGTTTGTATGACCAGCCATCTCACTCTTTGCTAACACTCAAACCCTAACTCTTGATGCTAATTTGATAACAAAGAATTTCTGAAAACTGAATATTATTGATTATTTTTCATATCTCAAACGAGAAATACAATGACCTATTTAACATGTACAAACCTCTAATCATGATTACAAATTAAAACAATAATCACCCAAAACATCAACTATCTCAAAACATTCAATAGTTACAAAACGTTTCAATAAACTCTACTTAACTTATTATTAATTTTACACAACAATTTATATATTTCTATTCATCAACCGATCATGAAAGAATAAATTATATCTTATAGTTCCACGAAAGGAAGTTATGAAAGAAAATTACTTCTTTAAAATGAAAATATATATTCATATCTTTCTAACATGAAAGATATTTACTTCAACCTTTTCAAATCAAGTCATTCTCATAGTATTATATTTATTTTTTTCATGAATCGTGTAAAAGGATTTCAGAATTAGATGAGATTCAAAGTTGTGGCCTTTATTTTTAAAGTTTAACCAATAAGCAAATATTTGTTTTTTTGTTTCTTACCAGCATTGGAGCCCATATGACACATAGTAACACAAAAAATAAACATATCCCATTGCTGAACTTCGTCATTTTTGTTTGCTTTTGTCCTTGTTGGTGTGTTGCTCTATTCAGATCCACGTCGCATTTGACAAGAAATAGACTTGCATGAATGTCCTCTAACTAGAAAAAAAGGTTAAATTGTTATAAATAGGGGAAAGAAATGCACATTGCCCTAACGTTCTACTCTGTTCGAGAACAACCAAACAAGAGAAGTCTATATTATTAAAATGCTAATATCATAAGCAGTAACAGCAAAAAAAAAAAAAAAAAAACAAATTATGAAGAGGAAACATGAGAAAACTATTGACAACATACCTTTAGCCAGTCATGCATAGTCAAAGATGTTGTTGTGCAAGACCAATCTAGCACACATCTCAATTCATAAAGGAAAGGTATAGCACGATATAGTCGAAAACCCAAAACATTAATTCGAGAAACACTACTCGTCAAAAACTGTCTGTACAAAGTGCTCTTGTGTGGAATCCCAAAATGAAGTTGTATGGCTTGCAAAACTAGAGAAATTGATTTTGTAAGATAAATGGCACGGAGTGCTAGTATTCCAGAATATCTGTGCAAAGGATCCATGTCCCAGGCATACTTTGTGACTGAATATGTGAAGAGAATAAGGTTGAATAAATAGAAAATAACTTTTATTGTTGCAAATGAGCAGAGGTATATAATTCGATCAAGCACAATCAAGAAAAAGACAACCTGCAAGATAGAGTTCTCACGCTAAGTAACTAGCCAGACATACAAATTTATTATCAACATGACTGATTCAAAATGTAAATTCTCAATCATATGGATCAGAACATATTAAACCATGTAACAAAATAAATGAATCATTTTGGCATCAAAGAAGCTAATAAGTTTCTGAAAAAAAAAAAAAAATATATATATATATATATATATATATATATATATATATATATATATATATAGTAGTGCAGTGGCTGGCCTGTACTTGTACTTTATATCTCACTGCTAAATATAGTAAAATATCTAGGCACAAACTCCTCTTTTTTATCATGAAATCTATATATATTTGTTCTTTTGTTGTACATTATAAGCCTTGGGATTTTATTCATATCTCTCAAACTTTAACATAGTACCTAAAGCCTATGTGCCTTCCTGTTGACCCCCTTCCCATTGGTGCCAAAATTTTCCAAAATCATGTTTCATTCTCATTTCCAGCTTTTTTTTATTCTCTATAGTGTTGTCCTAGTGGTCGTTTCACTATTTTTTGTCACCATCGTTCAAACCAGCAACCACATCACCGAAGTCATCCCAATGGGACGACTTTAAGGCCTCCAGAATCATGACAATCTGACAAATGTATTTTTGTAGGTTCTCTGAGATCTCAAAAAGAGGATAAGTGTTACTCATCCTCCTTCCATGGTTATAAACTAGGTCAATCTGTGACAACAATAACATGAATGCGATGCTGGAAGGTTGAGTGACAAACACAGGCAAGGAATAAAAATTAGTATGTATGATGAGAAGGTTTTAAGGGCAGACAAGTCTAGAGAAGGTGATCCTCCCATTACGATGCCTAGCCCAATTGGCAATGACAGAGAGGGTGAACGACAACAAACAATGGTTAAACCAACTTCGTAGAAGGGAATTTGTACTCCAATACAAGCACTAATTATGGGCTAAATCTAAGAAAAGGAAAACAGGAAAGATTGGAACAAAATTTGTCCCATTAGTTATATATACAATCTCAATATTTACTGGAAATGTTTATCATAAATTCGTGTCTATTTTACAACAACGTTAATGAAGCATGAAGGATGAAAAACCCTTGGTATCAAGTAATTAAACTTTGGGTTAATGATTTTATCAATGCATTTCTAATATAAATGGTAAGTCAAATAAAGTAAAATATCAACCACCCTCATCTCAATATTGAACTTATAATAGAAATAAACAAGCCATCTATATGGTACATTCCGAAAGAAAAAACATACCATGAGAACTAATACAAAATCCTCTGGGAATTGATCTTCAAGCTGATAGACTTCAAGAAAATCACAATTAGCTTTCATAATTGATTCATATAAAATGGAAATTAAGAAGAAAACAGCTAAATCAGCTCCAAAGATGTAGGCATACAAATCAATTTCCCTTTTTCCACCACCAATGACAGAAAGTATGCGATATGGAAACCCAATTTCTTTAAAAATACCAACATGTTGAGCTTTTTGAATCTCATTGCATACGTCTTCCGCTGGAGTTAATGAAGTGTACCATTCTTCAGCAGCAAACTCAATCGGAGGGGAGGCATATAACACCTCAAAAACAACTAGACACAATTTTTCGTTTTCTTCGCCTTTTTCAATGCTCTGTACACGAACCCTACTTGCCGAGTGCAACTTAAAATGGTTATCCTCTTTGCATCTCCTCTTATGCAAGATCTTCAGCAACTTATTTATTCTTGATTCAATTTTCTTTGGCTGAATTCCCTCTTTTGGCCACGAGTTTACTTCCATAGACAGTTGAACAAAGTAAGGGGGAGTTTCTGCATCCCATGTCAATGATTTCCAGTACCTACAGAGACTTCTGATAAAAACTTTCAATATATTTTTCAAGGGTAAAAATAATCTTTGTAATCTCTCTTGGCTGGTGGAGCACTTTGCATTCTCTGTGCAGCTCTTAATTCTTCTCTTACAAAAGTTGAGATCTGCAGTCCAACCCCCATCCTTCAGTGTTATGGAGATTTGCACAAGAGTGAATATATACACCAAGAAAAATGGTAAGTTGTTTGTCACAAAAGATGATGTTATCTTCTTGGCAGGAAATCCTAGTTTTTGAAGTAAACTAGTATGGAATTGAAACTTAGTATGTTGAATGATGATTTGATAACAGTACTGAAGCAAAATGCACAACTCCGTATAGATTAGCATAATAACCCAAAATATGTAACTGGGACCAGTATTTTGACAAAGAGCATATAAGAAGAGTGCTGCTAGATAAACCACAGAAAGCAAGCTGAAGTACCATAGATATATTAGAATAAAGCAGCAATAGCAAACAACATCATTATTTGACCTCATTCGGGACCACATATAACGTAAAATAATTCCAATTTGGTGGCAAGCAGTATTAGGCATAGTATGCTCATGAATAGAGTGTGTAGAAATTATAGGTTCTAAAGGTTCGGAACCGACATTCTGATTCTCAATTTCAATCTCATAGTACACCTCATCCTCGGAAGAATCTTCAGTTGACTCTAGTTCTCCACGTTCTATCTTTAGATAGTTCATTAGATTGTTAACTGCCACATTTCCAAGAGATTGCACCTGAGATAGTCCATTTCCAATGAAATGGATAGCTGAAACCAAAGCCTTTCTCTTGATTGGAAGTTTATAACAATTTCTTATTTCCAAATCCAAAACATCATTGTTTTTAGTTCTTTCCTTTCCATCCACAATTCCATGAGGAGAATCCATTGGATATTTCCGATATTGTGGTATCAATGGACTTTTTGATTTTTCACTCAGTAAAGATTGTTTCCCATCGAATGAGCCTATTGGTTCAATATTCATATCAAGATCTTGCTTCCTGAATCCATTTTGCTGGTGCAAATCTACGGATGAGTGGTGCAAATCTACGGATGAGTTTGCTCTCTTTCTAAGGCCATCAATTTCGAGAGAAGCATTACAACAATTCGCTTTAGTGTTCATATTATGTTGCTGATTTTGGAGATTTAACATCTCTGATTTCATCTTCTCTACCTGCAAACTTCGGAGATGCTTCAACTCTTCAGCTTTACGTATGTGTCGCAACTGAGCAGTCTTCCAAGCAGCTTTCTTCTCCTGCTGTCTAAGTATGGCACCAATTTGCTCTTTCTCGAGATATTTTGAAACATAATGAAACTCTGGAAATGAAAACATGTACGATTGTAGTGCTACCAACACAAATATTATGATTTCCACAATTGCTGATCTTGATGTAATTCGAAATCCGTAATCATACTTGTGGAATCCCACCAATTCATTGATGGATTCTATTGAACCATGTTTTATACTACTAAAGTTTCCAACAAAAGGAGATTGATATGCAAGAGACATGACAATAAGAACAAAATTGTACATCCTTAAGAATCTAAAAATTCTATTTCCCTGCTTTAGTATTTTTAGCCTCATTCGGAAGAAAACCAGAGCGAAACAAAGATAACCAAGATGCAGAATATCATATTCAAAAGTTCCTGTAATCAAAATCAATGAGAGAACAAAATCTAGCAAGTGACAGTAACCATAAAGCCTCAGGTGGTCGACAAATGTCCAATATCCTTTTGTTTCAAATGAGAGATCACTTAGTACAGAAGCAGATTTCCATTGAGAGAGAATCTTCTGGTACATCTCTAATCCGGTGAAACAAGATGATTGGTCAGCGCGGAATTTGAAACATGAAAACATGAAAACACCGTAATACCAAATAAGCATACGAGGATCATCCACAATAATTCCTGCAGAATAGGCATTTAGGAAAAATTATTAGGGAGAAGTTATCACACAAAATAAGAATATTACAATGAATGAAGTTCTGAATTATCACTAATGAGCACCCTCTAGTGTCAAAACAGGCTTCAGGCTCATTACATGAGATGCACATTACCCACAAGATATATAACCAACCATCCAAACTCATAGAGACATTAATTAATGGAGATACCTAACCAACATTTTTTGCAGTAGCAAAAATGTATATCTGATACTCTCCTCCAACAGTCATTGCATGGTACTTGTTCTTCAATTTCTTCGTTTGTAAAAGTGATGTGCATCCAGATAGCGAAATATTCAATAATGATGATAGAAGCAAATAAAATAACAAAAACAGGCCATAGTTTTTTAATAAGTAGCCGATGAAGAAGAACACAAGCAGCAAGTGATGCTATATAGAGCAGAGAGATGGCATTCAACACAGCAAAGCTAGCAAGAAGCAAAGCAATCATGTTGATTTCAAGACCGAATAAGTTGAACATATTTTCAAACCAGAACTTGATAGATACTTTAAAAACAGTCTTCTGCATCTCCATCCTCTCTTTTCTCAAGAAAAGAATCCGCTTTCTATCCCACTTCAAGCTATCCTTGGAACTCTCCCATAAATGAAAATTACGTATTTTTTTGGCACTGTCTCTTTCAGTAACAGAATCTGGCCCTTGGGATAAGGCAGAATTAAAAGTTGGCCATGAATGACTTCTTCCACTTCTTTTAAATGTTGGTGAAGTGGAATTTTCAAATTGTTTGCTTTGTGATGCACCAGCAGGAATATCATTAGGAACTTCTATTGCATTGAACAGAGGACAAGGCTCATTCCATTTTCCTCCATTTCCATAAACATGCCTTTTATCCAACCAATGAAAAACATTGTATTGAAGTAGACATGCTACGATAACCACAACCTTTCCCCTTAAGCCTGACTCCAAACCTTTAAAGCCAGGGTTATACAACTGCAAACCCATAAATAATGATAACTTGCAGTGCTCTTGACCAGGGAACATCTCAGCATGATTTCCCCACATCTGGAAAAGATATTCAACCATTATAAGAAGTCCTGAATAAACTAGAAATATTTTTGCAGGCTTCTGAGACAACTTTGGTAATCTTGAACAATTAATCAGACCAGAAAGATACAAGAAACCAAATGCACTTATAGGAGATAAGGAAGCATAAAATAGGGCAAGAGATAGTATTTTCTCAGCATGCCGAAACAAAAGACGTCTGGCAAAAGCAAAAGGTCCTATTTCTGGTGCATCATAATCACTGGATCCAGATCTTTTGCTTTGCCTCCTTTCATAGCTATATAGCTGCATCACTACCAAAACAGCCAAAGGTCCCCAAATGTTTTGTAACATTGAAGCTCCTGGGTTATAACCAAATGCAGTTTGAAGATCAATCTGAGGAAACCACATCCCAGAGCTGGAAAAGACACCAATGCTGTAAATGGAGACAAACACAACTATAGCATACACTTTCAAAGGGTACCAAAGATGCTTTCTTGTTTTCCCTACAAGTTGTCTTCCACTTATCCACAGTAGAAGAAAGAATAAGTAGCCAAATGAAGCATAGTTAGGCGTGCTAAGGTATATAGTGAAGAGAATTGTTAAGAAGGCAATGTATTTGCCACACAACTGATAAATGGAACGAAAATTCTGTCTTATGCCCTCCAAATATGATATAGTCTTCCTCTCTGAATAATTAAATGAAATGGTTATAATGTTAACATTCAGTTTCCACTTTAACCTAAATATGAAGCTTAACCAACAAAGTAACAGAAGGATAAATAATAATCTTAAGACAATAAGGAATTTATTTAGCAAAGTAAAAATGAGATGGAAATCCTATAGTCAATATTTACTGAACTCATACCATGAGTTCCTTGGCGCTCACTAGATCTTGGACTATAACCTGATAAATGAACAGGTTTGATCAAGAAAGCTCTCAAGATGCTAAAGCCAACTGGAGGGCAAGAGGTTTGCCGTATAATAGCTGAAAATGAAAGGAGTGTTTGCAGCCCATGATTGTGAATTGCACAGAAACAAGCAAGAATTGATATTTGGAAGAAATCCACAGAATGGATATGATTAAGCAGACCTGCAACATTCACAAAATACACAAGAATGATATCATAAATAAATGTGCTGACGGTAGTAGAAATTTTACATTTGCACCAAAAGTGAAAACACGTGACAAGTTTATTCTTACATAAAAAAATTACCTAATTGTGAGAAAATCTGAAAAGCATATGAACCCTTCTGGTCCAAAGTTTTGGAGATCATATCAAGTTGAAGAATGAACTGAACTGCAAACTGTGCCTCACATAGAAGTATAATAGCTTGGTGTAATTTATAATCGATTGCATGGCTTAAAAGATAAATTAAAAAGAAAATCACTGCATGCAGAAAGAGTATGCAGTTAGCAAATTAGGCACACTGCTACATCTCAAACTACTCTAAAGACAGTATTTCAAAGCTAGTTTCAATTTGATCAACAGTCAGTGTAAAAATCTATTCTTTAAATATAGACAAATTTGCCACATTGTAATTGTAATTCATGTTTTTCACTTAATTTGAATACTTGAGCTGTTTAAACAGGTGAAACCTTGTGGTTCACTTGTGGTAAAGAGTGGACCAACATCTTATGTTAACAGAAAATACAAATAAGAATAATTTCTTACTAACTATATGTTAACCAAATATATAAATAACAAAGAAGGAAACTGTTGGAAATTGAACTTACTATAAACAGCATGAACGACACCAGATCTTATTGCAATAAGAAATATCAATATCAGTACTACAGCATGTGAGCACTTGCATAGACCCCATGCCATTGTAGCCACAACTGACAGTGTTGTCTCTTCTTCCTCTAGAGATTTCGCAACAAAAACAATTAAACAAATAAAAATAAGACATTTTACCAAGAGCAAAAGGTATTTTATAAGCATTTTCTGTAAGCATATGCCAAGATACTTGAGCAGCTGATACAAAGGTAAATTAAAAGAATAAAAACTTATTTCTTTGAATACAGTTTTATAATAATTTAATATTTGAAAAGATAAATGAAAACTAGCAGCACATTTCACTAGGGCTTTACATGGACAAGGTGTTATGACAAAGAGACTTATCTCAGGCAAGGCACATTTTTCTTCTAAAGGTGTGAAACAGATAAATCAAACAAGGAGATATTATCCAAAGAAAGAAGAGTTTTTTATTATTTAAAAAATGTGCCAGCCATGCTTTCTTGCTGATTCAATTCTTAAACCGATATTCTGAAAGTGACAGCACAAATCAAATTTAAATGTGTTTCATAAATGAATCTCATCCACCCAAAGCCAGTAAGACTTTATTAAATTTTTGCCAAACAAAATAGCCAAATGTTATGCACCTACATTAGCACATATTCATAATCTTGTAGAAAGTAAGTGAATTTAACTATGGAACTCATTCATCATTTCATCAAAACTCACTAACAAGGAGTATATGGTTAAGCACTGGAAAATCATAATTTCACATAGTAGTAAGTAAGGTTTGTCTACTCAGACCGTCTAGTTCTTTCACCTTCCACAACAGATTCATCAGCTGTTAATTGTCCTTGATCAGTAATGCACAATAACACTGAACTGTTCACAAGATTACACATAGCAAAAAGAAAACCAAGACAAAATTGAGCAAGCAAATAGTATCCTGGGATAGGGTAATGCCACAAGCCTATAGTTTCCCATATTTCCATATCCTGCAATTGTGTAATAGAAGATGTAAACAAAAAATTATTTAATATAATTTTAAGATCTCCCAAAGCCACTGGCAATGTGTACCTTCCATGATTTGTTATTGGAGAAAGTGAATACTACATTGAAGATATATGTGCTAGCAGCCCAAAACAGAATGAAAACAAGAAGCATGCCATTTAAATGGTGCAACCGAAACATGGGAGGGAAGGCATACAAGATGTATCCCACATAGGCAAGCAATCCAAATGAGCCCAGACTTGCAAAGTGAAAACTCCATAATAATAGAGACAGCAAGGAAATCTGCAAGGCATACCAACTAATAAAAGTTCTGTTATGTGTCATGGGTCAAAACAAGGGAGAGGGGCCATCATAATAGAACACTAGATAATCGGCTCAAGTTTATCTAAGGGGGTGTTTGTTTCACATTATCTTTTTTCATTCCTTGGAATGCGAAATGGAGTAATTATTCCTTGTTAGGTGGTTATTAACTTATGATGTATTACCCCGTATCTTTATTACCTGGAAAATAATCCCATGAGAATGGGTGGGTATGATATTCCCATGGAAATGGATGTTTTTATCAATAGTAACTACCTATTTCTACTACATTCTTCTCTCTTTCTTTTCATTTTTATTTTTTAATTTTGAAGTTAAATAATTTTTTTAATCATTAAATACCAATCAAACGTGTTTAATGAAATATCATTCATGGGTATAATATTCTAAGGATATGATTTCTGGAAATATAAGATGATACCTAAAAACAAACTTCCCCTAAGAAATCAGAAGATGTTGATTCAAGATCAAATGCATTTGATGGATAATCAACCAATGGAGACAAAGTCTTGTTTTAGTTTAGTTTATGTTTAAGCTTAGTGGTGTTGCGCCCGTTAGTTTGATGAACAATCTTGTTTGGAGTCATAAAGGTTGATGAACAATTTGTTGATATATTCTTCATCTTTTTGAAAACTTAAGAATAGCAATTTAATTGATTAAAGTGAGCTTTAATCGATTAAACCAAAAACTCTGTTTTTCAAAGAACTGAGCTACTTTCTATTTAAATCCATCAATTCTGATCAGAAGTGAAAACACATTCTGTTTAATTGATTAAATCTATATTAATTTTTTAAATGGTCTTTTCAAAATCCATAATGGGGAAGAACCATTTAATCTATTAAACCTCAATATTCGATTAAATAAATTAGAAACTATATAATTTCTCTTCCTTATTAAGAGAGTGACTTCATTCAAAATCCCTTTTCAACAAAACTTAGTGTGAATCTCAAGTGTTCCAAAAGAGAATCTTCGAAATCAACAAGGGGGCTTTCATCGTTTTCAAAAATGGATAACTTTGGTGGGTTTTCATGGTTTCTGGCCATGGAGAACTAGGTTTTTATTTTTCTGACAACTAGAGATTAACCTAATAAACTCTTGATATGTAAACAAAAGATTTAGGGATATATTCTGTGTGTATTCACTATACAATCAAGGTACATTATATACAGCAGGACTCGCTGTTAAGCTAAAATTAGGAGAAAAAAATGTGAATAAATCACTAAACATTAGCTGGTAATAAGAGCCTATATAAAAGGAAACGATATTCTCTTAACAATTACAAATATACACAACTAAGCACTTCAATTAACATAGTCCATTGATTTGAAAATATTTTAAACGGAATAATCCAACACATATCATACTAAATATTAGAGACAAATTTTGCACATGATTATAGCATTAAATAAACAATCTACTGATTAGAAAAAATCAATAGAAATTGATATAGCAGCCTACCGGAAAACCATATGTTAGAAAGTTAATACTAAATGACCGGGAAACAGTTCCTCGCAAAAAGAAATTAGTAGGCCTCACACCAAACCTGTCAGAAAATTACAAAACCAAGAGATGAAAGAAATAAATATTGTTAGAGTTCACACAAAAGTGAAATCAAAAGGTTCCACGTACAGCAGATTAGATGGGGAGACCTCATGCGTATGTTTTCAATGGATATTTACAAACCCTAAACAAAAAACTAGATAAACGTTCGACTCGTAAGTTTAAAACCAAGATGGAAAGGCAAAAGAAAAGGAAAAAAAAAAAGACAAAATAAACTATTGTTTTGGCAAAGGTGCCCGATTCATGCATCCTTTGTAACATGAGAAACTTCTTAGCCAAGCAAGAGAAGTAATTTAAGCATTTCATCTAAAATATATTTAAACTATACTACTTCACACATGAAAAAAGGAAAAGAGAGAAAAGACCAACAAATGAAGTACTTTCTACAAAATTACATATCATACTGACAACAATCACATCTCACCCAATTTGCCAATAATAAATCCCCTTATTATTATTATTATTGTCATACACAAACTCAAGTGAGTATTAAAAGACGATGGGGGGAAAATTGTATTACGGCATTAAACTAGAGCATCATCATTGTAGATTTGCAGTATTTTAGACCTTCATTATTTCAAAGGAGAGGGAAGAAAATAAAAGAAAGCAAGAAAGAAGGATTAAATGAGGAAGCTGCGTATTTTTACCTGGAGTCTTGAAGAAAATGAGAATGCTTTTTAGGAAGAAACTGCTCAGTCAAGTCACTTTCTCTTGTAGATATGATGATTTCCATTTTGGCAAGCTCGCTTCTAATCCAAGATAGCTGAAACAAGGATGAAGAATAGTGACCCAAACTTAAGGAAATCTTAAAAGAGACAGCAAAAATCTAGCCATCGACTTGTATGAGTGTATCATCTCAATAAAGTGTCATATAATGCCAAAATTGGTAAAAAGATTCTGCAACAAGTGGCCAGCGCTTCCTCTCTGCTCAAGACTTGTGCCGAAATTCAATAAAGTAATTCAGAGCCAAGTTTTAAGTTTATCTAAATTAAAAGGAAACAGAACTGCATTGTGTGAATGAGCTAAAACTTCTTTGTCAACTAACAAGCCACTCTTATCTTCAATCTCAATGAGAACAATAGGGGGTTTATGCCTGGGGAGAAAGAAATACAGAGTGCAAATATGTTCTAAAATTTCATTAGCTTATAATTTCAGAATAGCCAACTAGTTTAGAAAGTGGGAGAAGTATTTTATCACTTAAAAAACTAGGGTGGCATGTTCTCAATTTGAATTCTGTTTTACAAGAAAATTGGATAGAAAACTTTGCATGAATTCCAACACGAGATACATGGAGAGAGCTTGACTAACCAACACAAAGTATTGGTATTGAATATAAGAGTTAGAAAGAGAGTAAGGAGGAATCAACTCAAATAGGATTTAAATGATTAATGGATGGATATTAGAAGGTGGAAAAGAAAAGGAGCTTTAAGATTAAAGTTATGGAGGAAGGGTGTTAGGAGATAAAAGGAACTACAAATTATATGCGAGACAAGATAGCTGAAAGGATCAAGGATAAAGCAGAAGAGACTCTCAGGAAATCAAGAGATTGGGAAACTAATGACAAAGAACCTTGCTGGTGGGAGGCAAGTGAGCAAGATAAAAATTAATCCAAGTCAGAATCTGCCCAAATCTATTGGATACTTTATACTCTATTTTCTGAGTTGTGTGTTTTTTGTTACTTGATTTTCTTACCCTTTTTTAGAGATTTAGTTTCCTAGAATAGCTCTTAGATTATCTCTTATTGATTGTATATATTTCTCTTTAATTTGTCAATAAAAATAGAACAGATTTCATTCATAACCCTCTTTTGTTCTCGAAAAGGCAATGGGTGAGACGAGCTAAAGCTTTTGATGGGTTATATTAAGCGCTGGATGGAGATAGGGAGAAGCATTTACAGACTTCCTAAAAATAAAGAAATTTAAAGAGAGATGGATCAAGTGAAATGCATCAAGGATATGGGTTACTTTCACAAGTCATTTAGTGAAAGTTGTAATTTTTCATTTTGCATATCCTATGTACGAAGGATGAAAACAAAACTATTCCTTTTATCATAGAATTCGGGAGTCTGAGATTTAAGCATCATTGAGAATGGTAAGTGGAAAAGCTATTGGACCCAAAAACTTGGATTTACTTCTGAAATCCTCAATATAAGCATCATCAATCTTAGTAATTTCAACTCATCCTATCTAACTAATCAAACATTCCACACTTAAATTCATAATCAACTTAAATTTCAGGATTATAATGCAACATGGGGTTAAGATAATATAGTATCATGTGAAGGCCTGTTCAGTTGATTTCCCATCTTTGATAAATGAAATCCCGTAGAAGAGTGTAGCTAAGATTGGAAAAAAAATGAACTAGTTTTTCAAATAAAGTCTACAAATTATAAAAGAAGTGGGAGATAAATTACCTCTAGCCAACCCCATTCAAGGCACTTTGAATTCTCTTATTAGCCCTGCCCATTTCTTAGAAATGAATCGCATGGCTATCTTTTTTATGAATCCATCAAGGGCAACACTAATGCGTGTAAATAATATAGCATATTACCTGGTCCTAACTCAAACCTACAAAATTGATTTGTGAGATTAGGGTCATCTTCTACTTACATATTCTTTTTATGCACTATCTTTAATCCAAGTGGGATTTAACTTTTTCAATATTCCAATACCACTTATCTATGATTAGATTTTCCACCCACCTAATCCAAAGTCTTTACATATTGACTAGGTTTCCACTTCTTGGATGTGAAGATCCAATTTAGTGATCCCTTATTGTCATTCAAACATCCCAAAGTCTAATAAGAAGTGGCAAAAAAAATCAATTGCCTTAGTGAATTTATATAATAAGTAAATAAGACAAGCTCTTGAATAGATCTGCAATCGAATACATGGTCGTGAATCCTCATACATAATTGTCAGTAGTTATTTTCTACACATAATTATCATCCTACAGTTATTAATACATACAGGATTGTTAATAGATCTGCTATACAAATCCGGTTATTTCTATCGCATATACTCCTAATAGAGTTAACTATCTCTAGTTCATTAATGGAACTAACTTGGATCTTAGATCCCCCATCACACAAACATGACAACGTCCCGTGCTGTTCTATTTTCTACAGTACTTTTGGCTATGAAATTGAGCATCAAAGCCACTGTAGTTAACTGATAATATTTCATTCTACTCTTACAAAAGTGAGTACTTTGTGGTGTGTTCATGGTACTAGCATACCCAGAAACCTCCAACGTTGCCTTCAAATCAGTTTTTGGCTCTCCCTTTGTGTCAAACATAAGGATTACCCTTAAATTCTGCCTCTTATTTGCAACCCAAAAAAAAAACATCGTGTGTCATTTTTGCCACAATACAGTTAGAGATACAAATTGATTAGGTTCGAAAGGAAGATATGACATAATTTGATAGGAAAATATCGTACTAAAAATTTTTCATTACTAGATATCGGTTTTGTTTCATATTACTGTATCTCTCCTTCGTTATAAAAGTAGGTTCTTTCCTTGTAGGTGTAATTTTTTTTAGAAATCCTGTACTTTTCCAATTTCTAATTTTTTCCCTGGACATCTCTGTTCACAGTCAACATTTTTCCAGTGGATACTGTTCACTGAGAATTTCTCCGATGGGTACCTTTACTTTTCCAGTAAGGTACTTGTCACTGTCGACAATTTTCTGGTTAGTACGTGTCAACGTTTTTCTGACAGATACTGTTCGTGTTGATATAATTTTTCGTGGGTATTGTTCACTGTCAACGTTTTTCTGGTGGATTTTGTTTGTCGTTTACGTTTCTGGCAGGTTCTGTTTATTTCTGTTGTTTTCTGATGGATATTGTTCACCGTGGACGTTTTCTCAATGTGTATTATTCAATGTCAACGTTTTCACAGTGGGTAGGTATTATTTAGCATCAACATTTTCCTGACGGATATTATTTGCCATCGATGTTTTTTCGTCATGTTTTGTTTTCACCGTCAGGTTTTTTGCCACCCTCCAACATATTTTTACAAAATATCTTTTTGATTTAATAGGAAAATATCTTACAAATAACCATTATGAGATATTAATTTTATTCTTTATCATTATATTCATTCTCTGTTTTTTCTTCCCAACATGGTACCACTGGTACCATCCACCATTACTTGTTTTTGTCACCAATTTTCTCAACAAATAAGAACTTTAATTTTTTTTTCTTTTGCTTTTTTACTTGTCCAAAATGTTGTTGGTTTGCTTTTGTTAATGTTTGTGGCTTTCTTGTATTGCTCATTTTCACTTGATTATGTTTTCTTGTTGCCTTCTATCATCAACTTGTCTTTCTTTCCATTTTGCTCTTCTCTAACTTCATTTCTATATTCGTTTTACATCTCCCTAGTTTCTAGATCTTGAATACGAACCAAAAAAGTTGATAGAAACTTCTAGAACACTACCTCCTGAAAAGTGCATTGCATTTTGGTTATTCTTTTTCCGAGTAACCTGCCATTTGAGCGCTTCTCCTTCCAATACCAACATAATCTACAATAGTTTTCATACCTTTATGAATTTAATAGGCTACTCTACCATAATTAGCAACCAATAGGCTTCCTTTGCATCAAAATCTTGGAATCTATCTTTATGTCAATTTTACAACAATTACACTAAATTCTGGCAATAGAGTCAGAGATGAATTACACTAATCCACAGGGTATTCGAGAGACCATATCCCCTTGCCACACTCCTAAAGTCCAAACTTTCCAAAGCGATCCCCCCTATCTTATATATTATTTCAAACTATTTTACATAACTAACTAATTCCCTAATATAAGTAACAAATGAATAACTACTCAGTTTTTACTGATTATTAATGAACCTAACACATCGTTTGATCCATATTGCTGACAACACCTAGTGGGAAACGGCTTGCTTGTTGTTGGTTGATCTGAATGCAAAGTATCTGGATTTCAAGCCACTTTATGGCACTAATTTTAGATTATTTTGCCTATATGAGGTCAAAATCTACTAAAACGTTTTGATAAAGCGTACCACAGAATGATCAGCAGTCAATATGCTTATATTTATACAGTTGATTCCCGCACCATTAGGAACACATAATGTTAAATAGCTATCTTATTTTGTTATATACTGTTGAAAGTCCCACATCGCCTACCTCATATCATTTGGTATGGTTTAAATACATGTTAGGCTACTCCACATATAGTCAATTGGTTTTATGTTGGAACCTTAACATGGTATCAGAGTCAAAGCCTAACATCTTTCCAGTTATTGTCATGGGCCAAAAGTTGCATTTTAGTTGGGTCAAAAGTACCCTTTGCCTGGTCCGGTGGGCTTCGTTAGAGGGAGTGTTGAAAGTCCCACATCGCCTACCTCATATCATTTGGTATGGTTTAAATACATATTAGGCTACTCCACATATTGCCAATTGGTTTTATGTTGGAACGTTAAACTATTTTTTTTCAACAATACAGCACTTTAGAGGCACATTTAACAATCTTACCATAATGTAGAAAAGTAGAAGTGAAAGACCAGAACAAACTTCTGACCATTCTGAACTGGTGGAAATTTTGAACAGCCCAACGTGGTAAAAAATCCACCTAAAAGTCTCAGGGAATTCAATGGGAAGTTGATATATATACAGAAAAATGATATTGAAGCCACCATAAAAGAGAAGATATTTCCACCACCTACGAGTTCATAAAAGTCAGAATTCTAGTAAACCAATCAAATTCAAACTCTGTATTCTCCTGTAAGTAACAATAAAATGGTATTATCATAACTCTTTTGCTTGAGGACGGGGAAGCTTACCGGAAAATACCTAAATAATTGCTTGTCCACGACCAATCAACAAGTCCTATGCCGCTACAAATGAAAAAAGGTAAAGAAATCCAAGATACATGACTAATCCCAGCAATTAGTTGTACAGCAGGCAACAATAAGCAGCATACGCCCTTGAGATGAGATCCTACAACCAAAAAATTGACATCAGTTTATAATTATTACAGTGACAAGGATCACTTTGTTATTGTTATTCAGTCATTCACAATTTTATTTGCTCACATAATGTAATTATATAACTTTTTTTTTTTTGTTATGGCTATGGGAAAGAGGAAGTTAGCTGATTGATACAGTTAGTAAATTGATTAGTTGGTTAGGGAGTTAATGAGTTAAATAAATAGAAGGATGCAAGGGGAAAGTGGAAGCATGTTCACCTTTGTTACTTGAGCATTAGTTCTTTGTGAAAGGGGAAACCCTTGGAGGAGAGAGTGATCTCCAATTTCTTATTATTTTAATCCTATTAAAGAAAATTCTTTCTTTTCTTTCTTTTTTCAATTCTTGGTTCCTAACATTTAAAAAAAAAAAACTTTTTAATAGAAAGGAAAAGCAATGATTAAAATCCTAACCACTTGACTAGTAAGATTATGTACGATGTTGTAAACTCAAAAGTAAGCCCATTAAATTATGGATTTGTTTGGATGAGCTTTGTCATAAGAACTTCTGATAAGGTGAAGGCTATCATCTACTTATATACTTTAATTTGATCATATAACTGGTTAACATAGACAAATAACTGCACCAAGATGGACATAATACACAGAAAGAAATAATAATTTAGTCTTAGATCCAAAACTTCCTAAAGAACTATCTAACGACACAGTTACTATACAAAGGTATTAATTTGAGGCAAGTAGATCTAAGTCTGTTCTTAGTCCTTCCCGTATAAACTTTCCATTGCCTACAACCATGTCATGCAAATAGTCATCCTAAGAGCCTTTATTATTGTATGTACCACTTGTTTTGTTTTATGACAAACCTTTTCATAATATAGAAAAGTAACTTTATTCGAGATAACAAGTCAAATTACCAAAAGGGGTAAGTAAACCATCCTGAAAATTGACCACAGGAAAAGAAGAAAAACAAACTCTAATCAAGGTTAAAAAATGCAGAAGTCCCCCTATATCAGTAATAGTAACTCTTTTTAAACAAGGACGATTAGCGCACAGGAGAAAAGCCAGAAACACAACCCTGTCCCGAAGCAAAAGTTAGGGCAAATAGAAAAGTTTTAATGGCAAACCTATCAGCAGAACAGAAGAACATAGATGCCCAGAAGAAAAATCTCTCCATGCATCTTGACCAAACCCATTTCCATAGATTTCAATTATAGAAAGAAAGGTCGCTAATACTTGTGAGACCAAAAAGTACTCTCTCAGCAAAGTCCTCCAAGACTGCACTCTGCGAAGCTGTCATTCAGTGTTTGTAGTGTATTCTGAACGGTAATACACTGAGGAGAAAACTTTTATAACATAAAAAGGTAAAACCAAAAGACATAGAAAGTTCAAGTACCTTATAAATCCAATTAGCTCAGCCCACTGAGCATCAGCAGTACTCCACTGATCCCCCTCAATGGCTAAAACAATATGAAATACGGCATGGGAGAGTAGGGTCAGAGAGGATAAGATTAGCACGGACCATGATATCAAAGACTGTTGATGGACACGGAATCCTGTTTGCATAAAAAGAAAAAGGTTCACTACATGAAGAAAATATATAATTATATTAGCAACTAAAATACTAGAAAAGCAATGTCAAGTGATGAAATGATAGAAACAGAATCATAAATTTAGAGTATGGCTCACCAAATTCCCGATTGGACACCAAATCTTTAGAAGTAAGAAAAAGGCATGAAAATCATGTATTTAAATACATTCAAAGATTGGAGCAAGCTTCTCACCGTTTCTAGAAGCAGTGTACTGAATAAAAAGGAATGCCATCAAATCAAGCAAAGATATCAAACTCCAGTTAAGCATAGATGCTGAATGAAAAGAAAAATGGCGTCAGTTGCAATTTTGACTATGAAAACAACACTGGTCATACAAGGGACTTTATGTGGGTTCAACGGATCCTACCCAAACTTAAGACGGAATCAATTTTAAAATTACAGTCACAGACAGTTGTAACTACAAGGGTTGTGAGTCATTAGTGTATGCAAAACCATCAGAACAATTATACATACACTCACAGATAGATAGTTACTCGAATAATATTATAATCTGATGCTTTATTTTTTTCCAATTCAAAAGCCCAAACTAATCATACTCAATAACCAGTTCCAAAACAATTGTGAATAGAGTATATAAATAGTATATATAATGACAGTGTACAATAATTATTACACAACTAACTTAATATCGATGATGATTCTGATTGACTTGTAAAAAAATTTACACTGGCAATATGTAAAATTTAAACTCAAATTAATAACGTGAAAGTTTTCACATGAGTTGTTAATATTGTTTAATATACAATCCACAGAAGTTCAATATGAAGTAGCTTATAGGCTAATGGTAGGCTCAAGAAAATGATGCGCGAAGAAAGTGGAACGGTGAATCAAACCTAACAGAAGGAGCATAGGCAATGCAAATCCAGGGATAAACCTCGCCATTGTAGAGAGATTGAACCCAATCCACGAGAGAATCCGTGGAAGTTAATGTGATAAGTTTGTTGGTTACCATGGCGACGTAAACGGTGATAATCGAAACGGAAAACGACGCCACATCGTGTTGTTGCGGAGCAATACGGAAACAGAAAAGTGATGCGGATTGAGAAGAATTGAATGTGAATGGATGAGATAAGGAATGGAAATGGAGGTGTGAGATTTTAGACGCGACGAAGCGTGTTCTACGCATACGATTTTGTTTTATTAGTTGCTGGGGCAAAACTCTCCGTATACTCAAGTTTTCCTTTCCCTCCTGATTTGGAGGCAACAGAATTCCTTTACTCCACTGGAAAGCATACAAGGGTAATCTCGGTATTCCGCTTCTTCGAGCCTCGCTAACAGTTACACGGACAAGCAAATACAGGTCATGGACACAGCACAGAATTACAATAATCACCCCCTAGTATTTGTGAGTTTGTTAGTAATGTAGATCATGTTTCTTACACCATGTCTTAAGACTACTCAACCAGAAAAAAATAAAAATAAATAAATAAATAATATTTATAAATGTTTTTGAAATAATGATAAATTGATTTTTTAAACAAATAAAAAAAATAACTGATTCTATTATATGATAAATTCATCACCAGAAAATTAGTTAATGATTAAGAATGTCGTATGGAATCAATCCTACATTATAAAATAATAAATAATTTATCAAATGAGCCAAAAAAATTAGGAAGAAATATTCATCCTGTACATGAATTATTAGTTATCCAAGATTATATAATTTTAATTAGTAATATTATTGAGTTATACTTTTTAAGTCTATTTTGTTAAATATTCCGAATAAGGGTTTTTTTTGTCATTAATAATATTTTTGTTGAGGGAGGATAATTCTTGTATGTATGCTAATATTTCATGTTTATACACATATCTTTTGTTAAAAGTATTCTTAATATGATGAAACTAACATTTTTGGTATATTTTTTATATTAATCTCTCATTTATTCCAATTTTTCATGGAAGGACAAGTTTAATCATATAGAAATTGGTTGTGATTTTCTTAGAAAGAACAGAAAATCTCCAAAGCACCATCAAGGCTTTATTTGTGTATTTGGAGATAAACTTAATATTTGCTAAATTTTAAGAATCATTTTAATATATTAGTCTTTAAGAACTAAAATGACAAAAAAAAAATATTTTAGTTTCTAAAATTTCCAATTCTTTATTTTACTTTTTATTATTTTAATATTAAAAAGTAAAATGACAATCGTCTTATAACATCAGAAATTAAAATATTTGACCCTCAATAATTTTAAACACTAAAATATCGTTTACTCAATTTTAGAAATTAAACTCACATGTATTCATAATTTTTAAAAATTAATTTTACATTAAGATTACAAATATTATGAAATTACTTAAAAATTTAAATTTTTATCGTATTTCTTCTAATCCAAACAATCTCGTTTTTTTTAATTCATTCAGTTTTTATTTCTCCAAATTCATCTTCAAATTTAAATATAAGCTCCACTCAGACTAGTTAATATCTTATATTTTAATATATATATATATATATATATATATATATATATATATTTTTAAGGACAAAATTAATATTATCTTGAATATTTTAAAAGAGATTTGTAATAAAGACAGTTTTTACATAAATTAGCGTTGATAAAATATATAAGTTAATTACGACTAAATGAGTCTTTTATCCTTTATTTGTTATAGTTGTTTTTTTATAACACAAATTATTGATTTAAAAAATAAATTGAAGGGTCGGGTTCAAGTGAATTTAATATAAAAAATAATTTAGTATTTTTAAATAATTATATTTAAAATAATTTAATAAAAAAAACCAATTATATTTTACGATGAAATAACTTTTTATAAAAGAAATTAAAGTATCAAAATTTCAAATAATAATATTTTATTTTATTTTAATATTTTTTATTTTTTTACCGTTGTTAATTTATAACCATTATTATTTTTATAATAAATTTTTTATTACTATTAATCTTATTATAATATAATATACTTATTATATTATAGAATATTATTTGTATGAAATTAGATTAAATCTTTAATTAAATTTTTGATAAATATTTAAATCTTAAATTATTTTTTTATCAGATTATTCTTTTTAAATATTAATTATTATATATAATATTTTTATTGTAATTAAAAAGCTATAATTAATTTATTATTTATTATTATATATAAAATAAATTTATTTTATAATTTCTCTTTTATATCATGGGGAAAGAAAAATAAAAATATTATAATTTAATAAAAAATAATTATTATAATCTATATATATGAAAAAAGTACAAATATAAAAAAATATATATTTAAAGAGTAGGAAAAAATAAAATTATTAACACCTCTATTTTTACTAATTTAATTATTAAGAGGATGTAGTTAACATGGTAGAAAGCCCTTGCTTCACGTGCCAGCCAGGGGTTTGATTTCTTTCATCTCTAAGTAATTTTTATTCTGAATAACTAATGAGAATAAAAAAAAATTTATCAATGTATCTTGATAAAATATTATTAAATAATAATAGAGGCCGTTTTTTTTTATTAAGAGATGCTTGAAATTTTGTTTATTTATTTATAAGATGCTATTAAATTATTTAGCAATAAAAGAGAAAATAATGATAATCTGAAAATAATGATAATCTAAAAATAATGAATCCACTGTTGTTACAAAGGATTATATCCATTTGTACAAACTTCTTAACGAAGAAAAGTTAAGAGAAGAGATGAAATGAATTTTACTCTAAGTTAAACTAATTGATGAATACATTAAAAATGATTGTTTAAAGAAACTGTAAACATAAATAAACATAAATATTGGTATTAAAAAAAGGAAAGAGTATATTTGATTATAGTTTAAGAATGGAATATTGGTATTAAAAAAATGAAAGAAGTGATGGTTTAAAAATGTGGGAAAGTATCTTACTTGAGAGAGGGAGAGAGAGAATAGAAAAATAAGGGGAACACTGTACGGGGGTTGAGAGAGGTACTTGAACATGGCCCTGCAAGAGAACATAAAAAGAGACAGATAAACCCTAGTGGGAATTGAAGAAGGGTAAAAAAATCAGTGTAGGGCAATGTGTAGTCACAAGGAGAGGGATGGTCACAGAGGGGGGGTGTTGCCCAAGAGAATAATTCTGGTGCGTCACGGGGAGTCGCAGGGGAATAACGACCCCGCAGCCTACGACACCACCCCGGACCATAGGATCCAGTTGACGCACCACGGCATTGCTCAGGCGCGCCTCGCTGGGGCCCGCATGCGCGGCCTCATCTCCGGCGATGACTCCCCCAATTGGCGCGTCTACTTTTACGTCTCCCCCTACACCCGTACCCGATCCACGCTCCGGGAGATTGGTCGCTCTTTCTCCAAGAAGCGCGTCATCGGGGTCAGGGAAGAGTGCCGCATTCGCGAACAGGACTTCGGCAACTTCCAGGTGCAGGATCGCATGAACGTCATCAAAGAAACTCGCCAACGCTTCGGTAGATTCTTCTATCGATTTCCCGAAGGAGAATCCGCCGCCGACGTCTTCGATCGCGTTTCCAGTACGCTCTGTCTTTTTTCTTCCTAACCTCTTAATTGCTTGTGTCGCCAGATGAAATTAAATGAAATGAAATATTTCTCGTAGTTTTCGTGTAATTAACTTCAATGTTCGCAATAGTTAGGGTTGATTATATGTATATTTTTAGAATTAAAAGAATAAGAATTGCTGTTCATTTATCACCAGAATGTCAGTAATGTCACCGACTGAATGTTGGAAGAAAAGAATTCGGTAATTAGATAAGCAATTTCAGCGGCTGCTTGTTTGGATTAAGCAAAATAGATTAAATGAGTTAAAATGAAATGGATTGGAACAGAATGCGGGTTTAATTACTGGTGTAAATTACACTGGCAATTAAAATCAAATCAAAGCATTGTAGGTATGATTTTAAACTGGTTGTGGTTAAAATCAATAGACTTGTTGGATGGTAGTGTCTGTATATGGACTGTGAAAAGCTCAGTTCCATTGATTGAATATATGTTGAGATGGAATGAAATAAAATTCTTGACTCTCTCAAATTGGAGGAAAATAAAATTAGAGGTAAACGTTGGAACCTTTATCTATGATTTTTATTATTATTCATCTTCATTTTATCAATCCAAACAATGTAATGAAGAGTTGGTCTGGAGTTATGGTGCCTCATTTACGCTGGAAATTTTACCTGTGAAATGCATATTTGAAAAGACTGGCTTGTGGATTGATTGTAGGTAAGTTTTAACTTTTAAACTAACGATAGGCTGTTAGTTCAGATTGTGACTAATTTTTTTCAGGTTCAGACATTATGCATTAAAACATATAAAAGAAGATTTAGGTTCATTATGGTGTAATATTTCTGACTGGGAGAAGATTGTCTCTTGTGAAAGTTACCTGACATCCTAGACCAAAAGGAGGACTAATGTTTAAACTAGATGGTGTTCTGCACAGCTTTGGCTTATTTAACAATTATGCTTTGCAGATTTGAACAAAATTTATGATAGTTTTTCATTTATCTCTGTGGTGTTAATTGCAGACATATTTGATTGTTTTGCAGGTTTCCTTGAATCTCTGTGGAGGGATGTTGACATGAACAGGCTTAACCACAATCCTTCTGATGATCTGAATTTGATAATTGTGTCACATGGGCTGGCATCTCGTGTTTTCATGATGAAGTGGTTCAAGTGGACGGTTGAACAGTTTGAGCTTCTGAGGAATGTAGGTAACGGCGAGTTTCGCGTGATACAGTTGGGGAGTGGAGGGGAGTACAGCTTGGCAGTTCATCACACGGACGAAGAACTACTTGACTGGGGTCTCTCTCCGGATATGGTAGCTGATCAGAAGTGTCGAGCCTGTGCCAACAAGGGTGATGGGATCGATCGAAGTTGCTGGTACCTCGATCCCTTTTTTGATCATCTTCCCGACTCTGATGATGAAAATGTGGACAAACTTGATGAGATAAATTCTTTGAGTGTGCATTCATAGTGTGCCTAGCTTGCTTCAGGATTCTGGATTTATTGGACAGTAGGTTATTCACTCTTCTTTGTTGCTTTCTTTTTTTCTTTTCTTTTCTTTTTTTTTGAAGAAAGAAAATTTCATTTCCAAAACAGAGGGAAGTTAAGAAGGAAAAATTTAAGGTGATAAACGGTTTTTCCTTGCTAGTTAGCTGTGATCTAATCATTCATTTATTCCTCATAAGCTTGGCCTTCATTTGTAAGGAATGGCTGCTTTGTGAATGCATAATGCATGCATCCTGTACTATAATCACGACAGAATTTACGAGAGCCTAATACAGTGTTTCTCGACTTTGTAGTGATTCTTGATTTTGTGAATATTGGATTTCATTATGGATCTCGCTTGATGTGAAAAATTCTTCTGGATTTGTACTGATATATATTTTTTTATATTGAATATATTTTAGAAACCATGTAGAGCAGGTTGTGCAAAAAATAAAAAGGTAGGACACTAAGGATCAATTGACTGAAAAAGAAGAAGAAAGAGTTGTAAATATGATAAGTGAAATAACATAATAGAAAGAGTGAGTGATTCCAGTGATATTTGGACAAGATAAACACTTGCTATTTTATTAGTTTCTCTTGCACCATTGTCACTTCATTCTATCTGAGACGTCAATTGAATTTATTTGAACTCGTTGTCCTTTTTATTCATGGACTTCTTAATAAATTACTTTTTTTCAGTTGCTATAATTAAAAAAAATGTTTTTGTCTATCTGCTCAATTTTACTTGAAAACTTTGCATATGAGACAAACAATACTGATTTGTCAGCTGATTTTAATTTTGCATTCTTAATATTAACTGTCGGACATACAATGTTTTGAACAAAATAATTAGAGTACAAGAATTTTTCAAATTCCAAGACTAACGAGCGTTTCAATTTGTGAGAATAAAACCTAAACTTATTTTAAATTTAAGGGTATATAAACATTTGAGCATCTACAGGACCATCTAATTTTTATATTTAATATTAAATAGTTATTTTTTAATATTTTTATATTTAATAATAATACTTTTCTTTTGATACAAGTAGAACTACCCGTACTAGAGGCATCATTTGACGCGACATTATTACCTCTGTTTTCATTTTTGCTTTTGTGTACGTAGAAGGATAATATGCAGATTGACTAATATAATGAATATTTTCAACTTTTTAATACGGTATTAGTTATTATTCTTCATTCGTAACAAGTATGCAAAGTATTTCAGAATTAAATAAATATAAAGCGTATTTAAAAGTAATAATTAATTAACAGTGTGTTTGTTTGAACTGATTTACTGTTCACGAAGACAGAAATGAGAGATGAAATTCGTGTGTTGCAAGTGATTTGAGAGGATTTGTAGGCGCAGATTTGCGGGAGAGGGGAGGAAAGCTCACCCTGAAGATGTGAGAAGATTTGCGAGGATAGAAGAGAAAGACACGTCATCAAATAAGAAAAGACGTACTTAGCCTTCTCCATATGATAGCGGTTAAATCTTAACCGCTATCTCATATATATTTTAGATAGCGGTTAAATCAAAACCGCTATCTAATATATATTTTAGATAGCGGTTAAATTTTAACCGTTATCTAATATATATTTTAGATAGCGGTTAAACAATAACCGCTATCTAATATATTTTACATAGCGGTTACAGAGGAACCGCTATTATATCCTCCAGTAATGATCGATCATTTCGAAAGTCTAATCGATCAGAATAAAATTTCGCTCGAGCGAGATATAGTCGCTCAAGCGAAACACAACCCGAGACTCAAGAATGGTTGCATATAGGGAGCTTATAATAGCGGTTAAACCTTAACCGCTATCTAATATACACTTTAGATAGCGGTTACAGAGGAACCGCTATTATATCCTCCAATTATGATCGATCATTTCGAAAATATAATCGATCAGAATAAAATTTCGCTCGAGCGAGATATAGTCGCTCAAGCGAAACACAACCCGAGACTCAAGAATGGTTGCATATAGGGAGCTTATAATAGCGGTTAAACCTTAACCGCTATCTAATATACACTTTAGATAACGGTTACCGAGGAACCGCTATTATATCCTCCAATTATGATCGATCATTTCAAGTTATGATCGATCAGGATCTTGTTTCGCTCGAGCGAGAGTAGTATCGCTCGAGCGAATTACAACCCGAGTCTGAATCTTAAAATATTTTTTTGAATATTATGTTTTTTAATTTGCTATTAGAGAAAACCTTTCGAATTAAAAATGTTAAATACTTTTAAATATTAAAATTAACTTTATCAAAAATGAGGAAAACAAAATTTATCCAAAAGAGTTCAAAAATGTATAAGAGTATTCTCAATTTTGAGTTTAATTATATTGTTCATTCTCAAAGTAGAAATTTATATTGTAATTATTTTAATTTACATTTTGTGATCTTCTTAAAATTAGCATCAATAACATTAGACTTTACATTTGATTCATACCTAACTAATTATAGATTAAAAGGAAAGTGGTATAACCATGCATTTTACTTTTCTATTTACCTTATTCTTTTAATTATTTTATATAATAATAATCAAAATATTCACATTCATATGGGCATTTTCGAAAATAATATTATTGTATTATTGTTAAAATTAGCATCAATAACATTACACTTGATCTTCTTAATTATATTGTTCATTCTCAGAGTAGAAAATTATATTGTAATTATGTTCAATTTATTAAAAGTGTAATTATATTGTTATTATGTTCAATTTCTATTATTATATTATCATCCTCATCTCCTCCCATGTTCTACTTTATCTTTACAATAGTTAATATTCTTAAATAATCTATAATTTTAATTATAATTTTTTAATATATATTTTGAAATTAATCAATTCTAAGCTATTATTTGAAAAACTAATCAATTCTAATCAATAATTTAGAAAAATAATCGATTAGAATTAATTATTTGAAAAAATTATCAAATATGATCGATCATTTCGAAAATCTAATCGATCAGAATAAAATTTCGCTCGAGCGATAAATAGTCGCTCAAGCGAAACACAACCCGAGACTCAAGAAAATCTGTATATAGGGAGCTTATAATAGCGGTTAAACGTTAACCGCTATCTAATATGTACTTTAGATAGCGGTTACATAGGAACCGCTATTATATCCTCAAATTATGACCGATCATTTTAAATTATGATCGATCAGGATCTTATTTCGCTCGAGCGAGAGTAGTATCGCTCGAACGAAATACAACCCGAGACTGAATCTTAAAATATTTTTTTGAATATTATGTTTTTTAATTTGCTATTAGAGAAAACCTTTCAGAATTCAAAATGTTAAATAATTTTAAATATTAAAATTAACTTTATCAAAAATTAGGGAAACAAAATTTATCCAAAAGAGTTCAAAATGTATAAGAGTATTCTCAATTTTGAGTGTAAGTGATTGAATGATCTGAACTTGGAGGACTTGATTGCAAAAGATGAATAACATTATAATTATTTGTTTGAAGAGCATTAGTGTGCATAGGTTTATAATTTTAGTAATGTTTCATTTAATTATTATTTTATTTTCAATTGTATTTTATATTTGTTTTAAATAATAATGTACAATTATATTATTAGTTTTCATAATTATTTATTATTATCAGTCAATATTAATTATTATTTTATATTTTATAATTATTTAATTATTAGTCAAATAATTTATTTAATATGTCAACATTATTTGAATATGGATATGCAATGTACATAATTTTGTAATTGTTTATTTATATAATTTTTAATAACTATCTAAAAAAGTTAATTCTTTAAATTTGTTTCCAATTACAAAAACTTTTAAATTTGTTTTTTCTTTTAAATATATAATCAATGTTAAAATATGGATAACTAATTAAAAAATTATATTTATAATAATTTGAACCTTATTTTATACAAAGGGTAAAATGGTAATTTTTTTAAATAATCAATTAAAATTATAATTTTTATATCTCATATCAATCAAATCATTCACAATTTCCCATAAACTTTCCTTTCACTTTCCATTCATCCAAACAACTTTAACTTTATCTCCATTTCTCTTCAAATCCCTCTTTTTCCACTCTCTCATTTCCACTCTCTCAAATCACTCCAACCAAACAAGCATAAAAGTCATATAGTGGATTTTTATTTCTTTTTCTAGGTTTTTACATAGAACCCATGACACATGACAACGATACTGATGAGGGCAAGGATCCCAGGCGAGAAACCCATGAAGATGTTAACAAGAGTCTTTTAATAATAAAAAAATTATTTTAAAGGTAGATTTTATAAATATGGCTTTTTTAAAAGAAAAATATTAATTATATAACAAACTGTCTTTGATTATAAGAAGTTTATATTTATGAAAAATATTACTTATATTAATAAAAAAACTCATGTAAATTTTTATTGGAAATATTTTGAATGGATTCACAGAGGAGTTGCATAGATAAAAATAGAATTGAGTTTTAAAAGTAGTGACAGAAAAGGCAGAAACGTTTACAGGGTAGACTTGACTTTATTGAGATTCCAAAAAAGAGAAAGTAAAAAATGAATTGAGTAGCCTCTTCTCTTCACATGTTCTTTTGTTTGGGGTTGAGAAAAATGATGGCCGAGCGGTGTTCAATAAATGCTTTCTTAGATGCGCTTCTTCCCATCTCACCAGTAAATTTCTTTCTTCCACCAACTCATTCTTACATTTAACTTCGTCGTTCACACAGATTAACTAGTTGTTCCAGAGTTGGTATCTTCAACTAATGAGTGTCCATTATTTGACACTCCTACAATAATAAAAGAATATTTAATAGATTGGTTAATATATACTATCAATGTTAATTCTCACTGATACTACTTTTTACACATTTTTTGTTTTCGCTTTCATTCCATGTTAATCACATCTTCACAGCTTAATTCTCTAATCCTGAACTACCATGGAACTGTGAATGAACAACCTATAACGTTCGATTTGCCTTTGTCCAATTTTGCAGCATCTGCACGTGCACCAAAGACCAAGTGGAAGGTAAATATCTGCGTGGCAACGAAAAACCTTTCAGTTGAGCCGTTCCCACACTACAGGGGCACATACGTTTGTTTAATCACTGAAGATGATAACACAATTTGAAGTCATATGTTAGAGTTGAGAGTGACCCAACGGGACCTAACCTAACCTACCAAGTAGCAAGTCCTTATTGGTTAACAATGTTTCAAAATGTCAAGTTTACCGTTCTCATTTAAACAAACAAACCAACTCAATCATTAAAGCAACCTTCTTGATTATCCTAAAGCCGCAAGGCTACCACTCTTTTTCTCTTTCATAATGCAATTTCTTCCCCACTCTTCAGCAACAAATTCCCATTTGCAAACCCCATAAAGACATCATCTTTACACTTTACCGGGATCTGGGTTGCCTTTTATTTTCCCGATAGTCAAAGTAGACATTGTCTTCCACTCACTTTGTAAAGAGAGAGAGTGATAGTATGTGAAACCGAAGTGTTCCTTCTCAATCATTGTGTTTCACAGTCAAATTCAGCGTCTATGATCTCACTTTGTGAAATTTTCCGCTTGTTAGGTGTTCATGACTGACCCAGATCTTGAAATGGCAGTGTGAGTGTTGCATGAGCCACCTATCAAGCATTGTTCAATTAACTGTTTTTAGTTTCTAATGAGGGTGTGGAGGGTTCACCCACCAGAGCAAAAGCTTTGCCCTCAAGGTGTTTGGAGGTGGGTTTTGGTTTGGATGAGCGTTTGTTTTCTTGTGTTCACGGTTGGTCCACCGTCTCGGTCGCTGCTGAAGAATAGTGCGTCTATTCAATTTTCTTGTCCTCCATGTGACTGTTACTGCTCTTCAGCGGAATATCTCCTCGATCCTTTGGGTGAGTTTCCTTTTTTAATTACTATGCCATGTTGCAAATTTGGTCTTGAAATGAGAAAAAGAAACAAGTTTGATTTGATGCAATGACATGAAAAGACAAAAGTAACCCTTGTGTGTGCTTGAAAATGGAGGAAAATGGTATTGTGCATAGAGAAGAGCTCTGGCAATTAGTCAGCATTTATTTGTTGCCAGTGCTGCGCTATTCTCAATCTGGAGTTGCCACATCTGCAACAAGTTGCAGAGGAACTGACTTATGCACTGACGTCGTATAAAATTAAAACTACTTATTTTTAATAATGTAGAAAGCTATAGTTTTCTAATTTCTGCTATTCTACCCGTACTTCTTAGTGTTAAGAGTTTCAATTGGTAGTCTTGAAATCTTAGATCTATATATTAGGTCTTAGAAGGGAAGGACCAAAGAAGAAAATTGGGGCATTCAGTTGACCTAATATTAAGCCTGCTGCCAAAACTGTATTTTGTGTTGCCATATATTTAGTTAGACATGGTGGGAATACGAAGATTTCATATATGAGTATTAATTTCCAATTTTAGTTGTCTTTGACAAAAAGTTGAGATTTGTTTTTCCTATCAAAACCTTTGCATTTACTGCCTTGATACTTTTGTTTATTTTGCGATCATTGGCATTTGTTAAAACTCATCTGTCTGTAGAATATTTTGATGAATTATTTGATCAGTTATTCTTGTACTAATTAATAATTATTTATATCGTGTTCCATTCTTTAATGCACTGGTTTATTTCTCAACCATGTTATTGACTTTTGCAGGACTTGCCAATGGCTCAATTTCCGGTAACTTCACCTCTTGCAGTTCTTCTTGTTGAAACGTTTCATAAAGCAATTTTCTTTACTCTACGCTTATTTACTTCAATGCATCAAGGGTTTTATACGATAAAATTGTAAGTGCAGATTGTGGTAAACATGATCCGGTTTTGAATGAGGAAATGAATAAGAGTCTACTGACAATGCTGTCTGAGGAGTTAAATCTGCAGAAAGTAGTGGCCAACGAGAGCTTGGAACACATGAAAAGGTTAGTAATGGATGCAAGGAAAACATTTTTACATTATCAGAAGGAAGCAGAAAAGTGCAACATTGGGATGGAAACTTGTGAAGAAGCAAGGGAGAGGGCAGAGGCAGAGCTCATTAAAGAACGCAGGCTCACAGCAGTATGGGAAAATCGAGCTCGTGAATATGGGTGGAGTGACAGAACAAACATAAGGAGTTAACCATCATTAGCTAATGATAATTGTAACATAGCTTTATAGTCAATTTACTGGTCTCTGGTGATGATCTTCTAAAAAAGGTCAGCTATTCCATTGAAGCAAATTTACGAAGACTTGATCCTTGTTTACCACACTTTTTTTAATAAATTGATCACTAAAGACACAAGCACAATTCAATACCAACATTGCCATTTGCAAAGCTTTTCAAAATAAGCAATCTTGGTTTGATGTTGATACTTCAGCTAATGACGGTCTCAGATCCAGAACTGGAGAAAAACGGTGCATTTCATTCAGTTCAGGTATTATGGTGGTCGGTGGATTCTTCACTGACCACTTTAAAGACACGAAAATGATATAAGCATTACTGCAATTTTTTATTGATGAATGAATTTCATACTGGTCCCACTATAATATAGAATGGACCTGGGATATTAAATAAAATTAACTTAAAATTTCCCCCATCCGAAAAAGTATGTGAAAAAAGCTAGTTGCTAGCATTTCTTAGTTCTTAGTGACATGCATTTGAACAAGTTAACCTTCCTTTTCCAAACTTGTCTAATGATGATGAACTCAACTCATTTGAAAACGCTTCCTGGAAAATTCCCTTCTCAAACCACGTCCTTACTTTTGTTCTTAGAACCAACAACTGAAACCTATGCTAAAACTTCAATGAAGATATCGTTAATGGGTAAATCATCAATTACATAATGTTTTGAAGTACCCTGATAACCCAAGTATATATTGTTGGCTCCATCAAGTCAAATATAGACTATCTAGCACTGCAAATCCAGCCTCATCAGATGATGATATTTTTGTACGCATCGAATAACCACTTTGTTTATTAATGATAACCTTATCCTTATTCCTGCATATTTCAGTGGATGGATATCAAGTTAATAAGAATTTGTACTCAGAACTGTAATAGTCAAGTGGGCAAGCAAATGTACCCTAAATAAGTACCAAATATCCCTAGTTCTGAAATGGCATGATCCTTACTCCAACGACCATTACGCATCAAAACTGCTGCAGAAATAGTTGGAAATACCCTCTGCATAAGGATATAAGCTGCATCTTCTTGAGAACCTGATTTCTGCAACTTTTGGAGGATCTCCCTCACGTCATCACCATAAATATTGTTTCCTGGAAAGTAATAATAGATCGTCAGATAAGTCTTCCCCTGGGTTTAAATTCAGTAAAGTAGGGCAGTAGATTGAATCAAAGTTCAGGTTGTTGTAAGACCTCCTCCTTCTCTTTGGGGCTTCATAGCAAATAACTCCGGCTTTTCAATTGCTTTTGCAACAATACTCGATTCATCCAAACTCCACAACCTGGCAAGGCATTTACGCAGTTTAGCAATGTCATCTTTGTTTTCAAGGAACCGACTGAGCAACGTAGGAATGGAAAAGCAGATGCTTAAGTATAATCTCATTTTACATGATCACTCAAAATTGTTCATAATACACTTGATATCAGAAGATACCTCTTCAGAACACCAGGCTTTGCAAGTTCCTGTTGAATCTTTTTTGTGCCAACCAGATGATAGGATAAAGAAGGACACTTGATAGCAGAAGATTGTTCCATCAGTAGCCTAGCTTTCCATTCCTTCATTTGAGCAACATACAAAACCATAACATGTCAAAGTGAAGCTAGAAGGATCACAAATATTACAAGATAATATAAGCGTAACATTAAACAATATTATGGTACAAGAAATCCATATAATATAAACAAGTAAAGAAGATTTTATCCACATGTACAACGGTAGTTTTGTTGTATATTTTGTCAAAATACTTGATGAAAACTTGTTTACATTGTGTAACTTGATATAACAAAAACTAGTATTTACTTTATCATTTAAAAAAGCGGACTGGAGGGTGCTTGGAGACTAGGTGGAGGGGAATTTTCTTTACCATGAATGGTGTTTTTAAAGAAAATTAATAATTATAAAACGTAATATATTTTTATTATTATTAATATCTTCTTTTAAACTAAAAATGTATGTTATATATAAATACAATTGTATTTACGAAGATAATATTTTTCTTAATAAACTTTTGTGTCATTAAAATTATATAATGCGTGTGAATATATAATTGTTTAAATGTATACTTAAATATTGACACCAAAGTTAATATATTTTTAAATATATAACATAAATATTGATATATATATTTATATAGTTTAAAAAATATATATTAAAATTATAACCTCAATCGGTGTTATTACCCTAATTAGAAATAAAAAGAAGAAGCCGAAACGAAAACTCTCATTTTGAACTTATGAAGAATGTGTGTAATTAGCCAAACATACAGAAAAATTGGTTCGGATAAACCAATCTTCCGAATGACCAGTGAGTTAGTCTGTTTTGATTAACCATTAAATCACACGCACTATACTTCTTTAAAATACAATACATTACTGAATAAAAATTGAAGTTAAACACCCCCCACACAAAACGCCCAAAAGTTTCTTCATCAAATCAAATTTATTCTTTGATGCATATATATATATATATATATATATATATATATATATATATATATATATATATATATATATATATATATTAATTATGAATAATTATTTATTTTATTTCTTAATACTATTTATTGAGGATTTCAGTTAATTGGCTCATTAATTCCAGTGACCCTGCTGATGTGAAAGTTCCGTGTCAGCATTTTAAAAACTATTATTTTTTATTTTTTACTTGAAAAGTATAGATTATCAGATGTATAATAAATATAAGAAAGAATGAAATTATCTTATTAAATTATAAAATTTATTGTACAGCAATTAAGATATTAAATAAAAATACAAAAAAAAATTGAAAGAGATTTTTGCATAGAGATTGATGTAGTATATATCTTTAACCTTTATGAATATTTTCATAAAACTAAAAAATTATTTGTTAATTTTATAAATAGATTAGAAATTAGAAATAAAAATACAAATAAGTAATATCCTAGAATTATAAATAAAATATATAAATTTGATTGGGAATGAAATGTTTTCTAATCAAACCCCATTTCCAAATCCTTTGTTTGTTTAATATTTATTATTTTGATAGATTTGCTTGGTTATTATTGAATTGGAACGATTCTTTGTTTATGTTAATGGATATTGAATTGCAATAATTTCTTTATTTTATTTTTCGTGAATATAATAATAAAAAAATTAATAATCAATAACTGATCACGGGACATGATTTTCATTGATAAAACATTATTTTATCAGAGTTAGACTGATTTTTATGTACTTCCTTAGTTTTACGTATGGTTTGTGAAAATTTTTAAAAGAGGAGAAAAAAGAAAAATAGTTTTACATTTTTAAAAGAGGAGAAAAAGAAAAATAGTTTTGTCATTTGAACTAAAAAAATTATGAAAAAAAAAAGTTTTACATTTCTTCCTATTAAAGTGGGATTGACAAATTTTATTTTAAAACAATGTCATCTGTGACTAATTTCAAAACAAGCCCATTATAAATAAAAGATCAGCAGATGAACAAGACAGAAAATGCTCAAACCGAAGAGCTATAAAACGAACAGGTTTGAACAGCTAACGAGACTTTCTAGAATAGAATAAACAACTTGTTGGGTATAGAGTTTTTAAGAAGCATTAAGTAATCAGGATATACACACAATATCCCACCATATAAAAAGAGAAAGGCACTATGTTACCTCCTCTTTTTTCACTTTTTGCGGAGGCAGATAAAGAAAAACAATAAGAGATGTTACCATTAAAAATCATGTTCTTAAATAGTATGTAAACCATGCATTACTGGCGTGATGTATTGAATTACCCTGATAACTCCGTCAAGTCAGGTATAGACTATCTAGCACTGCAAAACCAGCTGCAACACCACCTTCATCAGATGATGATGTTTTTGTACGCATCAAATAACCACTTTGTTTATTCATGATAACCCTATCCTTATTCCTGCAATGATATATTCAAGTATTATACAAATTTAAAGTCAGAACAGTGACAAACATGTAGCCAAGTTGTGTACCTTAAATAAGTACCGAATACGCCAAGTTCTGAAATGACACTATCCTTATGCCAACGACCATTACGCATCAAAATTGCTGCAGAAAGAGATGGAAATATCCTCTGCATGAGGATATAAGCTCCATTTTCTTGAGAACCTGCTAGCTGCAATTTTAGGAGAGTTTCCCTCACATCATAACCATAAATATTGTTTCCTGAAAAGTACTATTAGATCATTAGATATGTTTCTTCCCCTTTTATTTTTCAACAAAGTAAGACAGTAGGCTGAAACAAAGTTTAGGTAATATGAGACCTCCTCCTTCTCTTTGGGGTTTCATCACAAATAACTCCGGTCTTTCAATTGCTTTTCTAACAATATTAGAGTCATCCAAACTCCACAAACCAGCAAAGCATTTACGCAGTTTGGCAATGTCATCTTTGCTTTCAAGGAACCTGCTTAACTCAAGGATTAGCCATAGAACTGCTTGTTTTCTGAAATAAAATTGGGACCGGGGGGCTTGGATTATTATAATCAGAACATGTTTAGCTTTAGCAAGTACAATAAACTTCGATTTCCCTAAACAAAGATATGAAATATGAGTGTAGCTCTGAGGTAACACGCATACATCCATAATTTATTTCCTTTTTTTGGGACAATTGAAGAAGTAAGAAGAAATATGTTAGAAGACAAAATAAAAATGAAGAATAGTGTATGAGAAATCCTAAAAAATGAAGCGCAAAAGCAAAACCCAGAACCAAGAAGCCAATTACATCAAATCAAACCTCCCCATTATATTTTCCTAATTTCCACTGTTATCATCAATCTCCCACCTCAACATCTAATCATTCCTTTCCTGTAGCCACTCTAGGGAAAATTTTGAATTTTCATCTCTAAAATTAGTGTACTGAATCCATGACAACTTCTTCCAACTAACTAGTCTACTCTCTTTCATCAAAACCTTCTCCAATTAGGATCAGCTCTGTAGACACCATGAGCTTTCGATAGGAAACTCCCTCCAGCCAATCCAATGATATTTTGGTTAAAAACCTCATCATTCCAAACCTTCATTTATTCACTAAAAAAACTTCATATAATTCAAAACTTACATGCCATCACTGGCCAACAATTGTTCTGACAACGTTATGAACATGCCATTGGATCCTATAACTTTTTCAATTCACTAATAAATTTTACCAACCATTTAAAACAAAAACCTATTATACCTAGAGGATACAATGATATCATGACCAACCAACTGAGCAACACATCGATGGGAGCAGATCCTGAAGGATAATCTCACTTTACATGATAACTCACAATTGTTCATCGTACATTTTTTGTTTTAAACATAGTATAGTATCTGTGAATTGATCAACTGCTTTCAATACATAAAGGATGAAATAAGGTTGGAAGATACACATAATATTAATAATACCTCTCAAGCACACCAGGCTTTGCAAGTTCCTGTTGAATCATTTTGGTGCCAACCAGATGATATGATATTGAAGGACATTTGATGGCAGAAGATTGTTCCATCAGTGACCTAACTCTCCATTCCTACATATTGAGCAACATAGACCTAAACCATAATTTTGCAAGACAATGCAGTCGTAATAATTCATGTAATAGAAATGAGTGGAGAAGAATAAATGTAAATCAGATCATGCTATTTTTGTGGGTTTCAGCCAATGTGAAAAAAGAATGCACTAAAAGGTTTAAATTGTTCAACGCCCAGCGGCCCCATTCGGTGAATTATTCGTAGCAAATTTTACCAAGGGAAAATCCCTTTATAAATAAAGAGGACCGCAATGGAGTTTGTAAGAAGTGAGAAGCACCTTCACATTAAGAGAGAAAACTAGAAAGCCTTAGGGGTTAAAAAATATAATGAACCAATTTGTGAGTGTTTATCCGCAAATTTTAAGGATACATTATTATTATATATTTAGTATTTTTGTGTTCTCATTATTGCTATAATGGAAGTTTAAGTGACTTCCCCGGTTGCTATAAAGGAAAGCTTGGCATACATTCTTTCTTTGTTGAATTGAGTAAAAATAGATTTTTTAAGCCAACTTTGTTGAAAATAGAGGAAGGAGCAAGGATCGTGACAAAGGCCAATTTGATTAGTGTTTTAAAACTCATGGGACAATGCATATTGAGATACCTCCCAAGACACCTCATATGAATGGGGTATATGAAAAATGAATAAAACAATTGAAAAAACAAAGTCGAAATCATGATTTCTCGAGCAAAGCTTCTTAAATAAATTTTGGGACAAAGTAGAAAACATCGGTTGACGTGATGAATCTATTTCCTTCAAGATCATTAAAGGAACATATTCCAAACGAGCATAAAAAGAAAGTATCTTATGGTCATTTATGTTGACAAATAAGAATCTAAATAAAGCATTTTGTATAATATCACTTGATGTGTTTTTGCAATGAGTGGTACATGGTCAATTTATAGGCCTCTAGACATGGTCTCTCAACTACATGCATTCAATACAACCACTATCTTTCAACTACATACATTCAATACAACCACTACCTCTACAATCAATACCTCTCAACTACATGCATTTAATGTTTACCTAACAAAATCACCCCATAAACTTAAAATGTTTTTCTTGTCCTTCATTCCAAGCATCTTCTTGCTGTTGTTATCGAACAGAGTGGTTGGCAGTGGCTTCGTGAACATATCTGCAGCTTGTGCTCGGGTTCCGACGTGTTCTAACTCCACATTTCCTTCTTTCACTTGTTCTCGGATGATGTGAAATCGAACATCAATATGCTTGTTTTTCTCATGATTGACCGGGTTCTTTGCCAATTCAATGACCGACTTGTTATTAACTCGAATCACAGTCCATTTTTCTTGCTTCAACTCCAGCTTGCTTAGAAGGTTTCTAAGCCAAACTGCATGGCAAACACTCCAAGATGTTGCAACGTACTCGGCTTCGTAAGTGGATAACATTACAATGGGTTATTTTTTTGAAAGTCAGGTGAACGTTGTGTTTCTCATGAAGAATACATATCCAAACGTGTTTTTTTGGTCATCAACATCTTCACACCAGTCACTATCCAAGTAACATACTAGTCAGTAATCATCCGTCCTAGTATATATTAGGCCAAGTGACACTGTTCCTCTCACATACCTTAGAATTCTCTTTAGTGCCTTCCAATAATTATACCTTGGCTCCTCCATATACCGACTTGCTATTCCAAAACTTAGCATTAAATCTGGTCTGGTATTTGTAAGATACCTAAGACTTCCAATCAGACTTCGGTATTTGCTTGCCTCAACTCAGTCTCCATCTGCATACTTAGAAAGTTTTATATCAGGTTCCATAGGAGTGGAAACTGGGTTGCAACTTGTCATCTTAAACTTCTTCAAGACCTCCTCAGCATACATTTCCTACGACACAAAGATGTCTTCCTTTCCCTGAACAACTTCTAAACCAAGGAAATACTTCATAAGACCCAAGTTAGTCATCTCAAACTCCTTCTTCATCACTTCTTTAAACCCTTCAATCAGTTCAGCATTATTCCCCATAAAGATAAGGTCATCAACATATAGGGGGCAACTGATAGGGAGTTAAAAGTGTATGTTAGGAAGAAGAGAATATTAAATAAATAACAGTTAAACCGTTAGTTAGTTATAGGATGAAAGGTGTTGCGTTGGGGGAGGCTATATGTACCATGTAATGGGTGGGTTAGAAAAGGAGAAGAGTTTTGTAATAGAAATAGACAGGATCATCGTTTCCTGTGATTGTGGAAGACAGAGGGCTGTATTCTGTTTGTGGTGTGTTTGAATACAATAATCATTCTTTTCCTGAGTTGTGTTGCTGTTATTTGGGAGGAGAGACGGTGTGAGTAATCTTTTTCCAGGTTCTTACAACCCAGGACCTAACAACAACAAACATCACATCTTCTCCTTTCTTCTTTATGTATAGAGCATGTTCATAAGGACATTGCTCATATCCATTCCTTTTGAAGTAAGTGTCAATTCTTTCATTTCATGCTCATGGAGTTTGTTTCAAGCCATAAAGTGTCTTCTTCAATCTTAGAACTTTCTTCTCTATGCCTCTTCGCATGTATCCGAGTGGCTGTTCAACATATACTTCCTCCTCCAAGACTCCATTTAGAAATGCCGACTTCACGTCCAGCTGCAAGATTGTCCATCTGTGTTGAGCTGCTAAGGAAATCAACAGCCTAATTGTTTTCATCCTCGTTACCAGGGCGAATACTTCATCATAGTTTATTCCTTCCTTCTGCTTGTACCCTTTCACTTCGAGTCGAGTTTTATACCGCTTAACTTCTCCTTCAACATTTGTCTTCTTCTTGTACACCCATTTTACGCCAATAAGACGTGCTCCTTTGGGCAAACCAGTCAGGTCCCACGTGTTGTTGTGTTCTATTACCCCGATCTACTCATCCATTGCCTTTTGCCACCTTTTCTCCTGCACGACCTCTTCAAAACTTAAGTCTTTTGAATCTGCCAAGAAACATACAACATGCACTTCGTTAATGGAGTTGTATATATCTTGTAAACTTCGCGCTCTGGGATATAGAAGTTCATCTTCTTCATCAGAAGTCTCATGATCTCTCACAGTATGTGGTATATCAACTTTCGAGCTTCTACTTCCTATAGACTCCTTCTCTGGTTTGTTCCAACTCCACTCGCTCTTTTCATCAATTTGAACATCTCGACTCATAATGACCTTCTTAGTTAATTGGTTAAACAACCTGTATGCCTTGGGTTTTTTATCATACCCAATAAACACGTACTTTTTGCTTCTATCTTCGAGTTTGGTCCTCTGTTGAGCTGGAACATGACCATAAGCTATGTTGTCGAACACTTTAAGGGGAGACACACTCGGCTTTCTTCCACTCCAGACTTCTTGCGGTGTTTTCTCATTTAGCTTAACATGTGGACATCTATTTTGCACATAGATGACACATTGCACTGCTTCTGCCCAGAACACCTTTGACATGTTCTTACTTCTCAACATTGTTCGAACCATGTCAAGAATGGTTCGATTATTCCTCTCGGCAACTCCATTTTGCTGGGGTGAGTATGGTGCTGTCAGAAATCTTCTTATCCCTTGCTCCTCGCAACACTTCATGAACTCGGATGAAATGAACTCACCTCCTCGATCAAACCTAACAGATTTGATAGGCATGTCGGTCCCTTTCTCAACCATTGCTTTAAATCTCTTGAACACCTCAAACACCTCGGATTTCTCCTTCAAAAAATATACCCAGGTTTTTCTTGAAAAATCATCTATAAAAGAAATGAAATACTTTTTCTCACTGAAAGACTCAGGGGTAATTGGTCCACAAAGATCTATGTGAATCAATCCGAGTTGTTCCTTTGCACGGTACTCGGCAGTCCTCCGAAATGAGGTCCTCGGATGCTTCCCGAGCACATATTCTTCACAAAACTTCTTTTCAAATTCCATAGACGGGAGTCTTTACACTATCTCTTTCTTTACCAACTCGTTCAACCCGCCAAAATGCAAGTGGTCAAACCAAAAGTGTCACATCAGTGCTTCATCCTTCACATCAAGTTTCAAGCACCTCTCTTGGACTATCTTCAAGTCCAGCTTGTATATTCTATTCTTCTTCATTTCTACTCGGGCAATCAAACGATCCGACTTGTCTTTCAAGTATAGTACTCGATCTTTCATCAGAACCGAGTAACCTTTCTCCATCAACTGGTCATGCTCAACATGTTGCTTTTGAGATTGGGTACATAGTACACGTCTATGATTTCTCCAACTTGGCTATTCTTCTGCAGGTACCAAATTGTACCTCGGCCTTTTACTGCCACCTTTGATACATCTCCAAACAACACGTGTCCGGCCTCAACTTTAGTGAGCTCCTTAAAAAGGTTCTCATCCCCGCACATGTGATTATTTGCTTCTGTATCAAGATACCAAACCGAGTTGTCAGAATAGCTCGAACTTAGTTCGACACCCGAACTTCTCGACATCATTAATACTTCTTCTTTCTCAGCGTCCTCAGAGAGGAGGTTTGTTTCCTTCTTGCTCTCAGATCGGCAATCCTTCGCGAAATGCCCAACCTTCCCACAATTATAACATTTGATACCTGAATAGCAGCCCTTAGCAAAATTATCGTACTTCCCACATTTGAATCACTCAACTCCGGAATTGCTTGACTGACCACCTCGGCCTCTACCGCCACGACCTCTACCTTGTCCTCGGCTACGCCAGTTTTGTTAACCGACTTGCTCCTTACCTCTCTCATATCCCCCTTTGCCTCTACCACCTCGGCCTTGAGTGTTCTGAGCATAAGGAACCTTCTTCTCCTTTAAGGTTACCTTTGCTTGGAGTGCTTGATCAAGAGACTCCTCTTTCTTCTTCCTTCTCTGCTGCTCATGAGCTTCAAGCGACCCAGCAAGCTCTTCTACCAAGAGCACTGACAAGTCATTGGACTTCTCTATTGCACAAACGATATTCTCAAAGTTGTCGGTTAACGACCTTAAGATTTTCTCCACCACTCGGCAAGTGGATAGCGTCTCTCCATTTCTTCCGAGTTGATTCACCACAGTCTCAACACGGGAAACGTACTCAACAACCCCTTCGACCTCTTTCATCCTCATGTTTTCAAGCTCGCCTCTGAGAGTTTGAAGTCTGACTTGCTTCACGCGATTATCCCCTTTATATGCCTTCTCCAAAATATCACACGCTTCTTTTGAAGATTTAGCATTTGCTATCTTCTCAAAGCCAGACTCATCAATAGATCGGTACAATACGTACAAAGTCGTTTTGTCCTTTACCCGTATTGCTCTCAACGCAGCAAGCTGGGCAATCGTCTGCTCTTCAATATTCTCAGGTTCTTGGTGCCCATTTTCGACCACATCCCATACTTCCTGGGAACCAAGGAAAGCCTTCATATTCAGACTCCAATTATTATAGCTTCCGCTTTTCGATAACTTTTGCAGGGGGCATGCTGTTAGCTAAGTTGGTCATCTCAAACAAACTCTTTCTCAAACATTCTCTCTAACTCACTCAGATACTCAGGCTCTCAAACTCTGATGCCAATTTGTTGACAAACAAGTATCTAAATAAAGCACTCTGTATATTATCACTTGATGTGTTTTTGCAATGAGTGGTACATGATCAATTTATAGGCCTCTAGACATGGTGTCTCAACTACATGCATTTAATGTTTACCTAACAATTTAAGAGTTTTTGTGAATAAGGCATTTGTTAACATTTATCAAAGATGAAAGCACTTGACACTAAATTGCATGTATCTTGGTTTCCTAAGATATGAACTTGACTTTAGATTATTGTATTCTTTGAAAATTAGATAATCCAATATATAAAGTCTAAGAAGTCAAAACAAAAGGTGGTTTGTGATCAAATTCCATTGTGATAAATAATTCATGGGGAGAGATGGAACAACATCATCTCACTATCAAACAAGTGAAATGAATGGAGAGCAAGCAATGGATGACACTTAGATGAAACATAATCCGGAAATGAGACAATCCACAAGAAATAGGAAACCTTCATGAAAACTCGTAGTATTTTTAATTATGAAGCATCAATCGACCTAGATCAAACAGTCTATCTAGACCTTGTTATTAGAGAGCTAACAAAAGTTAATCAACCCAAATTAAACGGTCATGTATCGGTAGATAATGAACCACTATATATTTTGTGTGTTCTACTTGTTGTTTATATTTTTGGTTATAATACGAGTTGTATCTAGTATTAACCAACATTGATATATAGTTGCTCCTATAATGTATAATCGGTCTTTGTTCAATGAAAATTCATAACACAAACTCAGTCTTTATATCCAACAAATTAATTAAACAAATAAATAGAGGCCTAATAAGTCAGAAAGAATGTATTCCTCCAAGGCCTCTCTGCAACAGCTTTACTTCAGTTATCAGGTGTTCTACAACTCGTCTTATCACATAAATCTTAAAAGAAGTTTAGTTAGCATATGGTAATTTAATATCAATTGACAATACAGTACAATTTCCAAACAGCAGAGTGAGAGCCACTCTTGCCACAAAGGTTATATTCAAATGCTTAAAATAAGAAGTTTAACTAAATAGAAAAACAAAACAGATGTTTCTACATTGGAAAAGCACGGTTCTGATGAACAGAAAAAAAGATTATTTAAATTCACTCACCGATTCTGAAGGATAGTCAACTGGTGTATAGCCTGCCCGGAAATAAATGACTGAAATTGCTTGTCCATTCCTGCAAGTTCCAAGAAATTATAATTTTCCACTATGATAACCATAACATGATTAAACCACAAACCATAGCTGAAAGTTTTATTTATGGCTAATTGTTACATACACTGATAGTGTTCCATCAGGTAGAATTTCTCCTTCTTGATCAACTTCGGCCAACGTCTTTCGAATAGTTGTAATATTATGTGTATTATAAAGCTTAGGACAATAACAACCAAAAAGTACTACTGAGTATAAAAACTTCTAGTGGTTTTCATTACAAGAAAACTGATAAAAGCATCCCTTGATGTCCTTTGATTTCAGATAGCACAAATTAATGTAATTATACACATAAAAGAGTCTGCTCTGCTGTATGGGAAAAAAAATGAACGTTTTCGTTTTGTATTGAAATTAATTATAACAACTAAGAAAAGGATATCTTTCTCTAAGAACAGCAGAAACAAAATGCTGGTCGTACATGTTTCGTTCTTCAGTCTGAACTACAATCATAATCACGGCCCTGCACGGATACGATGGAAATTTTAGCAGGAAACCAAAAGCAGCAGCTGAAGAGCTAGAGAAAGTTAAAGAGAACTTTTTGTCTCTGAACTGACCTGGGGTTGTTATACTCACTCCAAGCTTTAGCTAAGGCCTCCGCATACTGATTCACGGCATCGTTGGCAGGGATACTTTTGTAATCTAGTCCAAGCAATTTTCCATGGCGAGAAAGTATGTATCTAGAAAATGACCAACCAATATAAAGATATTTCTTGAAAAGAAAAATTCCTTCAAAACAAAAATATATTAACCACCTTTCTTATAAATAATTTCAATCATTGCTTTTAATCCAATGTGAATAACCCCAAAACTGTTATTGGAGAACAGAAGTAGTATATGAAAGATCATAAAGTAGAAGATAAATAACTTAAACTATACATAATAACTAGTTAAAAATATTAGCCAAAATTAAAGATATTCATAATTAATACTTAAAAGTTTCATACCATACCATCAATATCAGGCCTACACAGTAATTAACAACGAAAACATGGGCATGAAGACAAAAAAAAAATGATGGAATAAATGAAAGAGGGAGAGAGACTGCATCGAAAAATTAGTGTAATATAAGAAACTATAAAGTGAGAAGAAAGAACACTCTATACAACACACAAAAAAAACAAAGGTTTAGTTACACTGAGTCTCTATGTGAAAATTAGCTTTTTAAGTGTTTTCTTAGACAATCAAGTCTCCCTTGTTTTAAAAACGAAGCAGATTTGATTATTACATTCATTTTTCTTCTACTTAAAATGCTCAAATATAACATCATACTGAAACAATTATGCAAATTGAATCACTTAAATTTATTTTTAAGCTTCTTTTACTCAAAACTCGTCAACCATAATATCCAATTATCCCAAAAACACCTCAATTGTTTTTATGCAAACCCTCATCTTATATATTATAAAGTCCTCGGAATTTATTAATATTGTGTTAAATTTGTGACTTCCTACCTTTTACAGTTATTTATATCTTAAAACCCAAAACATTTGACCCAAAAAAAAAAGATTTTGAGAATTTTATGTGGAAGAAAATCATCAAAGGGCCCTTATTTACATAATTTTAAAAAATAAAGAAAATCATGTTAGAAAAAACTTGACTAAAATCGCTTGTAATTCAAAATAAGGATAAAAAAGTTACAATTAAGTCGAACAAAAGGGCAAAAAAGAAATGTATTTACGGTGAACAGAATCAATAACGAGCTGCAAAGGTGAATGGGTTTAGAAGGACATCAATTTAAAGTGGCTAGAGGGTTGGACGTTAATTCTATTTTTAGTATTCTGAAGAGATAGGGGTGGGACAGAAATATTTATCAACTTGAAAACAGAGAGAAATAAAATGGAAATAAAAAGTGTTTGTTTGATAAAAGAAAAATAGAATTAGGAAAAAAGAAAGAGATTAATAGCCATAGCTGATAAACGGTAAGTTCCAAAAATTTTAAAAACTGTTTCTCTCTTCTTTTACTCCCAGCAAACATTCTATTTGAATTTTATCTTATCTCACCTTCTCTGATCCCCTCAACAAAACCATCCTGATTTCTTCCCTATGCATAGGAAAAAAATAATAATAATAATAATAACTACCATAGTATTTTATTTCATAGATCATTAGTAAAATAAAATTTCACCAACTTTTAAAACTATTTCTTTTCTCGCCAAACAATTTTTATTATTTTCATCTTCCCCACTCACAACCAAACACCTTTCAAGAGTTCAAAAAAAAAAGTTGGGGATATTGCACTAATGATTGACAAAGAAGACCCTCAAACCCTTTGATGATTTCTTAAATAAAAAACACATGAGAGTGTCCCAAAAGATGAAGGTTTGAAAACTCATAATCCAGGGGAATATATGGATTTGTGTAGTTGTAACCCTGTTCACTGTGGTGGCCATGATCTTGGGGGCGACATTCAAGATCCAAAAATGTGACATGAATGAACTCCAGTAGCGGCCACCTGCCCCGGTGCCACTTGATGGCACTAATAGCTTTGCTATCGTGCAAGTTTGACTATCCTGAATCAACTCCGATTTCAAACCACTTAACACTTCCAATGTTCCACAAAAGATATACAAACATAAGTATCAGCAATGAGAGTTTGGTATTTAATTTAAACAAACCCATAGCTGCAATGAAACAAAGAAGACCTTTCAAAACGTTAGATGACAGCATAGTACGTGCAATTTACAGCACTACTTACCTATGAAGTTCAGTCACAAGATTACTAAGACCGGCAAATGAAGAGGCGATAGTGTTTAGTTCTATTTGCAAAAGTGATTTAGTCTTTTCATCAAGCATATAATCTGAACGATGTAGCCCCAGTCGAATTTCCTATTAAAATTTTGGCGGAGCAAAAATAATATCAGTATATATATATATATATATATATATATATATATATATATATATATGTTTGACTCACATCATCAAGAAAAGTAATCGAGAGTGCAAAACTTCAGATGTGTTCCCTGCCCTCAATCTTTTGCTAGAGTAAAGATTATTATAGCAGTGTTTAGATGATTTTTCTCTTAAACACATGAAGAAAAAAATAAAAGTAAAATAAATAGAAATTCTTTTATAATTAAGTTAAAATCAGTTCATTCACTTGACCTTAGGAAAATTACTGGAAAGAATTTCTATGAAAGATAAAATGTACAAATATTTACCTGCAGAATTTAGCTGCGGATCTAAATATGTATTTAACTCCAAATCCTCAAGTACAAATTAGTATTTGTGTGGAGGTCTTTATTACTTTATTGCTAAGTAAGGGTGAAGTATTTACATACAAATTTTATCATTAAAAAATTTTGTAGTGATATAATTTATAGGTATGGATGATGTTGTAACCATAGGTAATTAAATTAAGTCCTTGCATATAGATATTATTTAAGGATGGATGTAATGAAATATTTCATTAAAATAAAATATAAGTATACTAAGTTCTTGATAACTTTTCTTTTTTAAATTTTTGTCCTAATATCTTCTCTTTCCCCCAAATTCATTTTCATATATTCCCTTTTTCTTTCTCAAATCAATCTCTGTACGTCCTCTCTTTTATTTCTAAATCCAAAACTTAAACCCTAAATTTTCAAAAATTTATTCTTCCATTGATCAAGAGTCACTCAGTAGATGGGGTTCCTTTACATTAGAATAAGCTAGAGTTATATAATTTTTTCAAGACAGTGTTATCATGTTGTGATAGAACACTACCGTAAAAGACATTCTTTGATTATGCTAGGTATGTTTCATTTTTACTCTGCTCTTTTTTTTTTTCTTACCAAAATTCTTTCTCTTATTATAAATGGATTTTTTAAAAAAAAAAAATTATGTTACCATTTTTTCTAGTCCAAATAGCAATAAAAGTTTTTGTTATTTCTAGGTTAAGATGTTCAACTTTGAATTTATTGTATAAATCTATGTGGTTTATTGTGGAAATAGCAATAACAATTTTTGTTATTTCTAGCTTAAGATGCTCAACTTTGAATTTATTGTATAGATCTATGTGGTTTATTGTGGAAATTATCATTATATTATAGATATTTTCTAACTAATGGATACTCCATGAAATAAACTAAAATCCTTTTAGTTTCTCGGATAAATGTATATTTTAGTTTTGATAATGCATAGTCCATATTTTAATAGTATTCCCTCTATTCTAAATAAATTGGGAAATTTTACCTAATTATTCTAATATGCAAATTTGTTCAAGGAAACCTATTAAAAAACCACAATTATCTTTTGCATAAATTCTTGACCTTAATGGGATGTTTGACACTTAAATTGGATTCTCACTCTAGTTTTTACTTAGTTTTAATTTTGGATAAGAGTTATGACTAACCATGAAACATTGCAAAGTGAAATAAAAATGACCTTGCAAAGTTATAGAGAATGATAAATAACTCACAAGAATATAGGTTTCTATTTGTGACTTGTTAGTTGGTTTGTGTGGAATGAATATTTTATGAAGATTTGTACTTCAATTTAAATATAATTATTTATTTGAACATAAGTTTTTTTTGTTTTTTTTATCATTCCTTTTCAGTACATTGCTTTAATATTTCAATAATTTTATGGACAAATGTTTTAAGCAGCATTCAAAAACTCAAACAAAGAAACAAAGTAATAACAACATGGTAAGAGACTTACATTCTTTTACTTTGTAAATGGTTGATTTTACTTATTATATAATGACTGAATTTAGTATATATGACTGAATTTATTTAAAATTTTCTAGTTATTTGGTTGTATATGTTACAACTTTGATCATTCATATTTTGACAATTCTATTGTTTACTAGTTTTTCATATCGTGTTTCTACATTGATGGTGTTGTCTTGTAATACATTATTGCATTGTTTTCTATATACCAAATGTTATAACAGGTACACTTTGTTTATTATTTTAACTTACTTATGTTGAAATTATATAATAGAGGTCAATTAGTTATCTTAACTTAATGATTTATAGAAAGTTTTGAAGTATAAGGTGATCAATTGTAATAGTCATAATGATATGTTCTGAAGGATAAAAAATGAAAAAAATAGGATTATTATCTCTTGGCATAAGAACTTTTTCCTTTTTTATCTCATTGATCAATTTCTTGAGTTTTTCATACATGTTCACTTTTTAGCAAACATATTTATAATAAAATTATTATTAGGCTTATGTTTTCAACTCATTCTTTTACTAAATATTTATCATTTTAATGTAACATAGAAAGTGAATTATTAGTTTATGTTATACTCATATATTTTAGTTATGAGAATATTTAATCCACATATTTTATTAGTTTTCTCTTCCTTCTAGACAAACTAAGATATGAGTTTCCAATTTCAGTACATTTCTTAGTGCAGTCCTATAGTACCTACCAGCACTGGCGCACAAAATATTTTCCAACAACAACATCACAATAAAAATTACAACTCAATCAACAAGTTCAAGTTAATCAATAGGGTGAAGGTGATAATAACAAAATAATCTGTCTAAAGGAGGAGAATATATAAATTATTAAATATCTTAAAACTTTTATTATCAACTTTGTTGAAGATTTAACTTTATCATTTATATAAATCACTTTAACTATGGTTTTGATGTCTTAACTAGTTTTTTAAAATTATGTTATGAATTTGTATTGAAAACTTGAATTTAATATCATGTATTTATAACATTAGATTAGATATTATATATATTTTATGGCCAATATATATATATATATATATATATATATATATATATATATATATTTAATATGAATGAGTATTTAGATAAGTAATTTTTTTTAATAAATAAGACTGATATATAAGATTTCTATTTTCAATATACAACATTAAACCAAAAAGTGATGTTCTAATTTCTGATCAATCTAATTCCTATCTCTCAGAATCAGAATATGAGCACAAAATGAGTTGTTTTGAACATATATAAAACAATAAAATAAACACTTCTTGGTGCTACATTATACACAGATACCTCTTTTTTGCCAATTTGTAGCATCTTGGAATGAATATCTAAAAGTCTAGAGGTGAACTCATCCGCTTTCTTAGTTCTGCATTGAGAAACAGAAACAGAATCTTAATACACCAATCCTACAATATTCCGGTACCAAAACTTAGGCAGTGGTGCCACTTGCATGCATGCACAAGATATCTAACAAGAGACAATAGCACCGCAGAGGATGTAACCTGGAGAGACACTGGTGGATAAACGTTGCATCCAAGCTGATCCGATCAACGAGTTCATTGAATATAGGAGCCAACTCAGTCGCCTCCCTCCACTGGTTTTCAGGAAATGGCGTGGGTAACAAGGCAACCGGAGCATGCACTAATCCAACGCCAGGAACGCTTCCTGAATTCTACAATCAGAAACACGTCGATTGATCCATCGTCAAATAAAAATTAAAATTAAAATCGACAAATTCGAAATGTCATCAGGACCGTTACGTTAGAAAGAACACTCGGCGTCAATTTAGGGTGTAATAGGTAACGGAATGCAATGCAGTGAATTAAAAGGAGAAGAAATGTGGAGATCGACCTGAATGGATTTGTCGGCGACGAGGAGGCCGTGGAGAGAGCTCCAAACGAGGGCGTCGTAAGCGAGGGTTCGGAGGAGTTGTTGATCAAGGCGGTGGTAATCGAAGAGAGGAGAGTGTTCGAGTGGAGTGAGAGTGAGAGGTTCACTGGGAGAGATGACGAGATTGGGGGAAGAGGATACGAAAGGGAGCGATAGAGAGTGGCGGCGAAAGGTGGAGAGAATAGGGAATCTGGTGGATTTGCTAGCAGAGAAGAAGGGTGTTGCCTCGCAAGATGCAACCATGCCTGAACTCATTTTCTCCTCTTTCACACAATGGATGAAAATAAGCCAAATGAAATAAAAAAATAAATAAATAATAATAATAATAATAATAATAATAATAATAAATTGTTACTTTGTTCTTCTAAAATTCACCCGCATTTATATTCCTGAAAACGAGAATTTAAATAAAAAACTACAAAATATAATTTATCTGTTATTTAGTTCTATTGTTAAAATCCTAAATAAAAAGTTAATATTGATTTTCTCAATAAAATATATATATTATATATTTTTTGTTGGAATTATTGTGAGTAATAAAACTATTTATTTTATGTGTAAATGAATAATTAAAATTAATCAAGTACACATCTTCGATAAATATAATATATGTGTAACATCCTCGAATTTAACATATTGAAAAAATATATTAATCTCATTTTTTTTTCAATATCAAAAAATTTCTTTATTTTCTTTTAATTCTATTTTTCTTTTATTTTATTGCTAAAAAAGTGTGTAACTTTTGATTATCCGTAATAATTGGTTCAGTACAGGCAACACCTTTTGGAGGGTTCGAATCTGCACAGACACTACAAGACTGACAATTGGTCCCTTTCAGTGGGCCATGGCCCACATATTATTTTTACGTACACTTCTGTTGAGGTAGACTCTTAAAAATACTGAATTAAATTTTTCATGATATATATATATATATATATATATAACTTCTTTTTGTTCTTTTGGTCTTCAAATCTACTTTACTTTTTACTCTCTTAAATATTTCTATTGTTATGTCTTTTCCATGTATAGATAATGTATATTTTCTCTTTACTAAATATATTTCAAAATGAAAAATATACTATAAGGACTAAAAAAGTAAATATTTTAAATATTAAAACAAAATGGCGAGAACTAAAATTAGAAAAATAAATTTGACCGTAAAACAATTATAAGGAAAAAAGAAGCTAAAACATGTCCAAATTTTAAAAATTAAAAATAAAATTTAGTCTTTAATTTAATAATTTGAAAGAGAGTCTAAAGGGTCATCCGGAATTGAGGGAGCTCCATGTTTTGTAATTTCTATATAATATATGATTTTGATCTCAAATTTAATAAATATTTAATATATTTATATGTATATTTATAATTTTATTTTTTTAGTCTCTTCTTAATTTTGTAACTCTTATATAATTTATGATTTTGTTTCCTTTAAATTTAATAATCATTTAATTTTATCCTTTCATATTTTTATTTTTTTCTTTTTTTATATTTATTTATTAATAATATATTATTTATGGTTAGATGAATTATGAAGATTCGTTACTCGTTATTATCTTTTTTATATATGATATATGATTTCGTCCTCGTTATTATCTTTTTTATATATGATATTGTTTTCGATGGAATTTCGATCGATTTCGATTCTAAAGGTGTTTTGGTCCTAATCAAAATCCTCCCACGTAAGTTCTTTTTACTTAGGCTAGCAATTTGACTTTCAATCGAAAACGTGTATAAGAATCGAAAGTTACAGGATATCGAAAATGCTATTTTTTATATTTAAAATACTCGAACACGATAAAAATATCGAATCGAGAAACGTAATATTAAATTGCGAGGAAATGTAAAGTGCGAAAACCCCAAATTTACATTAATTGTAAATGACAAGAAATTGAAAACAAGTGCAAATATAAATGACAGGAAACCGAGATTGTAAGAAAAGTAAATGACAAGAAATCGAGATTGCAAGAAAAGTAAATTACAAGAAATCGAGATTGCAAGAAAAGTAAATGACAGGGAAACTTAAATGCAGAAATTTAAACTTTCATTGAATTGAAATGACCAGGAATCGAAAACACAGAAACATAAAACTGCTGAATTTAAGTTGCATCAAAGTAAATTACCAAGAAAAATACGTAAGCGGTAAATGTACTCAGTGAGCAAGGAAATCCAGATTGCCGGAAGCTTCATGGTGTTCGTCGTTTCTCCGGTAGACTTTTCACTACTCGATTCTCGTTCTCTCGCCAATTTCCGCCCCTTATTTCTTCCTTCTTTGCTCTATTTATAGTGCATCGTTCAAGTCTTCCAAGAGCAGCTTAACACGATCGCTACCACGTTTTACGTGCATATGGCGGTTTATCTTCTACGGTTTCCCACGTTCTCACGATCTTCGATTTCCTCCATGGTTTCGAAACTGCTCTCTATCCGTGCGTTTGACTTACTCTTCTCTTTATGGTTTGGCCAAAGTTTTCGATGTCCGTGTAGGTTAGCTTTCTTCATTTTCGATTTTACACTTTCGAGAACTTCGAATTGCTTACGATTCCTTTTCAACCTTAACGTCTTATCATTCTAGTTTCTTAGGTTTTTATTCGACAATAGGCATTTGACTATCATTCCTTCGATTCTCGATTGTACTTCTCGATGTTATGTGTTACGTGCTTAGACATCGAATGGTTTTTTATCTATCTTGATTTATCAGTCACGTGTTCTCTCTTTCCTTTCCTTCGTTTTCGATCGTTTTTCTCGATTTTCCACTAACAAAATGCCCCCTTGGAAGAATATAAATGATTTCTGTTTATATTCTTTCAATATTCTCGCCTTAGTGTTTGGAGGCCCACAAAACTTAGGGTTTAGGGTTTCTGGGGTTCTAGGGTTAAAAGGGTTTTAGTTTTCCCTTTTGCTTTACGTCGCCGTCTCGTCAGTCTGCTGCTTTTACAGTACACGTTACATTTATTACCTTTCACCTCCATCGTTTCCAGCCCCCTAGGCGATTTTCCCTTTTAAACTCTATTGGTTTTCTACTCAGGTTTTTTACGCGAACTTTTGTCCCTTTACACCTTCATCTTCTTCCTTGAGTTCCTGTCTTCATCCTTGCGCCCCCTCCTTTTATCTTGTTTTCCTCTAATCTCCCTATTACCGAAATGGCAACTTCCTCCAAGTCTTCCGACTTTTCCACTCCACCTCTTCCTTTGCTGACGGCCAACCTTCCGGAAATCAATAATCGAAGTTTGCTCCAATCCCTCCGATGGAGGAGGCTTCTCGAAAGTTACCGAGACGTGTGTACTCATTCCTTACACCGCCGATAGTGTTAATTTTGGTTTTGGGGTTCTGTCTGTTCTAGTAGTGGGACTTTTTCTTCCTTCACCCTCTCGAACGATCTCAAGCACTTATTCACCACCCTGAGGTTCGGACGGATTTCTTGAATATGGCATCGAGAGTATACCGAACGGGTCCACCTTCCAAAAAACCTTCATTCCTTAGGTGGTTTGATAGAGTAAAAGCTAAGTTTGGGAACCACTGGAGAGATATAGGGATTTTTGATTTTTTACAGCTATCTCGATGCGATTTGTAGTCTTTAGATATGGCAATGTTTCTATCTGCCGTGCACTTGTGGAACAAGGATTTGCATGCCTTGGAATTACCCCGTGGTCCCCTGTCACCTACTCTCTTTGAGGTTGCTCGCTATAACCGGACTAAAACCTACTCGGGGAGAAATATTATAAGGGTGCTTACCCTTCGGATAATTCTTTGAGGTCTAAAATCGATTGGGAATCGAAGGCTTACGGACATTTTCTTGAGAAGCATTTCGTCGATGACGAATTGATGGTTGTGACTGACGAAGAACACATAGCCTTTTTGGTGTATTGGCTATGTACCCACGTTTTTTGCCCTCGATCCATCCAAATCTCTTCTCACCTCTATAATCTAGCCTATCTTCTCCATACTCGGCCAGCCTAAGATATGTTTGGCTAAACTCTTGTTACACGCATGTGTATACCGCTTTCGACGAGGTCGTCGAAATTTTGAGTACTCCTAAGGCATCGGGAAACTTTTCCGGCCCTATCTGGTTTATTCAGTTATGGTTAAACTCGATTTTTGAGAGCATCCTCTCCCCGACTTCCAACATCCCCCCAAGTGTAAATATAGAAGGGGCCCGATTATCTTCTGGCCATCCTCACCAAAAACCCGATGAAGCTGCTTACTGTCAATACCTTAATTTTTTGTTATCTAGATTTAATTTCAATTCGGTTTTAGCTCCTTTTACCGTGCATCTCGGACGAATAAATGATCAACTCAGGGGACCAATTTGGTTTAAGTCGAAGTTCCCTGCCTCAACTCCTGGATTGCAATTAGAGTTGGTAGATATCTCGAGTAACTATTTAACTCATGATATACTGGTATCGGGTTTCCAATCCAAAGACTTCAAGATCATCACTTACTACCCTCAGCTATTCTCGAGACAATTCGGCCTGAGCCAATCCTTACCTTTCTTCCCTTTAGATACCTCCCCGAGGTTCAAGTTGAATGAATCGACAATCGAACGGGAGCTTATCAAGCTTTTGCCAAAAACCCCGATGCATTTTTATCCCTATGCTTTCGAGTCAAATTATTTGTCTACTGTGGGTTTTTCTCAATGGTGGACTGGTTGGTTCTCGAGTAGTCATGCTACTTTTGATGAAGTTCGACAGAAACTGACTGCTCATCCTTCTCTTGTGTTGCAGGACAAGTTGAAATCGAAGAAAGGTATATACTTCCACTGTCTCCAAATATCTCGATTCGAGAATTTTTATCAAATATGTTATAACCCGTTGAAGTTAGAATCAACCTTCTATGATGCTGTCATTTCCCTATCTCATAAGACAAATATCAATCGATCGAACCACAAAATAATTAATCCCTTAGGAAAAACCTCATTCGAAATGTATTGTCCTAATCGTCTTCCTACTTTTCCTACGTCATCCTTCGGGATTGTCAAACCTTTAACTCATCCCAAATGGGTTCGAGAATTGAGAACCTTTAAAGAAACACTTCGTCCCAAACCTAAAAACAAAGAAATTTCTGTCTCGAAATTGTCTTATTTCCCTTACCTCCATCTCCCTCAAACTCTTCTTCCCCCCTGGCTAGTTCATATCGATCGAGTCACGATTTTGACTCCATCACCTTTTGGTGAGATTTTACTGCCTTTTCTAGACACTTTTTAATTGTTTGTTATAAGCTAACCTGTCTTCTTTCTTTTGACGAGCTTTGAAATCCTCCAA